CAAATAATATCCAATAAAACATGAAATACATTCCTAATTTGAATTACACATTTCACAATTTTCAGGACATAATTAACATTTATGAGCATCATCACTCTTTGGACATGATAGTAAACATTATCTATAGTAACTATATCTATATTCTGGATGTATATATCCACAACTTGTACAATCATATTCAGTAGGTCCATCACAAGTTAAACATGTCCAATGACAATTTATACAAGTATTTTAATAAAGGAATTAATTGGTTGCACAATTTTAAATATAGTTAATACATATATTAGGATAAATGCATTCATAGCAATTAGAATCACATTAATCGCATTTATAAGTATCTATATTTTAATAATATCCTAAAGGACATTAAATAACACATAATTATTAATTTAAATGATAAAAATTTGATTTACAAATAGTGCAAGAAGAATAGCTTGTACATTCTTAACAAAAGTCATTGCAATTTAAACAGATTCCATTATCATTATACATTCCAACAGAACATGTAGTTTAACATGTTCCATATTTAGATGTCACAAGACTTAATATCTAATTATTAGGACATGTAACACATTAATTATATTAATCTCCTACACATGTTAGACATGAATTATGACAAGAATTATATAGACAAATTCTTTATTAAATATCATAAGTATAATTTTAGGGACAAGTATCTTAACAATAACTTTTATAAGTGCTGTCTACATTATCATAAATTACAATATATTTTAATCCAGTTTCACATGAAATACAAGAATTTTCATCACCATTATAACAAAATGAACAATTAATATGACACGGTGAACATTAACCATTATCAAAGTAGCTTTTTCCAGTACATTAAGGAATACAATTAGAATTAAATAAAATGAATGAACTATTGCACTTAGAACATGAATTACTATCACTACAAATTCTACAACCATCTAAACATTCTAAACATAATAATCCTGAAGTATAATATCCTTCTCCACAACTTGCATAAACTTAATTATTTTATAAATATAATGTTTATGAATAACCAATAAATGGTAATGTACAAGATAAAGAATCTATACAAGTTGAACATCCTGCTTTACATTAATAGCATTTATTATCTATTTTAGATATGAATTCATTTGAATTACAACTATCTACACAATTTCCATTTCTTAATACTTTTGGTTCAACACAAGATGTACATTAAATAGAATATATACATGTTAAACAATTTGATGAACATTATTTACAAATTATTTAACCATTGATTTTATTATCATAATCTTAATAATAACCGACATCACAAATATTCACACATCTACCATATAATTAATTTTCTTATAATTAAAGATATGCTCCAAGATGACAATGAGTACAATTATCGATTCGATTATTGGATACACAATATTTACAACTAAGATGACAAGGAATACACTCGTTACCACTTTAATAAGTTTATTGTCCACATTAATCTACACACATGCGATTTGCAGATAAATTAATGCAATCTCTACATTAAGTTCTATAAGGACCAAAACAAGTTTAACATGATTATTCACATTTTATACATAAATTTTAATTGATATCTAAATAAGTGTTTGGATCATCATAACAATATTCAGCTACATTTTATATTATTTATATTGGAGTAATATTTTATGTACATTCAAATAAAAAGTAATTATAATTAATAGGACAAATAGCAACACATTAATTATCGAACAAAAAATAATCCTATTATCCATTATTAGTATAATGATTATAACAATAAGTACAATTATCAGCATCTTAACAAATTCTACAATTTTATTTGCATTAACTACATTATTTATTGATAGAATCTCCAAAATATCCATCTGGACATGTTTAATAACATTTCTAATTATAATAAAAATAACCAGATAAACAACTAAGACATGATTATTATGCATCACATGTCATACAATATTAATCACATTATATACAAATTCCTTATTCATCATAGGTTGATATTGGACATTAAGAATACCAACATTAATTTTTATAATAGAAATAATTAGGAAAACATGATAGACATTGATTATTTGATTATCCAAAACATGATTAACAACCTGTAGCACATATTTAACATTTTCTTTGAATATAATTATGCATATAGCCATTATCACATATTTAGACACAATCTTTTGTTAAGGGATGTAAATAGTAATTATAAATGCATTCTGAACAATTATCATTATTTGTACACATAGCACATGTCTCTTTACATGATTAACATATATTTGATAAATTCTTATAATATCTATTTAAACATCCTGGTAAACATTCATTATTTTACTAAACTAAAGGTTAAGTACATGTAACACAATTAGTTTGTAATGCTCCATTACAAGTTTCACATGAAAAATGACATTTCTCACAAACACCATCATATCCATAATAACCATTTGGACATACAGATAAACAATTACCTCCATTGTAATAATAATTATTTAAACAACGAATACATGATAAATTGTTAATACATATATCACAATTATCTTAACATTTCAAACATTATCCCTTATTTTTATAATATTATGATGGACAATATGCATAACAACCATTATTAAGTAAAATATAGTCTAATTTACATGTTAAACAATTTTAGTTGCCACTATCAAAACAAGTATCACATGTTTCATGACATTCTATACATTATCCATTTTTTAATATTGTATTTTTAGGACATTCTTCTATACATATTGATTTATACAATTTCAATCCATATTTACAAACAATACAATCAAACTTTGTTGGTCCATAACAAGTGTAACAATCAAAATCACATTATCTACAATATTAATCTTCTACATAATATCCAATATCACATTCAATTACACATCTTTTTTTAAATGCAGCATAATTTGGTAAACATTTATAACAAAATGTTTCATTCTCACATATTTCACATCCATCTATACATTATTTACATCTGTTATCTACAAGATCTCTATAATAACTAATTGGACAATATCCTATACAAGTATTATTTTCAAAGTATAAAGGTGCACTACAAGAAATACATTCATGATCATTTACACATTCTTTACATATATTTTGACATCTCTAGCATTTTTAATTATTATCTCCATAATAACCTTCTGGACAATATTCTAAACAAGAATTTTAATAGAATAAATATCCATTTTAACAATTGTAGCAATATTTATCATAACATGTTTCACAATTATTTGGACATAATATACATTATTGATCTATTCCATAATAATAAATTGGGCAATTCTAATAACAAACATTATTTAATAAGAATTATCCAACAATACAAGATGTACATACATTTTCTTATGAACATTATTAACAATTAGAGTTACATTTTAAGCATTAATTATTATGTATATAATAATTTAATGGACATTCCACAACACAATTATTTATCTAGTTAATTTCTAAAAGATATTAACCATTATAACATTCAACACAATTATTTGCCTAATTTAAACAATTATAACAACTAGCATCACAATTTAAACAATTTTCATTATCAATAGTATATTATCCTTAATTACACTATTAGGAATAACATTAATTTTTATATAAAAGATAATTTTGTTAACATTAATCACAAATTCCATTAATATTACATTCAATACAATTATTTATATTACAATATACGCAATTAGAATCTCTACTTATATAATAAAGTTAATCACATTATTAAACACAAATACCTTCTTATAAATATAATCCATCTTAACATTTTATACATGAAATTGCATTAAAACAATATTTGCAATTTGAAATACAAGGTGTACAGTCTCCATTTAAATCAAAATAGGTTTCCTTACATGGACATAATGGAGGACTTATTCTATTAATAGAACAACTTAAACATTAAATAGATTTTAAACTACAGGTTTAACATTAACTTGCACATGAATAACATAATAAACCATCTTAAAATTGTGATGAATTGCAAATTTATTTACAAGTTGGAGGTTAATAAATATTATTACAACTTACGCATTCATTTGAATCATTAGAACAAGTGAGACATTAAGAAGAACATTTTTTACAAGTAGAAATAAATTATGAACCTATAAAATCGTCTTAAACATAGTATCCTGTCTTACATGAACTACATTAGTTGTAAGCTTAACATGTTAAACAATTGGAATCGAAATTACTACAAATTTAACATTAATTATCGCCAAGCTCTATATAATATTCTTAGTTAATGCAGCTTAAACAATTTGTTGGACCATTGCAATCCAAACAAGGCTCAGTACATTTAATACAGTATTGACTTTAATTCAAATAGTAACCTTAATTACAAGAAGTACATATATTTTTGGAGATACAACTCACACATGGAAATTCACACAATATACAACTTTGACCACTTAGATAGTAATGTTAAGGAGGACTTTGTTTACATGAAGTACATTTATATAATTCTCCAGAACATTATGAACATGGACTTTAACATCTCTAACAATCATTGCCCACTACCATGTATCCAGATATACAAGTTAAACAAGCACCTTAGTCATCACATGTTTCACATGGAGAAGCACATCTTTAACATAAATTCTGAACAAGGAAGTAGTATGGGGATTGACATGATGTACAAACTTAATAATCTGTACATTAAGTGCATCCAATATAACAACCTAGTTTATTTTAATGATTACTATAACAATGAGTTGAATCACCATAATAAGAAGGAGGACATTAGTCACATAAGCCATTTGTACATGAACTACAAAAGTTTTGACATACTTAATTTAAAATACTATATTACATCTACATCCTGTATTTGTCCATATATATCCTTCTTAACATTAACAAGAGGCAAAGCCTATCAGCAAAAAAATTAAAATATAATTCATAATTATTATAAATTTGAAACATTCATCATAAATTCTAAATTAGATAATACAGATTTCACAACAAATCCAACATTAATTTTTTGAACTATTCTAAACTCATCTAAATTTATATATATTTCAATACCCTTTTACTATTACAAAATTCTATCATGTCATTTTCAATCTTCTCCTCATCACAATTTTGTAATCTACTGAAATTTGATGCCACAATTATACCTTTTCTTGATAATTCTTTAAAAGTAGCTTCTAAATTAAAATCTGTTATTAATGCTTTTCTATCACATGAATGTAGAATAAATTCATCAAGATCAATTTCTCCATTTCCATCACAATCAATATTCTCAAATAAATCATCTATAATTTCTTCAGTTCCTAAAGCAGTTTAAAGTTCTTCTTTGGAAAGTGTACCATTTCTATTTCCATCATTCTTTTTAAAAATCTTCTCTAATTATTATTATCTTTCCTTAAAAAAAATGGAATTCATAATAATAAGAACTTTTTATTAAATATATGATGTCTTTTTAACTGATTTATTGATTATAGTTTCAGTATATCTTGCTTCCTATTTTTATACCATTTCTCTATATTATTTATTTTATAAGACTTATTCATAAATAATAGAACTTCTTGATTCCAACAATAATACTACCAATTAATACCATTCAGTTTTTGTTGGTAAATCTTTTGGTCTTTTAATAATCATTTCAGTTGTTTAAGAAGTAATTGGTTTATTAGTTATCAATTAAAATAAAATAAGACCAACTGCCTAACGATCATCCTTTTACATCTCGCTAATCTTTGACTTTTCTTTAGCTTAAAATATTGGAATAACATCAATTAATTTAACATAATGATTATTTGTTGAATCATGTAATGCAAAACTTGATATAGTAAGACTGCCATGATAATTATCTTGCTTATGAATTTCTTCTAAAATATCTAAAATTTAAGATATTATATATATTGCTTCCTCTTCTTTAATTAATCCACATTTATCAATAAGCAAACCTCCACTACAATACTCTTATACTGCATAATAACTTTTGGAATCTTAATATAATTCAATGATGTTGGCAAAATGAAGAGAATTCTATAAATAAATAATTTAGACTACATAGCTTTGATCTTATAGATTAGTAACTAAGTGATCAAAATCTTTGTCTTGTTCATTTGGTTTCAAAATGTTTCTTGCAACTCTTACTACACCAGTAACATTATGCTGTACTAATCCCATGTTATCATTATCTAAGTTTTATTAAACATTTTACTTTTATAACCAAATTATGAATTTAGAACTGAATAGAACTTTGCTAAAGCTTCTCCATAAACTCTCTTTTTTATTTTAGAAACAATCATGCTTTTGCAAGAAACCAGTTTTTCTTTTGAGTAGCAATGTATAGAAGGCATAGTTTTATGGCGAGGAATAACATTATCTTTGTTCTTAACTTTCTCTTATAATGTTTGTTCACTCACTATTTGAAGTTATTATGATTTATTAGATTTCTTTCCATCAGAATGAGACTAGCAAACTCCCATAATTTAATAAATTAGATTTAATTTTTACAAAACTGCATAATAATATTAATAAAATCAACATACTAGTATTAGACAATCATATTTAAGGATATTTGTTGTCCATTTCATACTTTGATTTTTGATGTAATATTTGAATAAAACTGATTTCCTTTTTAAATATAATATTTTATGTACATTAACTAAAGTCACTTTTTGACAATATATTTATTTACTGAAAGCATATATCAGTTAAAAGAGATAAAATTGAATATATATATATATATAAATAGATTTCGTTTGATTAATTTTATAACGAGCTCAGCTTCCGGAATAGGAGCCTTGCCCGCAACCTATTAAATAGGTTTAAACTTGGATAGGTTTCTAAATTTGAATCTTGAAGGATTAAGCTTTTTTAATAATGATTTTTCCTTTTATATAAAAGAATTAATTTTATTTTTATGGGTTTTTATTAATTATTAATATATTATATTATAATATAATTAAAAGTATTTTGTTTTTAAACTTTCACTATCATTTAATTTAATCAATCATTAGCTTATTCATTGTTTAATTATAATTAAATCTCCAATTCCTATTTTTGTATATATATCCATATATATATGTATATATTTAAATTATGAAACTTCAAAAATTTATTAATCATAGATTCTAAGCTTTATACATGTTAATTGATTTTTTAATTCTTAATCTACATTAATTTATATAAATATATGGAATTTTAGAATATTTGTTATAGTTCTTATTAATATTAGTTTATAATTAATTCTTTAAATAATGTAAAGCTAAATAAGTGACTATGAGTATCTTAGTACGATTTTGTAAAAAAATAGTAGTTGCTTTAATTTAAACCAAAAATTAACCCTTTACATTAGACCATAGAATCGCAATGAAAAGAGAAGAAAAAAACATTCATCTTGTAGTACAGAAGATATCAACCCTAAACTTTATGATTCTTAAATAAAAAAAAAAGTTGATTTAAGTTAATCTGGTACAAGTGAAAGCCAAGTAAATTAGAAAAATAAAATACGAATTGCTTTTAAACCAATAATTAGATTGAGAAATAAGTTTCTTAATGGGAACAATCCTAATGGTTATTCATTAGCTAATTATAAAGAAATAGTATGCAATTTTTGTCTATTGCATCTAGATAATTAATACTCCAAATAAGAAGATAATTAATCATTTTCCATAATAACTTTAGAATAACATCAACAAACACATTCTCAAACTATTACAACATAATGTAAACATAAATATCATTATGATTGTTTCCAAAATAATATTAAATAATAATTGGATCAATAAAAATCAACAATCTCTTGTATATGTGGAAAAAAAATAAATAATAAATTGTTAAAATAATATACTTCTGATGTATTGATAAGAAAATTATTGAAAATTTAACTTGAAACTATTTACTCAAAATATTAAGAATCACTTAATTTAAAATAATGTAATACATGTACATTTTTTTGGGTAAAATCTGATACTTAACTATATCTTCCAATATGCATTTATTGTTTGCTATCATATAATACTAATGATACTACAAAATCTTCGAATTTAAGTTAAATTACCAAATAAAAGAGGTTGAGATCAATTAGCATGTAGTGATTGCTATTAATAATAATTTATAATCAAACTCATATTCAAACTATTAAACTATTTGTTTATTTCTATTATTTATAACAATATTACTTTAAAAAGTTTATTAATTCTTCTGTAGTTATAATATATATCATATAGAAATATATTTATTATTATTATTTTAAGATTTATTTAAAGTCAAATAAATGGACTCACTCCCAGCTCATTTGAGACAATAAAAAAAATAAATTTCTTTGATCCTCTAATCAAGTTAAAATCTTATTTAATTGTAATTTTGAATTATGACTTAATAGATCCCAAAAATTAGTTTAGACAAGTTAATCAGAAATAAATTTCTAACCAGGTCCAAGATTAAATCCAAATCAAATTGAAAGTAAATCTGGAGATACTGGAGATCTCTTTGAAAGNTAAAAAAAAAAGTTGATTTAAGTTAATCTGGTACAAGTGAAAGCCAAGTAAATTAGAAAAATAAAATACGAATTGCTTTTAAACCAATAATTAGATTGAGAAATAAGTTTCTTAATGGGAACAATCCTAATGGTTATTCATTAGCTAATTATAAAGAAATAGTATGCAATTTTTGTCTATTGCATCTAGATAATTAATACTCCAAATAAGAAGATAATTAATCATTTTCCATAATAACTTTAGAATAACATCAACAAACACATTCTCAAACTATTACAACATAATGTAAACATAAATATCATTATGATTGTTTCCAAAATAATATTAAATAATAATTGGATCAATAAAAATCAACAATCTCTTGTATATGTGGAAAAAAAATAAATAATAAATTGTTAAAATAATATACTTCTGATGTATTGATAAGAAAATTATTGAAAATTTAACTTGAAACTATTTACTCAAAATATTAAGAATCACTTAATTTAAAATAATGTAATACATGTACATTTTTTTGGGTAAAATCTGATACTTAACTATATCTTCCAATATGCATTTATTGTTTGCTATCATATAATACTAATGATACTACAAAATCTTCGAATTTAAGTTAAATTACCAAATAAAAGAGGTTGAGATCAATTAGCATGTAGTGATTGCTATTAATAATAATTTATAATCAAACTCATATTCAAACTATTAAACTATTTGTTTATTTCTATTATTTATAACAATATTACTTTAAAAAGTTTATTAATTCTTCTGTAGTTATAATATATATCATATAGAAATATATTTATTATTATTATTTTAAGATTTATTTAAAGTCAAATAAATGGACTCACTCCCAGCTCATTTGAGACAATAAAAAAAATAAATTTCTTTGATCCTCTAATCAAGTTAAAATCTTATTTAATTGTAATTTTGAATTATGACTTAATAGATCCCAAAAATTAGTTTAGACAAGTTAATCAGAAATAAATTTCTAACCAGGTCCAAGATTAAATCCAAATCAAATTGAAAGTAAATCTGGAGATACTGGAGATCTCTTTGAAAGTGGAAGTTTATTACAAAATACTGAGAATCATGCATAGACTTTATTTCATTAACAAATTACAAAAAGTGGTTCTCTTCTTAATTAATATTGTCCACATGTTTCTCTTACTCAAGAAGTGGAAAATAGCTTATTTGAATAAATTAAGTTGCCCTCTACTTGTAAATTTAAGAATATTTGTAAAATGAATTGTTAGATGAAATTTAATCCTGCCTATACCAATGTTTAATAAATTTTGTTATATTAACTTCATGAAAATTAAATTGTTGAATTAAGAAGCACATTATTAAAGAATAATTCTTAGAAGATTAAGGTTTGTGATGGGCAAGGATGCGAATTCTATTTTATTTTGGACAACTAATTACAATAAAGAAATTATTACTGCCCTTTATGTTTAGAGAGTTTTGAATTAAGATGATAAATATTATATTAAAATAATAATTATTATAATTATTAATGGAATCTGAACAACTAAATATATGATCATTTTAAATGATGAAAAAAAAATAAAAAAACTTTATTCTATTTATACTTAATGCTTTTGGATATTGAAGGATTCACAATTTAAGTGTTTATTTAATCAATTATCTTATAAATAATTAAAAAGAGTATAGTAGACAAATTGAATAGTCTAATTATTTAGGAATATATAAGTACTCAAAAATATCAATATATTATTATATTAATAAAATTAAATCTTTAAGAATTCTAAAGTTGAATAAAATTTATTGTTAGAAAACAAAAAGCTATCAAATAGTTTAATTTACGATAGTTTTTATTAATAACATATTAATAATGAACAGTTGCTCTCCAGTATTAAATTAATCCAAAGGGACTACATCTGGTTTCTTAAAAAATTTATTAGATTATAAAGCTAATCTCAACTCAAATGGATCCAGCAAAAAATAATCAATTTCAAGTTTTTAAAGAGATATTTCTCATCTTGCTGATTCATTCAGACATAAAACTCTGTAATAACAAATAAAAGAAAAGTAATAAATAGCAGAAATAAGATTAAATGAATACATTCTTAAACAAAAAGAAAGAAAATAGAATAGGGAATATATGATTTAAAATCAAAGGTATCACTATAAAACATAAAATCTCGAAAATACATTAGATGATGTGCTTTAAATTTTAGAAAAATATTCTGACATTAATTTGAATTGGGTAGCATAAGACTTACAAGAAGTAAGTGGAAATAGGAAAAATGTAATGTTAAATTTAAAAACAACAATAGTAAATGGTTTAGAAAAGGGTTATTTTGAAGAAATTTCAAGCATTTAGAATACCGAAAGAAAATTATCGATAAAGAAAAAAATACGTACTTATCTGAATAATATTTGGGATAGTTAAAGACATGAAACATACTAGTACACATTTCTTTTCGAATGAGCCTACTGGGAGAAATGATGCTATAAATCTAAAAAAATGGTTATAAAATCAATTAGAGAATATATCATAAAATCCAAGTATTGATCATAAATCTAAATTGTAATAAGCAAGTGATGTTCTATTTATATGCTTGAATGAATTAATTAGATAGGTTTCATTTTAATGTACAGAGAGAGGATAATTAATGCTTGCAATCTTTAAAGGTTATATCACAGTATTTAGAAAAACAATAAATATGTCAGAGTCTGATAAATAATAAATGTAAATTATTGGTTATAAAAATTAATTGGAATTATAAGTAGAATTTGAATAATAATAAGATGAATTGAATGAAAAGATATTAGATCTAAAAAAAGTCATATAGAAATTAGAAAATTAATTGAAAACATAATAAGAAGATGAATAAAATTTAATATTAATAGTTTAAAAATTAACTAAATAGAATGAATTAGATAAAACTATGAAAAAAGGTGCTGCTACTTTAATATCAAATTTAAATAGAGAAATTAAAGAATTAAGAAATAAAATATCGAAAATTTAATATATAAAATAATCTGGCATTTAAATTATTAATGTATAAGAAGAAGAAGATGAATAAGATTTATCATTATCTTAAGTATTAAAAGAAGTTGAATAAAAAACATCTGTTGAATAAAATCCTGATATTGTTGTAAAAGATATTGTTGATGAACCACCAAAGATAACTTTTTCTGTTTATTGTTAAACTGAAATACCTTTACGTACTTTTGAAACATAAACTGATTTAAATTTAATTGGTCAATAATATGATAAAATAATAAATTAATAAGAATTAGATTAACATTTTAAAGAATTCTAACTTAAAGAATAAATGGGTTTTTTCCTTTAAGATGATTAATAATAAACTATAAATAATAGGAATATTTAATCTCATCAATAATAAACAAAGGAATAGAGAGCAAGTTTAATAAGAATATTAGATGGATTGCCAGGTAGTATGGATCATATAAGAAATATGAAGAAGGAAGATATGTTTGATTTATTTGTTAATAATATGAAAACTTTAAGAGATTTGTTTGATAAAGAAGAACCATAAGAAAAATAAATTTAGAGTGATTCAGAATAATCTATGTTTGTAGAACCTCCAGAAATAAATAGTGATGAAAAGAGATCTACTAATAAGGATTCTAAAAATAATATTAGATTGATTGCTGAAGTAGCAGAAATGGATGAAGCTTCTCCAATGCCTAATAGTTAAAAAAGAATAAATTTTAGTTTAAAGAAATTATCATTTGAAAAAATTGAAACATAACCTATAAAAAATAATACTAATTCTTCAAAATAGAATCAAAAATCTACTAAAAGATAACTTGAGAAGATGTTTAGTTCTGATAAATTGGCATTACCAACTGTAAAAGAATTTTAGACAAATGAACTAACTCAAACATAAATGCTAACTAATTCAAATTTAAATCCTATTAATTCAAATTCTTCTATAATATAAAGTAGTCAAAATTTATAAGCTAATTCTATAGCTAATAAATTTGGATTAAGTAAATAAGAATAAATTCAATTAAAAACATAAGTGGCTATGTTAATTATGTTGTATAATTTATAAATTTAGAAATAATAAAATTTAACTAAATCTATGAATGATTTTGCAGGATTATTAAATTAATTATTTTCATTTACTAGAAAATTGATGATTCATATTTTAAGAACATAATAATAAAGTCATAAATAAATAGCTGAATAATTTTTAGTTGAATTTGATTCTTTACGTAAAAGAATGCCTGTAGAATTGGATGCAGAGATTTAAGAAGAAGAATATCTTATAACTGAATTAGATGAAGAAGAAGAAAAAGAAAAGAAAAAATAAATTCTTTTTAAGAAAAAAAAAAATAGAATTACAAAAGCTTTGCAATTTAATTTTTAATAAAAATAAAATAAAGTAAATGTAATTGATAGATTGATGCATCCAGGAGTAATATTGGCAGTTAAAGCTAGAGAATAATCATATTTATTTAAAAAAGTTGTAAATTATTGGCCTTTGAAAAATGTTTTAAGAACAATAACATAATTGTATGATGAAAAAATTAGAAGTAGCAAAGATAATGAAACACAAAAGGATCTAGAAATGCAAATATTTGTTTTTAATAATTTTTTAAATAGATATGGATTTAAAAATGTTGCTGAAAAGAAATATTTATAATTTTTACTTTCAGTTATTCATTTCTCATCCATTTTTAGAGTTAATGTATTTGCAAGAATGATTGCTATATTATAAGATGAACATTTGAATTTTTCAATAGAAGAATCATCTTTCTTTTTATAAGGGTATGATTTCATGTGTTCTGAGTCAACTTTAGGGGTTAATGTTGTTTAAAGTGAAAGTGAATAAAAATTTCATGTTCCATACTTAAGAGCTTTAGATTATATGAAAGTCTATTTAGAAAATAAAATGATGGAAGATGAACTTAGAGATTTGAAAAATGATTTAGAAAATTTAAAGGAACCAGATCCTAAGAATTTAAATAAATAAGGATTAATTGATGTAGATAATTTCCTTATTAAAGTAATGAATAAATATAGAATTATTACAACAAGAACTAAAGAGTTTGTAATTCATGCATTCTAAGCAGCAGATTTAGATGGAAATAAAAAAATTAATAATAATGAATTTATTACATTATTTAGACATATAGAACATCAAAAATTCAATTTTAAAGATGCTATGAATTTATTTTATGAATAAGCAGACATTATTTAGAATGAAGAAAGAAGTCTATCATTTAATAGATTTACTTCATTATGTGTTAGCCAATAGATCTTTACTTTCTAAGCATTAAATCATTTTATTAATGTAAAGACAAATGATGATGTTGAAAAGTAATTTTTATTGGTGAGATAGGAATGGTAAAATTATAGAATGGAAATTGAAAGTACTTTGAAAGAATTATAACCATATGTTACTCCAGAAATCTTTTAAGAATGGAACACTATTTTGAAAACTCTTGAATTAAGAATTATGAGTTAAGCAAATTAATAATCAAATATTAAGCCAATATTGATAGCTCATAGAATATTGAAATTAGAATTATAGAGATTATTACATGTTGGACATTAAGAAGATGATATTGATGAAAATGCAATAATTTAATGAACATAGTTATAAAATATTAAAAACCCCATCTTAATATAAATTTAAATCATACAGGACTAATTTGGATGTCTTGTTTAAGTTTTCTTATGTCACCTGAAAACATATAATCTTATAATTGTCTATGATATTATATAAACTATTTATCTAATAATTCATATTAAGCTCTTTGACCAAATATAGATTGTACCTATATGATATAAAAATCAAATTACTTAGAGAGGTCCAAAAAGTAATAATGCTTTTGTCAATATTCTAGCCCATCTTTTCTCAATTCTATTAAGAAAAGGGATCTTTTTATAAAAAATAACTGATAAAGCAGAAACTGTAAATACTCCCCCTCCCAAATAGACATAATATTTATATAGCTCTTATTATTCTTTTTACTCATTCTGTGTAAATAAAACCATTTATTTCTAATGTCTTACAGGATTGAATAATTAATCTGTAAACTCTTGTAAACTTACTTATTTGATATGTTTGTATATATAATCATTCCCATAGAAATCTCTTTGCTGCATCATAGATAAAATTTAATTATTTTAATTACAATTTTATTTCAATAGTTTCTTTAGTTAATATTCCTATTGATATTATCTTCTTGAATTAAATATCAATTCTTATCAATTTCAATAAGTTTTCACCTAAAACTAAGCTCTTAAAATTGAATTCCTAAAATTAAAACAGAATTATATAAATATATATAAATTGGCCAAAAAGAAAGGAGAGACTCAAATACAGTTTTTAACTATTCTAATATGTTGTTTAGTTGATGATTAATATTACATTACCAAAATTAATTATAAAATGGGAAATGAATTTTGTATATCCAAAAGATCACCAAAACGAACAATATTAAATGATGATGAGAGACAATAAGTAAAAAGACTGTACAAGAAGCTTATTTCTAGACATGATGAGTAATTTATTAATTTCATTATTGAACTTACAAGAATGATTATTTGAATGAAGAATGCTTTCAATATCTCTTGAAAAATAGGCCAACCATTGCTCTGAAATTATATAAATATATGGTTTTTTATCATTCTGATGAAAGATTATCATTTGATGCATTTGAAGATTTAGGTGAATATTAATCCTAATATTTATAGTTGGTAAATTGACTAAACCAGAAACTTTGAATAGGATGACTAGAACAGAATAATATTCAATAATTTCTATTTAAAAGATAAATATGGCAAAAATAGATTATGATTAAGAAAAAATCTCATATTTAGATGCATTTGATTTATTAAGTGAGATTGAATACTTCATATGGGAATAAGGATATTTTGTTACAGATTATTTAATTTAAGATGAATACACTACAAGATCTATTTTAAGTAGATTATTTACATCTTCTGCTGGTTCTATTATGTTCTATGAACTTACAATATTTTTAGAACAAAACTTTCCTTGTTTATCAATATTATTAACAAAATATTTCAATTAATTATTTATTTCTTAAAGAAATTATAATCAATTGTCAAAATTTTAAAAACCCTCTTATTTAATAAATAATTCAACTTTTGGATATATGGCTATTAGTAGTTCTATTATTTAAGAAGCAGATTCTTTTGAATTATTATGGACAAGTGTAAGGGGATGGAATTTTGATTAATTATATACTGCTTTAATTGGATTTAAGGGTGCAACACTTATATTAATTAAATTTGATGATAGCACTGAAAATGATAGTGATGAGGAAGAAAATGTAAAATAAAAAAAAATAAAGAGTAAAAACAATAAACATTGCATTGTGGCAGCATTAAATTCAACCTAATGGATAGAGACCAATTCATATTAAGGAACAAGTTAATCAATATTATTTTAATTATATCCAACTTATACTCCTTTTAATGTTGCAAATGATGTTTTTAAATCGAAAAGATCTGGATCTTAAAATTACTGTTATATAAATAAAACAGATAACAAGAAAGGATTAGGATTTGGAGGAGATATGAAATAGTTTAGATTGTGGATCTCTGCATAAAATATGTAATAATCCAGTTATGCAGCAAAATAAGGTGAACCATATATAAAGGGTATTCAATTATCATAAATATATATTAGGTGATTTGATTGATTCTTCAATTTAGACACCTACTATTACTTACATTGAAGCATGGGGAGTAGGTAATTAAAATTTGGAATGTGATAGTAGTAGTGAATAAGAAATTAAGTGTTATAGAGAATCTACAAATGATTTATTATTAAAATATTAATGATGATCTTGATTATTAATTCTCAAAAAAATTGAATTGAAAGTTTATAGAGAAAAGACTTATTTTGATAAAATTTGATATTTAGAATATTTATTTAATAAAATGATATATAATTATAGACGTTTGCATTATGTTAAATCTTTGAAAATCTTAAATAAATTTAATACTGTTTTTAATATAATTATTATAATTATTTTCAGATTTAGTTGGCTTAAAATCTGAATATAATTTCATTTGATAAGAAATCATTATATTAAATTTAAATAATGCTTAATTTAAAAACTGAAGAGTCTTATGGATCAAATTCAATAAATAGATTTGATTAGTAAATGTAAAATTCTGATCGAAAATTTGTTTTACATGCTAATTTGAATGAAATATCCAGAAAACATTATCATCACGAAAGAAAATTGGTTCTACCTTAAATCTAAGTTTCTCATTCTTAAACAGAATAATCAGATGAAAGAGATACTGGTATTCATATGTTCAAAAAGTAATTGGAATGCATTAAATTACCTGAAATTGATGAAAAGTTTTTTATAAGAAGGTCTTTCAATATAGATTTGATGAATAAACCGAAAGTTTATTCTCATTCACATTAAGTATCAAGAGAAGAATATGAATTTGCAAATTCAGAGAAAAATATTGATGTTTTAATCACAAAAAAAGTTGATTTTTAAGAAGATGTAATGATTTATGATTATGTCAATCAAACTTATAAAAAAGATAGCATAAATGGATCAGCTAAATCTTCTAAATTGAAAAGGTAAAATACAAGAAAACTAAGTGATGATCTCACCTAAACATACAAATAAAATTAAAAAATGAATAACTTATTTAAATTAAATCCCAAATCTCGTTTTTTTGAAGAAAACACTAAAGAATCACAAAAACTTATCATAAATTAAAATCTAGTAAATGATAATATTTGATTTTATTACATCATCTATTAATTTTGAAATAACAACTTATATAATATATCAATTATTATTATGTATTTGAAGTATATATAAATAAGAATCACTTTTTATTTTTTAATTATGAAAATTAGTTTAATAAAAGATATACTTAGTTATAAGATACTTAATATCATTTTAAACCTTATAAGCTTTTTTAGATTAATTAATTAAAAGTCTAATTATTTAAAAATATAATGGAAACAAAATCTGAATATGGTTTATCAAAAGAAGGGCAAAGTTCTTTGGGTAAAGTTGTTGTTGAGATAAAGAATGTTTTATTTTAAGTAACCAGGTAGATGCTTATAGATGATGATCCATCATTGTTATTTACAATTGCATCATTATTTATCTAACTATTTTAAATGACTTACATTTGTTTCAATAGAAATCTTTATTAGGCTTGGAAGCATGATGATATAGCAAAATATGTAAATTAGATAACTGGTTATGTTTTACTATCACCTTAATATGATTAGATGTAATATTCAGCAATGGTGATATTAACTTATTTGTTTGTAGGTATCATAGCATTAGAAATTTTACTCTATTTGGTATTAAGCAATAGAACAGAGAAACTCAGCAAGACTCTACCCATGACAATGTTAAAGTCAATAATTAATTTGATGCTTTCAATTTTATATATGCCAATTGTAGATTTATTTATTTCAGTGTGGACATGCAAAGATTCTTATCACTTTTCATTTACAAATTATGAATGCTGGACAGGCAGTCATACTGTTCATTCAATAGTAGCAATTATTTTTTTGATAATATTCTACACTTTGAGTGCTATTCACTCATTTCTTTATTATGAAGCACGTTTTATCTATACTAATTCACTCTCAAAATAGAGTGGATTTGATGATTTTATTTTAAAAACTTATATTGTGATTTAAGTATTAAATTACTCATTTATTGAATCACAATATGTTTAAATAATATTGATAGCATTTGGTAATATAACTCTATATATATATAATTATCATTAAAATACACATAATAATTTATATGTATATAAAATGTGGTAAATGATTATTGCAATTAATAATTGGACTTGTATAATGTTAGCTTTTAGTAAGATCCTAGAGGATGTCATATTTAGAGGTACAATTTATGCATGGTTATTGGGAATACCTTTATTGATTATAATTGTTATATAAAATCCTGAAGAAAGAATAGATTTATTATTATTGGATAATTTGAAAGGAACAATAAGTCAGATATTATTATAATAACATCATTTACTAAGATTACATAATTGGAATTCTTAATTATTTAATATAATTTTGGATGGATATTTAAAGACTCATAATTAAACATGTATTAGACCTGATTGTGGTAAGGAATTAATTAAGATAATTTAATAAAATTATTTGGATGCAAGTAAGAGATTCCCATATGATTATTAATTAAAAATTAGATATGGATTTTTCTTACTTCATATTGGTTAAAGGTAATATGCTTTATAAGAATTCAATCAAGCTTAAAATCTAAATCCTACAATGGATTATGAATTTGTATTATTTAGATATAAAAAAATTATTGAAGATGAGATGAATGATTAAAATGTTGAATAAATAGATACTCATAATGAAGCTATGTATTTAAATATTATTAAGAACTTTTAAAGCAAAATAGAAAGAGTAACTTTAATAAATATGGATTTCTGGTCTTAATTATAAGAAGATTATCCAGATTTAGGGAAATTGAATTAGATTGGTTTAAATATACATAATCTAATGAATGAAATTGATATGATATGGAATAGATTACAAAAGACAAAGTAAAATACATAAAAGAGTTTAAAAATGTATAGTAAATTTATGATTGATGTTGTATAAGATTAAGAATATGGTGAATTGTTATATGAGAAATCTAGAGTTATGGATGCATCTTATGTAAGGAAAGGTATATAGATGGCAAGTAAAGAAGAAATAAGTATGGAAAGTTTACCAACAATGATTATTTCATTAGCTTAAGATAAATTTGGTTAAATAATAAATTTAAATACTGCATGTCATGTATTTGGATATATGAAAAATGAATTAGTTAATAGAAAATTAAATGTCTTAATTCCTAATATCTTTTAAAAAGCCCATGATTAATTGATGAAATTAGGATTTGATTAAAAATTGAGTAAAGAAAGATCAATTTATGTTAAAAATAAATAGAATTATCTTATTCCATGTATTATAGAAATGAAATCATTAACATCTTTAGATTAATCAGTTATGATAATAGCTTAATTTAAATTATTCAAACCATATAAACAAACATGTTATATATTATTTGATAGTGATGATATTATAGATTCTATTTCATTTAATTGTATAAGTTTACTTGGTTTAGATTTACGTTTGATTTAGAATAAGAAATTATTGGTTAGTGAAATATTTCCTTAATTGTAAGACAAGAGTGAATTTTTAATTAAAGGAGGAGGAATTATTTAATATAAAATACCTGAAGATATTATGAGTGGATAGATTTAATCTAATGAATATATTGATGAGAAGACTAAACTTTCATAAGAATTCATATGTACATTGAATTCAGTTACATTAAATAATTAGTAATTAGGTTATATGATGAAATTAGAATAAAAAGAAAGTGAAAATAGATTAATTCCATTAAAAAAATAAAAATCAAATTTTTAATTTAAATATAATGTTGGTAAAAAGATATTTTTGGGAGAATTCTCTACTGATCAAGTTTCAGCTATACATGATTTATCATCAGTTCATGATTAAACTGTTGATGTTAGTGCCATGTCTATAAAAAATTAATCAATCACATAGGTTAAATCATCAGAAGATTAAAAATTTGATTATGGTGAAGGAATTAAAACATTATAACTCTTTCAAAATAGAATTCAAGAAATTGATAAAGAAGAAATTATGGAAGAATTTGATGAAGAACATTAACAAAGTGTATTTCAAAATAATATTGAATAATAATAAGAAAATGAAAGTAATATTAATAATAATATTTTTAAATCAAGAGCTTCATTATAAGAATAAATTAAAAATTAAGGGAGAATTTCTATTATATAAAAAATGATATGGTTTACAAATATTTTATATTTAGTAATGACATCTTTAGCCTTTTTTGAATTCTTTTATTTAAATCAATAATATAATGAAATTGAAGAAAATATCAATCTTATTGGTAAAGAAAATTAAATTCATGCTACCTTATAAACTATATTGACAAATGTATAAAATCTGAAAATGCTGAATTTAGGTGTATGGTAGAATGCAAATGTATCTACTTATGAAAAAACTTAGAAGGAAGCCCTTATTAAAGAATTAAATAATGTTTAAGATTTAAATAAGGAAGTATTAATGAGTGAGTTAAAAATAACAGATATTTATTCAAATCTCAAGGTTTCAGATGCTGTTAAAATGTATTTTAGTACTATTTAAAGCTAATAATATGATTTTATGGAAGCAACTCAATAAATTATTAGTAAAGGAATTGAAGTATCAAATCTACCATTAAGAGAGATTACTGAAGAATAATCAAGTGTTTTCTTTGTAGAATACAACCTTTTAAATGATTATTGGATTGCATTATCTACAGTATCAGATTAATTTGTTTTAGCATTAGATGACAGAACTACTAGATAAGAAAAAGTTGAAGTTATTATAATTACACTTTCTGCTATTATGTTATTTATGTCTCTAATAATTTATTCGATAGCAATTATACTATTAGCTTAGATGAGATTATCCATATTATAATTATTCTTAGATATTCCAGAAAAAACAGTTAAGTATTTCTACAGTAAATGTGAGAATTACATCAGTAATTTGTAGGTAGGAGAAGATGATGAAAATGTATCATTTTAAGAAGATTTAGAAGAACAAGCAGAATTAAATAAGACCTTAAAATCAAGAAAGAAGAAGAAGAAGTTTATTAATTCTAATTAAAATCATAAGGATCATATATTACTATTTGTATTTTCGGTTATGCTTTTATAAGGATATTTTATATTTACATATTTTGTAACTTAAAATGAATTGAATAATATGAATTAATAAATAGCTGAATTTAATATAACAACAAGATGTGAAGGTTTTTATAGATTTTTGTGATAATTCTGAAAGACAATTATTTTATAATTAAGAAATTTAATTATTAAATCAAAAGCCTTATGAAGTTATCAAATAAAATATAAAGGATATGTATGCATATGATACATCTATGTAATAACAACATGCTTTGAATATTGATGTTTAGAATTCAGATTATAGAAGTGTTTATGATCATATTATGATGTCAGATCCTTGTGATGTATTACCTTCATATGGATCTCCTGATACTGTTACTTGTCAAGCCTTTGCAAGAGGAGCATTGGCTTAAGGTAATTCAATTGGAGTTGCTAGATATATAGAGAATTTGAGATACATAATAACAATTTATGATAAATTTATAGGTTTAGGATCTAAACCCAATTTTACTACAGTTGCAAGAGGAGATGCTGTATATTCTAAGATAGTTGATGATCCTGAGAAAAATAATATTTTGAATTTGAATAATTTCAATTAGACAAAAGAAGCGAGAACTTATCAATCAAATTATTTAACACGTATTTTTATACATTTTATTAAATTAAGCATCTTTTAGATATTTGACTGATTATATGATAGATGGATTTAGTTAAGATTTAAGTGATCATGTAGCATAGAAATTGGCAGTTTTTATAGTATTTAATGTAGTACTTTTTATAATGTAATTTTTAATTATGTATCCTTTCCTTTTGAAATTAAATAAGTAGATATCAAATACAAGATTATTATTGACAATGATTCCATTAAGATTAATACTCAAAATATACTCCATAAGAAATTTTATCAAAAATAATTTGACTGATATTTAATATTGAAATAATTATATATGAAAAAATCTCCACCTCAAAAAGATTAAAAAAGTCTCGAAAAAGCAGGTGATAAATAAGATAAATAAGAAAAGTTCGAAAAATCACATAAAACTCTTTAACCTATAGATAAAGTTAGGATACCTAGAAATGTGAACTTTTATCTCCACTTCTTATAACATCCAGAGATAACAGAGAATGATATTGAATGGGTTTTGCAACTTCGACATTGGGATGCTGTATATCTATTATATATTTAATATCTAGAACAAAATGAAGGAGCTTTTAAGTAAAATACCTAATCAACCTTATTCTCTTGCAGATAAAAAAACTATTTTTTCAGAGAAATAGCATGATGTTTAAGATATCAAAAATAAGGATAATGTTGCTAATTTTATGCATCTTCTTAATCATCGTTTAGGATTGAGTGCATCAGGAAGTTTAGCAGATTATGAAACTGGATTAAGAAGATATCAAGGAAATGATGAAAATCTAAGTAAGAGAGAGAAGGGATGGTGGTATATACCTAAGAAAGATCGACATGATTTCCCAGAATTTCCAAAACCTTATAAAGAATAGGTAGAACTTAAAAAGTCTTTCAGTACTGGAAAGTTTAATACAATGAAATTTACCTATTCTGGTTTTGAAGGAATGCAAGAATTGCCACCTTACACTATGAAATTTAAGCAAGGTAATTGTGGGAGTGTCAAACATTTATTTGGCCCAGATGTCAGAATGTCTCAAGGATAATGGGAAGAAGGATTAAGAGATTCATATAATAAGAGAATACCATAATAAAATAGAAACAAAGAAGAAAGTAAAAATAAAAAGAAATTAGATCCTATTAAAAAATGATTAACAATTATTAATTTGTTATAAATAAATAAATATATATATATATATATATGAAAACAATTCGGATGTAAATACGCTTATATTTTATATTATCATTAAACACTAACTCATTTTAATGTTACAATTTAGTTAGTTGTATGGATATTAGGACAAGTATCCAAAACCTGTCTAATTAACTTAGCATAAAAGGTTTGAGTCTCAACCAATTCATTTAATCTCTCCAGTGAAAAGCTTTCAGTAAGATTAATAGGTGCAAGAACTTACTCGCATTAGAGAAAAACTAGAATACTATAATGAAGGCAATCGTAAAAAGCCTTTTGAATAAGTCATTGAGGAGATGGATTTCAAATATAAAAAATAACCTATTCATATTGATCCTACATAGACTACTCTTAATGAAATTGATAGATTACATAATGATTATCTAAATTCTGGTATGCGAGATCCAATTTATTTGAACACACTCCAAAAATTAAGACATGATTTTCTTAAATAAGCATAACCTATAGGTTATTATATACGTCCACCTATTCAATAAGGATATAATCCATCTTATACAAATCATCCAATTTATGAACATTTACCAATAAGTTTTAAGAGAGAATTGAATTAATAACATTCATTACCAGTATTGTAACACAATAGACAGAAAACAGACTTCTCAGGAAGCATAAATGATTAAATGTTAAGTTATATGAGAAACGAAGAAAATGAAGCAGTTAGATAATTATCTATGGATAGATTATCTAATATTTAAATGATTAAAACTTCAATAGAGAATGAAGTTGTCAAAGAAAGAATCAATAAAATGGCTTAAGAAATGACAATGAAAAGAAAAAGAGGTTTTGAAACAAATGAAGATGCCACTGTTCCTTATAGTCATTTAGAAGGATTTACAATTTAATGGGATATTATATCAAAATTACCTATTTAATACACTAAAGCCAGAATATCATTTGGGATATTTAAATAAACTGAAGAATATCATGCATATAAATTAACAAGTGATTGTCTTACTTAAGCAGAAACCTATAGAACTAATAAATGTATATTCAATTTAATAGAATAAATGAGAGATGTTCAAGCAGATGATAAGACTATTCTATATATTGAAATTTGGGTATTTGAAAGTGATGGATCTCTATCTATGCTAGGTTGGACTGTCTTTAAATTATTTGATCGTACTGGATCATTATACATAGGTAAATATAAATTGCCATTCTATCAATAATAATACAAACCACGAGATCTTTTAATATATAATAAAGAATATCCTTATTATGGAAATTTATGTTTATACTTTAGAATTATGCAATAACCTTAACATCTCGATGAAATTATCTTTGTAGAAAGTGATTATCATATTCCACATTATCATGTTCATAGAGAATGTAAAATTATAAGGTAAGAAATCAAAGATGAAGCCTAACTCCCTAAAGATCTAGCTAAGGCTTTTGCATATGATAAACCTTTAAGAGAGAGAGAACCTCAATTATTTGGAGACTTACCATTATCCCCTGCTAAAAAATAAAGAACTCTTAGACCTACATATTAGATCAATGATGATGAATATTTTGGAGATGAAAAATAAAAGGAATCTCCCACTACAAGCATATAATAGAAATATTAAGTGAAAAGTAGATTCAGTAAAAAAATAGATAGTATGGAACATTTACCAACTCAAGAGAAAAATAGTCAATAATCTAGTGATGCAATTATTAAATTAGAATCTATTAAACATTTTGATAAAGATTCATAAAGAGGATCCACAAAAAATATTAGAATTTAATTAATTTAAGAAGATTAGGTTGACAGTAGGAGAAACATAGATGTAAAAGAGGCAACTAGAAGAGCTAATGGAGATAATACAATTAGAGGAGATAGAACTATTAGAGGGGATAGAACAGTAAGAGGTGATAGGACAAATAAAGGAGGTTTAACAAGTAGACATCTCCTTCAATTATAATAATAAGATGGACTATCTAATTAAATAACCAATGTTAAGTAATTTAACAAATTGAAACGTAAATTAAAGGCTACACAAGGAGGAGATTAAACAGTTAGATCTTAAAAAAATATTGAAATACCTTAGGAACCAGATTTAGGGAGTACAAGAAATAAGGTAGTGATAAGTGGAGCAGGAATTGTAGCAATGGATATTTTAAAATTGAATAATTTGGATACAAAAAAATATAATGAATTGAAATTGAAAATTGGGTTCTTCATTAATGATATCATATTAAAAGATGAAAGTGAAACAGATTGTGTTATGACTTAGAATTTGATTCCAAATGAAGTTACTGATAAATCATAAAGATATAATTTACATGCAGAATTTTCATTAGATTATGGTAATATAATATCCATTATTGAGCAAGAGGGATTTACTACAAAAGATGCTTATGTTTATATTGCTATTTATTAGAATAATGCATTATTGGGATGGTATGTGGCTCAATTATTCAAAGATACAGAAGATCTAAATAATTTATAAATTGATTCAGGTTTATTTTAAGTTAATTTAATTAAACCTCCTGGTTAATAAGCTCCATTTCATCAAAAAGACATGGTTAAAAGTAATATTTAATTAGATTTTGTTTTGATGAGCAAGAAGGAATAACTTAAGAATTTACCTACAATAAATAAATTTGCTATTTAAGAAGAAGAAAAAGTTAAAAATGTGGAAAATCCAGAATGGAATACTTAAATTATAGTTTAATTATCTCAAACATACAATTTTGTATCTAAAGACAATCTATAGATCAGCATATCTATTTAATCTGAGTAAAAGATTATAGATGATGTTTTGTAAAGATAATGTTAAGTAAAAGATGATTTAGATATATTTTCTACTGATTCAAAACATATATGTAATTCTAATTACTATGCTACATTTAGAGTAGGAAAGAAGTATTTATAGGATAAATTTTCTAAGTATAATCTTTTAAATTATGTATTCATAATCCATTAAAATAATTAATTTTTGGGAATGGCTTAATTGAATGTTTTTAAGAAAACATCAATTTAAACTGGTGAATTTAGATTAAACTTATATACAATAAATAATAAAAAGTTAAGTTTTGAGATTAAACTATTAATTAAAGAAGTACCTTTGTAATTAGATTTTTATGAAAGAACACCATCTTATAGAATGAGCAAATCTAAAGGTGGTTATACTCAAGAAGATGAAGAAGATGAAGTAAAAGAAAAAGATTCAAAGAAACTTTCAAATGTATCTAGATATTTACCAGTTACTATTTAGATTTAAGAAGTTTAGTTAAAAAATAGAAAAGTTGTTTTGAAGATTTTAAAGAATAATGAAATTGTAAAGTAATAAAATGAGGATGATTGCATATAAGAGATGATTGTTCCAAATTCAGCTGTTTTCATTATAGATATTGAGGATATGTTAAAATGCAAAGAAGGGTACTTTGTTTTAATCGAAGTTTATGATGATGTTTTGATAGCATGGTTTGCTATGAATATGGTTTTTAATAAGAAATTATATACAACCAAATTATTCACAGAATTATATAAGAGTCCTAGATTGCAAACCCCTTTAGATTATAAACTGATTAAGAAATTGAAGGAGAAGATTGAATTCTAAATTCATTAAGGAGATGTTCGAACAGATATTAGGAAATTAAATCAGAAACAAAAAACAGGATTAGATATACATATACATTCAATATCAAACTTACCTAATAATGGAGACAATCAAATAATGATTCAATTAATCAATGATGGTAAAGTGATTCAAGATAAATTATTGAAATTGTGTTAAACAAAATAGAATATGAATATTGTTAATGGTTATATCAAAGATTTGAGTTTTAATTTTAATTTAAATAAAGGAGATGTGCCTAAAAATACTTAATTAGGAATTTATATAAGTTAAGACAATACAGAGGTGAGATGGTGTATAATTTCGTTGTATAGTTTGGGGAAGTTGAAAGAAGGCAAAGTTGAGAAGAAAATGTTTACAGGGCCATTTAATAAGACAAATAAAGTCTCAAATACTGATATTTGTCTAGAAATAGAGTGATGATGAAAAGTATAGTTGAATAATAAATTGAATATATTTTTGGATTGAATAAAAATTTAATTTTAAATTATAATTTATGGGTAGAGATTTCAGAGGTGGAAGAGGAGATTCACGAGGAGGTGGTAGAGGAGGAGACCGAGGAAGAGGAGCTCCAAGAGGCAGAGGAGCCCCAAGAGGTGGAAGAGGAGGTCGTTTTGGAGGACCTCCAAAAGCGTTTGTAGTTCCTCATCCAAGATTGGAAGGAGTTTTTGTGGCTAAAGGATAATAAGAGGCTTTGGTTACTAAAAATATGGTGCCAGGAGAATCAGTTTATAATGAAAAAAGAATTTCTGTTGAAGATAAACAAACAGGAGAGAAAGTAGAATATAGAGTTTGGAATCCATTCAGATCAAAGATTGCAGCAGGAGTTATAGGTGGAGTGAGTGATATTTTCATAAAGCCTGGTGCTAAAGTATTATATTTAGGAGCTGCATCTGGAACTACAGTTTCTCATGTGTCAGACATCATAGGATCAGAAGGTATATTATATAAAATTTAGTTTAGGTGTCGTATATGCTGTTGAATTCTCTCATAGATCAGGTAGAGATCTAGTCAATATGGCTAAGAAAAGAACAAATATTGTTCCTATTATTGCTGATGCTAGAAAGCCTCTTGAGTACAGGATGCTTGTTGGAATGGTTGATGTTGTATTTGCCGATGTTGCATAACCAGATCAAGCTAGAATTGTTGGTTTGAATTCCCAATATTTCTTGAAGAAAGGTGGTCATTTTATGATCTCCATCAAAGCTAATTGCATAGATTCCACTAATAGAGCTGAAGTAGTCTTTTAACATGAAGTGCAAAGATTGAAGGTATAATAATATTGTATTATGTTTACAGGATGAAGGCCTTACACCTCTAGAATAATTGACTTTAGAACCATATGAAAGAGATCATGCTATTGTTATTGGAGTATATAATGCTTGAAAATTAAAATATAAATATTTAATGAGTCATTATTAAAACCCTACTTACAATCATGCACAAATGAAATAATAAGTCGGAGTTTCCAATTTGAAAATGTTAGATGGGGAAGACTTGAGTAAATCATCCTATTTCATTCTCTATTTTAGCTGCGGGAGATAGAAGAAAATTGTAGTAACTGTAAATGAGAGATTGGGTATAATAATAAACTCAAGAGAACCAGGCCAAAAAATAATTAAATAAGCAGATCTAATAATAATATGATTCATAGACTTTACAAATTAATTAGGCCTTAAAAGATTTAGATCAAGAACAACAGAGAAGAAGAGTTGAAATGGAAATAGCAAATCAGCAAATTAATAACTAAATGGCCAAAGAAAAACAGGATAGAGAATAATATATGGCAGCATTAGCTTAATAAGAAAAGAAATAACATCAGCAAGAAATAATGAATAATGATGTCTGGACAGAGAAGTACAATCCTCTTTTATTATACATAAAGTACTGCAACCTGTTAAAGTGCTTTGGCTCCTCATAGAGTCATACCTTACCATTACAAAGGAATGTCAGAAGAATAAAGATAACAAATCAGAAATGATTAAGCTAAATAAAGATAAGAAAATGAACAAAAAAAGTAATAGGAGAAGGAGGATGAAAAGATGTGGGCACAATATAATGAAGTATATTAATAAATTAATTTATTTTTAGCATAATCGAAAATAATTAATTATATAGGAAAGAGAAAAAGCTCGTAAATTGTAAAATTTGAGAAATAATTAAAAAGAGTTTAATTTACTATCCTAAACTGAATAGAAATTAAAATTAAAAAATGAATATGCATGATAAATAAATATATTTATAATGATTTAAGAGATTATAAATTTTAATATTTAGTTCAAGATATATGGATATTTCAAAAGAATTTTTGGCTTATGGGACTTTAGATGAAAATGTTGATCATTAATTTCAAACTTTTTAATTCAATAAAACTATATTGCAAAATCATCATTTAGGAGTTATAGATTTATCTATTAATACTGATAAAACATAAAGTATTTAACTAATATAATCATCATATTTGTGGTCTCATCATTAAATAATTACAGCAAATCTTTTTAAACTTTTTAGTATGATAAAAATAATATACTATTTATTTATTATTAAACATCTTAGGTGTGTTTTAGAATTTGGGATATTGATGATTAAAATTGATCAATATGAAATATAATGCAAAGCATATGCCGATTTGAAGATCAGATTTTTTTGATTTATTAATTATTGTTACCTCTAAAGAGATTAGAATTATTAGATTTTATCATATAGAAACAAAAGAGTTGATTGAAAAAATAGAAAAAAATTCAATTCATTATTCATGTTCAATCTAAATTCATGATTATTTCTTAAATATTGTTAATGAAAAAGGTTATCAATTTTTGATCAATAAAAACTACTAAAAGAATATGTAAAATCTAATAGGATTAGAAGATAGAATAATAAAACTCAATGATCTAGAGAAAGTTGAAATCATATAATAACTTTAGATGGATTTATGGATTTCTGTAAAATCAATTATGAAACTAAAAGATTATTCAATTATTTTAAGTTTTTCCACAAATTGAACTATTCAAGTTTGAGATGTTAATCAAATTAATTTTCAGAAATGCATATAAATAATGAATGACAAACCAAGAGGAATTAATAGTATTCGATATAAGAATGACCAAATTATAAATGCTTATGATTATGGCATATTAAGTTTTGATGCTATATGATAATTATTATGTGTAGGATGTGTGGTTTATCATTTTACAATCTTATCTCTTCTGTATTTAAATGGATAACTTGAAATATCTTATAAAGGGGATGCTCTTTCCTCACTTGGATATAGTATATTTGTGAAGAAACCATGTCTATTGTTGTAAGACTCTCTTATTTATCTGTGAATCTCCTAAGTTGTCCAAGTACGAGGAACTTACTCATTAAGTGCCTTCATATTTAATCCAACTCTTCTTTCTATTAAATTTAGCAAATGCAACTTCTCACTAGAATAATTATGAGAATAATTAATACTTTTATAAGGCATTGTAAAATGGATTAAAGTGTAACCAACCTAGCCAAAGAATACCTGAAATTGCTGCAGGAATCAATCTTTATGTAGACAATGAATATTTAGTAGCTATGTATGGTTACAATGCTCCAGTATAATGAAATAGAGCATAACAAGCTGCTGGAAATCCCCAATATGACCATGTATTTAATCTATCTTTTAGAAGCAAAGACTTAATATCTTCAGAAAACAAAACTCTTTATTTATAAGCATTCAAAAGAGTTATTGATTTTTCTTCTTCTGTATAAAAGTGCCAGATTCTTAATTCAAAAGGAGATCTCTAATCTAAGGCCATTTTTTTCAATTAAATAAATTATAAACTAATATTTATTCAAATTTTCATCAGATTTCAAAGCTGATCAATAAAAATTGACTAGCAGGTCTTCAAAGTTCTTTATTAAGGATGAATTAAAATGCAATTTCTTCTTTTTGGTGTTCTGGAATAATTTTATTATTCATCTTTTGTGGATATTCTTTCCCTCTTTATAACTCCTTTTTAAGTTTCAATGATAAGGACTTTTTCACAGAAGCTCACTTTTTTCTAATTTTGCCTTAAACATGATTATTTCAACTAATCTATGTTATCATTTAACTAGAAGGAAGGATTAGTCTTGATTGAGGACTTCATTTAAAAATGGTTATTTGTTTAAGTAATAATTGAGAATTCTTAAATAGGCTTTAATTTAAGTTTCTAAAGCAGAGATGGTGTTGAGATGAGTAGATTTCTTTCTGATTGAAAATTAGTACTCTATTAATCACTTTATGTTGATGAATCAATGTTAATTTAGAGTTTTCTAGTTATTTTAAAAGATTAGATCATAATTAAAAAAAATTATATGATACTGTTTTAATAAGAATTATAAATTATCGGAAAATAATATAAATTGTAGAGGGGAGTTGTAGGAAAAGAAAAATAAAAATTTAAATGAATTTCAAAAGCATCATTATTAAATAATCTGATTTGAATTGAAAAAGTATCCATTTCTTAATTTTGATTCTTTATCAATCAATTTTTCTTTTTTCTATATTCCTATATTTGTGTCTATTACAATAACAAGATTCTAAAAGCTAACTTTCTTATGTATTGATGATGGTCTACTAAATGCTTTAATACTATTTGTTTCTCTTTATTTATTTATCAAAATAGAAGCTAGAGATTTTTCAGATAGATTTAATCGATGAGATCTTAGATCAAAATTGTTAAAACTTGATTGACTACTTTGTTTAAGATTCTCTTTATACATATTACATGTTTTAATTCTCTAATCAAATTTTTTTAATTTTGATAATCCCACAACGGTTGTTTTCTTAAGCTTATTTTAAATGTATTTCTCAAATATAAGTAAATTTCTTTTATTACTAATAGAATCAATATCCTTAATAGTGTTTACATTAGAAAATGTAAATAATTTTGACATGTATATGGTATTTTCTAGTTTAATTATATATAATTTAGTTGATTTAATAAAATAGTTACTGCGTACATTTTTATAATCAATCAACAAATTAATTAAATCTGAAGAAATGTTTTAGTAGTTGGAAACTATATTTTAAATTAAGGTTATATAAAATTATGAAAAGAAATTAAAAAAAATGTGTCATTTAATTTTTTACTGGAGAGAAAGAAAACAATAATTTAATGAATAACAAGAGAATTTTATATTCATTATTGCAAAATTGCCCAAATTTCAAGATGCATAATTTTGAATTTTTCAGATTTAGTAAATCTTATATTTTCAAAAGTTTCACATGGATTTGAATATCCAAATGTTAAACTTTGATCAATAAATAAACCAAATTTATCTCCACAACCTATACCTAAACCTGTTTCATCACAATAAATAAAATCTCTATTTTTTTCTGTCCAAAAATATGGTTTAATTTCATTTTTCTAAAATAAATAATATATATTTTATACTTCTTAATCATAATTAAATAAAAAGGTTTCTCCATTTCCTTTAAATCCCAAACTATATTAATGAATCTCTGTTGAAATATAAGTTCCAAATATAAAGTTATCAAAATCCTTTATAATAATAATGATTGGAGATTTATTTTTAATTTCATAAAGCATATTTAAAAAGCTTGATCCATCATCATCAATATTATATTATTTAACCCATTCAGCTAAACGATACACAGCTGGAATTTATTCAATGATTTGCTTATAAGTAGTATTAGTGAAACAATTAGAGGATTCTTTTAGAACAGGCACATATTCTAAACAAGCCCATAATTCTAAAATTATTATATATATATATATATAATATACTTCCCATTCTTTCACCAATAACATCTTAAATTTCATCAGTTTCCATTTATTTTTTCTATTTAGAATCTTCAATTAAATCTATATATGGTAATTTTGTTAATTTAGATTATTCAGAGTATCCAGTACAAGCTTCATTTATAAATTTTGCAATAAATGCACAATTAGTCTTTTTAATTTCTTCAGAGTATAATTTTCCATCTCTATCTCTTTCTGCATGCTTAATATATTTAAATAAATTATCATACTCTAAAAAATACAGTTGCAATACTCTTTTTTTATTTCTTATATTTTTTTAATTGTTTAGAATACTTTTTTTCAAATTAAGGTTTTCCAATACCTGATAATAGGATTTATACAATATAATCTAAACATCCATTTTAATTTTATAAAACATAAGTTACAGCTTCATTGATATCAATCATGGAAATACAAGCATTCATACGTACTTTATTTTATTTATCTTGTATCTATTCTTATTAGCATGGATCAAACAATACAATGTCACCTGTTAATGTTAAAGTTCCATTAGAATTTTATTTGTTATTGCAATAAATCACTTCAACTAGATAATTGATATTAATAAAGAATTACATTTCTAACTAAACTTTTCTTGTTCCCATATATTTTCTGAATGTTTAATTTAATCAGGAATCTTTACAATAGAAAAACGAGGTTGATTTGTTATTGGAACTTTTAAAATCTAATTTTAAAAAATCATATCACTAGATAGATTATTGATCCTCATTAAGTATCCTTCATTAACACTAAACTTAAGAGCAATTCCAAAAAATGAATCATCTTCTTATACTAAATATTCCATAAATTCTTCTTATTATTTAAGAGGTTCTTCTTTAGCTTCAAATGATTGACTTCTTTATTTTTATTGATATGTTTCTTGAATTGTATCCATTGTTTTTTCATCAATTACTTAAAAGTCTTATGTTGAAGCTTTATGAATAGGAGGAAGTTCTGGTTGTTCTGACTAAAATGATTATGTAAGAGATTTCTTATTTTTTGAAAATGCTTTCTTAAATATTTTAAGCATATAAATGTTTTTGTTTTTAATATATGGCATTTTTGGATAAGTAATAGTAGAAATCAACGATAACAATGCTTATTTTAATGTTCATGAAGGAGTAAGAAGCACTATATTGTAATTACCACATGCATGGGATGGATAATTGAATGGAACAGGATGTGAATTAAGATAAAAATCAATATAGGAAAGCATAAGTTAATATTAAATAATAGAATTTTCAGAAGATAATATGGAAGAGCTTATTTTAGTAAGTTAAGATGATCATCGTATTGCTATTATTTCTACAAATTTGAGATTAGTAATAATCCATAAAAATAATCTGAAAGAAAAAATGTCTTATGATCTATCAAAATATGAGATTAATTATATTCATCAAATCATTTTGAATGATAACATTTTATTATTAATCACAGATACAAAAGCTTTTGTTGTTTATTTATAGCCATTAAGCATAATTGAATTTGCAGAATGGATTCCTAGATAAGAACGTTGGCTTACAAATATATATGGTGATTTTATATATACAGCAGTAAGTTTAAATGGCATAGATATCTATCATTTAAATAATCTTACTTATTATAGAACTATAAATCATGTAGATATTGGATAAAATTAATTATGTGTTAAAGATTTCACTATATTTAAAACAACTTTATACATTTTAGATTGTTATATGGGTTTGATTATTGCTAAAATGAATAGTTATGAAAATGTAATAGATTTTAAAGTCAGAAAAATTGATGTTCAAGAAGGTGGTATTGCAGTAGATACAAAAAATGGAATTAATATATTTGTTGGATATAAATGGAAATTAAGATATGCAATTGTTGAATATGTTGTAGATGATACTGAATGGAGAATATAAAATTTAATTTATACTAATAAAATAAAAGATGTAGATGTTAATAATGAATATGCAATTATTTAAGGTAATAGTAGACATATGGTGGCATTTAATTTTGGTACTTCATTATCTAATGATATCATAAAATATAATTTAAGAGATTTTGAATTAAGAAATAATGAATTGATAGGTATCACAGCAACTCAACTCTTTAGTAGTCAATTATAATTGATACCATTAAAAATTGATTGTCAAATTTATTAAGATAATTCTGAAATCTATTCTTTAGTATATAATGTTTCTTATAATGGTACTACAATAGAGAGACATCATCTTAATTTTTAAGTTAATTTGGTTTCTACTTATTTATATTAACATTAATCTTATTTAGTAATTATCTTAATTACATTATTGTTTTGTATATTTACATTGATAAGTATTAATAGTCATTACATTATTTAGTCATTATGATTTTCAAATGGTATTATAGTCTAAGAAAAGAAGAAAGAAAAATTGCAAAGAGTATAAAAGGATATAGTTTATCAATACCAACTAGTGGAAGAACCAATACATAATAAAGTTCTAGACCATTTTCACCTAGCAATTAACATTTAATTATCAATAATATCTAATAATAATGATGACTTATATTTTATTAAATCCCTTTTTTTAATTCAAATATTTCATATCTTTAAAATTAGGATTGCCTTCAAAATTTGAAATTTATGATGATAAATGTTTATTTTTATTTACATAATCATTAATGTTTAATCTTATCGAATACGATAAATACAAAATGAATCACTTGAATTTTAGATTCCTATTTAAGAAGAGACACTCTTGCTTTCTCTTTTTTAAGCAAAAGATTCAAAATTAATTACAAATGAAACATTTCCATTTTGTCATTTGAAAGAATTAAATCTAATTTTTGAAACTAAAAGATAATAATTTGAGAATATTGTAACAATGATACATGTTAAAGATGGTGTAATATTTATAACTTCAGATTATTTTTTACATTTGTTAAAATTCAATTATTAGAACTTTAGTGGTGAATTTGCTAAAATTATTTGGAAAGCAGATTTCAAAGAACTAGGTTTAGATACTATGGCTGAAATGCCTTAATTACTTTATTGTAGTACAAGTAATTTAGGAATACTGTTTCAAACTAGAGGGGCAGTATTATTTAGTGTTTAATAAATGGAATAAAAAGTAGCTAAACTTTAGATAAGAGATTTAAGTGAAATAAAATAAAGAAAAGAAAGAGGAGTTACTAAAGAATATGATAATTATATCTTTTCTTGTGTTGGTTAAGATGGTTTAGATCTTTATAAAATAATTGGAAATGAATTACATTTTATTGATTAGATATCAAATACTAGATTTAAAGATTTAGCTATTTTGAAAATTAATCATATCATCTATCTCATTCTATTAGATGAAGAATAGTCATGCATTTCTGTCTATTAAATGGATGTAGTCATTATAAAGATTTCACTTAAATTATAATTCAAATTTTAAACAATCAAACATGAATTTATTGCAATTGATAATTACAAAAGCAATATATTTGTTGTATATTAATATCATCATAAATATATTTGTGTAGAATATTATTTTACTGAACAAGAATTAATTGAACTAAATTCATTTGAAACATTTAGTAAAATTAAAGATGTTGATGTTTCTGAATAATTTGCTATATTATAAGGATAAAATAAACATCATATTATGTTTGTAACTAAATTTGATGGACTCTAAATTAAACATGTTCCATAATATACTTTATTAGGAGCAATAGATATAGATTTCTTTTATTTAACAAATATAGATCTCACAATGAGTCATTTAACTGATTAAAATAATTTTTCTATGGAAAACTTCTTTTTTGGAACTTCCAAATCTGGATTATTTTTTACTAAATTTAAATTTCAAGATCCTTATATTATCTGTTATCCTTTAAAAAATCAAAAAAATACTCAATAGAATTATTAAATAATTTAAAATGAAACTATCATGATTTAAAATAATATTCAAAATAATGTTATATTCTAAAGATATACAAATATTTCTATTTTGGCTTATGATAATGATGAACCATCATATTATAAATTAATTACGTATTTTGGAATACCAATATGTTTATCAATTTTATTAATGGGAATATGTGTTTGGTTTATATCTAAAAATAAAGAAATCGAAAGATTAGAAACTGAAATAACTGCAATCAAAAGTAAGAAATCTTCTGGATTAGCTGTTGCTGTAGAATATAATACACCCTAAATTATATAAATTATAAATTCCCCTATTATACCTAGTCCATTTTCAAATACAGCAAGAGCACATGTTAAAAATACCTTAGCCAATATGGTTGTTGATGGTTGATTTGATATGTATATAATACAAAATTATATATGTTGACATGCTTTTTAAATAATTCATTAAATCTTTTTTTGAAATCTCTTACATTAATAAATTGCTAAATATATTCTTCTTATATTAAACACTACATTATACTAAATTCCTTTATATTTTGAAGTATTCATAAATAATGATTCAAAACTGAAGAATGATCTCATGAAATCTACATTTTTTTAAATAAGTTCCTTCACTCAAAGGTGTTTATTTTTATATTTAATGAACTATACCATAATTATGTGTAAAAGTGACATTATTATAATTTTAATTAATAATAATATTATCTAAATATTTTGAATGCTAAAAATTTGACTAATAAATCAATATTTATTAATTTGAATAATATATTATATTAAGTATGTATTTGATAATCAAAGATTTAATTTAGAAATCTTTTTGTATAACTTAAGAAAAGCATATAAATTTTTTTTACTTTTTTTAATATATATTTTAATTATATATGTAAAATAAATAAGAGTAAGAAATAATAGAGAGAATATCAAAATTTAAATAAGCTGTTAGAATAACAAAGTATTGTGGAATTAGATGTAATGTAATCAAGGCAAATAATGTAGATGTAGAATGCATACAGAATTGTGTAAAAAATTATAAGAAGAATTTTGAGATTTATTTTAATTCATGATAAAACTTAATACAAAGTTCAAATAATTTATTAAAATACTAAATAATTCATATCATCAATTTTACTCATTAAACATAAATATAATTTTTTTTATAATTAACAGATGTAATTGTTAATTATAAAATGATGACATTTGATAATCAATTTATATAAATTATTTGATTTATTTGAATGTATTATATCAATTATTTACATATTAACAAGTTTAGATGTCTAATTTAATTTGTTTTTAATAAAAAACTTTTTCAAATTAACTTAACATTAACTACAATAATAGCCACAACTATTAGAATAATGCATACAGCATCAGCTACTTTTTTTCATATATTATTTATGCTCTACTTTTGCCTAATTTAAATAAAATATAAAAGCTTACTCCATCTAATACAACAACTGCCTCTTTAACATTTGTATTTGATTTATTAATATTATTTTCAGCAATATCTAATAACATCTTAACTTAATCAACAACTACTCTTGCTACTTCAGTTAAGATTTTTTTTGAGTATTTCTAAAGCATCCTTTTGGAATTTCTTATTTAGACAACATATAATAAAATCTATTTCTTCTACGTATTCTTAAATTAACATAGCTATATGCTATATATTTGGGTTAACTTCCATTTTTGATAATTAATCTAAATTCTACCCTTTCTCTGCTGAATCTTTTTCATCATAATTTGTATCATCATTATCAAGAACATAAGTTGATTTTCCATTTATTTCTCTTTATTCAAGAAATGATGATACTTGCATTTTACATTTCAATCTCTCTTACCCCACTTTAATTTATATCTTTATGATTTTTAATTAACTTTGTGATATCAATAAAAATATTTTATTGCTGATATTAAATAATTTTAATGTACTTTAATAAATTCTTTATAAAGCATTTAAATGGTCATATTTTCAGATTTTGTTACCACATTTAAATTTGATTGTTAATGTATCATCAATTAACTTTTGACATTTTTTATTTATACTGAGTAATGTATATTAATTTAATATTTACTATTTAAATATGCTCTTGGTTTTCTAAATAAGAATATCATTCAATACCCTTCTCCTAAAACTAATTTTACAGATCCTTTTCTTTCTTGATAAGAATCTATAAATTCTCTTACACAAATTCAAGATCTTAACTTCTCATAATAATATAATTAATTTATATATGAAAATTTACATATAGTCCCCTGTATTTCAGAAATTCATATTCAATAACTAACAATAGAGAAATAAATTGTAAATGCCAGTATCTTAGGATAAAATTGAGAAACCCTCTCCTATGTCCAGATCCCTCACTATTAAATAGTAATAATTTCAAGCAAATTTAATAGAAGAAGACAAACTCAAAATACAGTTGAAACAAGAGGATTATCATTATCAATTTCAAGGGAAACTCAAAGGAGCTTTTTCAAAGAACCCATTCAAAATAAAGTCATCCCTACAGATTAATTTTAAACCATGATTAAGGAGATTTAAGTTGGAAACTCAATACAAGTTATTACAAAGTTAGAATAGGGTCCATTTTCAAAAAAAACTTATTTGATTTTAGGAATTGCATACAAACAATTAAATTAATTTGATAAAGCAAGAAGTTGGGTAATTAGTGATCTTAATATAAGTTCAATAAATGTTTGTCTGAGTATCCAAATTATTTAGATGGCTACATTTAATCAGCTGTTTTAGAATTTAAAGCATAAAAATACTATGAATCTCTTAAATTTATAGAATAAGCATTACTTCATAATCCAAATGATAAATAGGCACTCTAATATAAAGCTAGATGTCATTCAGCTTTAAAATAACATCAGAAAGCTTTAGAAATTTATGAGAAGCTAAGCAATACAGACTTTATAGGTAGATCACGTCATTGTCTATCTTTAATTAAATGTAATTATTTTGACCAAGCACTAATTAAAATTGATACAATCTTATAGCAAGACAGTGAAAATGCTGAAGCTTTATTATTAAAAGGAATAATATACTTTAAAAAAAGTAAATAATATTATAATTTATAGAAAATTTTATGGAATCTTAAATTTATATTGAGCAAGCTATTCAAATGTCAACATCACATTAATTAAGTGCCAAAGCTATTTCTTATATTATTAAGTCTAAAATATGTCTAATGGACTTTTATGAAGCTTAATTACACTTATCAAGAGCAGATTAATTATAAAGGAATTTTACATGCATAACTAAATTAAAACCTTTTGTAAATGGAACTATTAAGTTAATGAAAAGATAATTTGCATAAGGACTTCAATTAATTAGAGAATTAAAATCAATTAGCAAATTCTTATAGCCAATTTATTATAAATTTTTAGGTTATGCATAGTTTTGTACTTCTGATTATGTTTCAGCTCTAAAATCATATGAAATGATTAATTAAATAGAAAGAGGATAATTATATAATAGATATGTTGCTGAAGCTCTTATTTTATTATAAAAATGTAAATTTTATGAAAATAATAAGGTTAGTATGAACCATCAATTAAATTGCTTGACAAAGCAATAGAAATATTTCCAAATAAATTAGAACCTTATTATTATAAATGTTCAATTTGTTTACTTGATAAATTATATGATGGAGTATAAGAATGTGAATAGTTATTAGAATTAGCATTCAATAAATAAGGAAAATAGCCTAATTTATTTTTTGCTAGAGCTATAATGAAATCTTATAAAAGAAGATATACATCTGCAATGAAGGATTTAGAAAAGGCTATTGATAAAAGTGAAGATAGTATAAGTGATCACTTTTACATAAGAGGTATCTTACATGCTTAAAGTATGAGATTGAAAGAAGCTATAAAGGATTTTACAACAGCAATTCATTTTAATAAGGAACATTCAGAATCATATTTAGAAAGAGCTAAATGTTATTAGATAAAAGGAGAGTAATATAAAATATAATGATTAGTACAGCATAGAGTTTTGGTGATATGAATAAATATGTTAAGTATAATAATTCAGATGAGATTCATTATTGGAGTGGAAGTTTGTTGTTTCATAATAATGCTTATGAAGAAGCACTTAAAGCATTTAATGATGCCAAATAAACAAATTAGATATTGATATTAAAATTAAAGTGTGAAATTAAATTGTAATAAATAGACAAAGCATGTATAATATCTAATTAATTAACACAATAAAATGTTAGGGAACCTAAATATAAATTAGATTTTTAAATGTTAACATATATAAAGACAATTTTAGATACTATTTAAAATAAAAAATAATGTGATACTGTATATTTTCCAAATATTGATTAAAAAGATATAGGATTAATATTTTAGTCTTAAGATGTTCTATTATTTAAATCATCAAGTATGATATTTTAGCACAAATACAATGAAGCATTAATAATTCTTTAGTAATTGGAAACTTATTGGATGAAATCATAAAAAGATAGAATGAATAGTATTTCAAGTCATCAAGATGCTGATTCAGAAAAGAGTGAAGATTTATTTAATGAAATGGTTTTGAAATCAGAGAGAATAGTGTAACATATAATTGGTATAAAATACAATATGGCTATAATTTATTTATTGGTAATATGTTATAATAATAATAATTAATAGTTATCTTAATATACAAATGCTAAGATGAAAGTAGAAGATATAAGAGAATAAGTTGGTAATGTTGTTTCAGATGAATTGGATTATTTAAAACTTTTAATTTAAAATTAAATTGATAAAAAATAAACTCATGTTTTTAATAAATCTATTTTAACTTTTTTAATGAATGAGAAAAGTATTTTTAATGGATTTCCAACTATAAAAATACATTTATATGGTTAAGGAATTTTTGAATGCAAATTATCTCTTAATTTTCCAGATATTCAACCACCAAATATTTGTCCAGAATTTAAAAAAGAATTTTTATTTATGATTAAAGTAACTTTGATTCATTTAATATTTAGCCTAATCTTATAGAAAATAAACCTGAAGCACCTTGGCTTCAGAGAACTTCATAATAAATACTTGTTTTTACTTAAAATCAATTAAATGATGATTTAGATCTGACAACTGATGATGAAGTAGAAACTAATGAAAAAAGAAAAAAGAAGAGATAAGTTTAAAATTTGGAGATTGATGAAAAAGTATAAAAACGTTTGGATTAGTTGATGAAGAAATTATGACTATTGTATAATTTATATTACTATTTATTACAAATTTCAAATATGGAAGACATTAATTATAAAAGTAATAGCTATATCTAATTTTAAGTTGTATTATTGGGGGATGCAGGAGTAGGAAAAACTTATATATTAAATTAATATGTGAGAGGACAATAACCAAAAAACAATTTACCCACTATTGGTAAAAAATTATATTAAAATAAGGTAGGTATCGAATTCGCAACAAAAACTGTGACATTATAAGATGGAGGAAAGATATAAGTTTAAATTTGGGATACAGCTGGATAAGAGAGATATAGAGCTATTACAAAAAATCATTTTAGAGGAGCAGGAGGTGCTTTATTAGTTTATGATATTACCAAAGAAAAAACATTTGAAAATTTAACAAGATGGATGGAAGAACTAAAAACAGCAGCTAATAAAGATGTTGTTATGTATTTGGTTGGTAATAAAACTGATTTGGTTGAAAGACAAAACAATTCAAGGAAGGTCACAAAGGAAGAAGGTTAATTATTTGCTGAAAAAAATGAATTATATTTTGAAGAAACATCTGCTTATAGAGGAACCAATATTGCACAATGTTTTGAAAAACTAATCGAAGGTATTACAACAATTAATATTACTTTAGAAATGTATAAAAAGAAAAATTTATTAGTAACGCAATAATAATAAGAATAGAACACATAATTGAAAGCTATCGAAACTCCTATGTGCAGCAAATGCTGAATTATTGTATCATTATTTACCAAATTTTAGTCATATATATATATATTAGTATTATATTTATATTATTATATATTTCCAAAATCTAATTTATTACTATCTTAATACAATCTTAAAAAGTCTAAGAAAAATACAAAAAAGTTATTTATTATTAACTTCATTTTATGTATAATATATTTATTTATTTAAAAAAAAACATAATTAATATTCCATTATTTCTAAAAATGTTAATCCTTTTAAATATTATATATATTGAATTTTTAAATTGAATGCAGAGTAATTCAAAGTAATTATTTAATTGAGGGATCCAAATATTTTAAATATATAAAAAAATAAGACATAATAAATGGCTTTTTAAATTATAAAATTTTTCGTAATTTATTTATGGAATCTAACATAGTTGTATACGATTTAACAGTGTCAAAGATATGGTGTACTATGTGTGCTAACAAAATCAAATCAAGTTTTGAAGGTCAACCAGGTATGGATTTATAATAATGAATATTAGGAATCTAATATGTGTAAGTAAATGTTATGGCTGAAAGAGTGATCATTTCTTTTGATTAAAACATTATGTAAAAGATATAAATCTAATATGAAGCACAATGAATTAAATCAAAGAGATATTTGAGAAAAACAACTTCTTTATAGTAGGATAGCCTAGATTAATTAATAATGATTCTAATTAACAAAGAACATGTCAATTCTTCTTTCCAAATGCTGAGTATGATCTAGAAGAGCTTGTAGATATAAAAAACAATCTTTATAAAGAATATCAAGGGGGATTGAGTGGGATATAAGAATAATCTTTTAAATACAATAAATAAGTACATTTTAGATTACATTTTTATAGTCTGGATAATTAATGTCAATTAACTATTAACCACTTTCAATATCAGGACATTAATTAAAGCAATTTATTGAATCATTTGTGAAAGATAAGATAATAAAAAATGATGAAAAAGAAAATTTGGATGCAGATTTGAGTCTATATATTTATAATTAATTATTGGAAAAATTTAGGAAAAAAGAACGACTTGTTGAAAGTGTCACTTAAAAAAAATTAATTTTGGCAATAATATTAAGTGCTTTATTTTTGGTATTATGTTCTATTATGCCTCATTTTGAATTCTATACACCTATTTTGACATATCCTAATGAGAAATCCATCTTTAGTTTATATTTAGTTTTGATATTTATTATGACAACTTTGACTCTAGTTAAATTTGGTACATAAACATATAAAAATGCCTATTAATTGTTTATAAAATACAAGTATAAATTGTCATAAATACTAGAATGTTTAATATGGATACATTATTAACTTTAGGTTCATTAGCTGCTTATGTTATGAGTATATTTATGTTAATAGTATATACAATTGAGAGTGAAAATGAATCAACAGAGAAATATGATTAATTAGAAAGAATAATGAATGTTATTCATGATTTAGAGTCAGCAGGATTAATATTAACAGTGATAACTATAGGAAAATATTTTGAAGGTAAAGCTAAATAAACAATTATGGATATGCAGAATTAGATATTTCCATAAGAATAATTATTAAAAACTCCAATAGTAACAAGAGTGTAAGTGAAAAACTAGGATTATGATATTGATACATAACATTTATGTGAAGTATCTTTATTAGAGAAAGGAGACTTAATTATTCTATAAAAGAATATGAAATTATTAGTTGATGGTGTTATAGTAAAAGGTTCAGTCACAGTTGTAGATTCAATATGTTATGGTTGGGATGATAAATTTGAAGCTACAATTGGAATGAGATTAAAATCAGGTGCAGATATTTTAGATGGTTCATGCATATTTTAAGTAGAGTAAGTAATAGAGGGTTCTATGTTATTTTAAATAGCAGAATAATTAAATTTAGCATAATCTGAAAGGGAAGATAAAACTTTTGGTATTTCAGCAATGTTGTAATCTGTATCATAAAAATTTGTACTTGGTGTTATTTGTGTAGCATTATTAGTATTATTTGTTTGGATTTTATTAATTGGTTTAGATATAGTAGAAATTGATGAATATTGTGTATGGTGTTTTCCATTTGAAAGAGCAATATCTATACTTGTTGCATCATGTCCTTGTGCTTTAGGATTAGCTGTTCCATCTGTTGTTATAATAACACTTAATTTAGCATTGAAATGTGGAATATTAGTAAAAAAGGTATTAATTATTGTTTATTAATAAAGAATACAATTTTTGAATAAATTAGTAAAGTAAAATGTGTAATATTTGATAAGACTGGAACTTTATTTACTAAAGTAGATCATATTGATTCATTTACTCTATTATCAAAAAATCAGACAGAAGTTTGTTCAAAGAATTAAGATAAAACTATAATGAAGGTTAAACAATTCTAAAGATCTTTAGTAATTTCAGATCCTATTGAGACTAAAAGAGAATAATAATATTGTGAAGGTACTCTTTAATCAAAATTAAAATACAATTAAACATTATCTGTTCAAGATTTATGGGCTATTATAAGTATATTAGAGAAAGAATTCACACATCCAATTGCAACATTATTATTTAAAGAATCTATATCTAGATAAATTGGAAGATAGAGTACTTTTGTATTAACAGATCAACCAAAATTAGAAAAAAATGGTATTATAGGAAATGTAACAAGAACTACTGATAAAACTTAATTTAAATGTTTGATAGGAAATTTAAAACATTTAGAAAATAATAATGCCATTTTAGAAGATTATCTATTAAATAAATGTAGATTTTTAGAAGGAAGAGGTAAAACAGTAATTATAATGGCTATTGATAATATACCAGAAGTAGTTGTTTGTTTAGATAATAAAACTAATTTAAGACCAGAAGCTAAAGCAGTTATTTAATATTTAAGACAAAAATTAAAGAAATAAGTATATATTTTATCTGGAGATTCTAAGAAAACAGTTAATTCAGTAGGTAAGTATTTAGGAATTCCTTCAATTAATTAATTTGCTGAAATAGATGCAGAAGGAAAGTAGAAGATTTTAAAAGAACTTAGAGAAAATAATTAAGAAGTTATGATGATAGGAGATGGATTAAATGATATATTATCATTATAATAAGCATGTGTAGGAGTAGCAATAAATGCTAAATCTGAATTGAATTTGATGGCATCTGATGTTATTATGTTAAATGAGAATCTATGGAAAGTTGCTTCATTATTTAATTTAATGAATATTGCACTAAAAGTTGTCTACATTAATTTATTATGGGCATTTGCTTATAATATATTTATGGCTCGTAAATTATTACATATATCAATTTAGCTATTGCTGCAGGAGTCTTTTATGGACAAGGATTTACAATATCTCCAATGATATCTTCTACTGCCATGTCCCTATCTTCCGTTATTGTTGTTCTTATTAGTAATTGTATGCGATTCATCAAATTTGATCCATCTCAATAATCAACTCTAAGAAAAGTTTAGGATGAAAAGATTAGTGAATAATCTCAATGTTCTTATGATTCCTATATTGAAGTGAATAGTTCTAGTTAATCAAATAGAAAAACAAATGCAGAGAAAATTATAACAAGTTGATCAAAATAGTTGTTATAATTATATTATATCAATATAAATTATTATTAATCTATATCTATTTGTTTTATATTATTATAATTAATAATTAATTGTTATTTTATCATTAAATGAAAATAGAAATATTCTAGAAATTTTTTAAATAATTAATTTTATCAATCGTGTCAATTTTCATATGCTAATAAGTCGTGTCTTTTACTTAAATATCAATAATAAATTTAAATGAAAGCACAACACCTTATTTTAGTGTCCCTTTTGATAATGTTTGCATCTACATAACTCATTGTAAATATTTTAATCTATATATCTAGCCAATTAAAACTGAAGAAGAAGAGATTAAAATTGATTTAAATTTAGAAGAGAAATTGGAAATTTAAGGAAATGATATTAAGCAAAATAAATTATATGATAAATTATATGAAATTGATAAAGAAGCATATGATTAAATCAAAAATACATTTAAGAATGTAGTACATCTTATATTTGAAAAGTATTATATTTTTATTCTATTCTATAGAAATGAAGAAGAAACATAAGTTAAATTACTAAATTCAATTATTTAAAATGTTAATTTTACTAAAATAGATGTAATATTTGTTAAAAGTCCTATTGGATTAATTGAATCAGAAAAAGGTATTGTGATCAAAAATTTTGATAAAATGATTTGGATTAGAAATTTCGATAATCTTTAATCATAGATATTTGGTATTCATTTTAAATATATTCTAGATATAATAAGTCCTAAATTAGAATTCTTATAAACAGAAGATGATGTAGATGAATATTTTAACTAAAATAAACTTAATTCATTAGTTCTATTACCTGATAATTATACATTTAGAACTTAAATTATTGAAGATCTAGAAACATTAATTAGAAATGGTGATCTAAAAGAAGCCAGAATAAATGGATTGAAAGCTTTTAATTCTAATTATAAGAATTTTACTGCTCCTACACTTATATTACATAAAGGAAATAATAAATTTGAATAATATGAATATAATTTGACTTACACAGATTAGATATTAGATTTCTTTTATTTAGAAAGTCTTGATTTAATTAATAGATTAGATGAAGACAATTATGCAAGAGTCTTTGGAGGATCAATTCAAACTCAAGTACATCTATTGATTAATGGAATTTTAAATCAAGATTTATTTAATGCTTATTATTAAGTTGCTTAAAATAATAAAAATAATGATTTAAAATATCATCGCTTAATATTTACATATTCAACATTTGATGAAAATCCTACTTTATGGTCATAATTTGATTTTGATTAATCAACAAATACTCCAAAACTTGTTATTACAGAAACCAACTTTAGAAAATATTAATTATAAAAATATATTTGTCAATCTGAAACTCTTAATTAAGAGAACATATAATAATTTATAGATGATTTTAGAAATAAAAATCTAAATGAATTTTATAAATCTGAACCTATTCCTCAATAAACAGAAAATTAAGATATTTATAAAATTGTAGGATAGACTTTTTCATAAGAAGTTCTCAATAAAGGAAAAAATGTTTTATTATTGTTTTGGGATTCAAAAAATAAAGATTTATTTGATGATTATTTCAAACTTCTTGATTAATTTTCATTAATTTAAAATAAAGAAAAAATTAAAATTGGCCATATCGATCTTGCAAATAATGAACATCCTAAAATTACTGTAGATTCAGTTCCAAAATTGATGTTATACTTAGCAGCAGATAAAAAGGCTCCTAAAGAATATTTGAAAAGCTCAAATCTTGTAATTTCAGAACTCAAAGCTTGGTTAGATTATTATATTGGAGATAGTATTGCATATAAATAAGAAAAGACAGATTTGTGATTATCTCTTATGTTTATAATATTTTATATTAATTATTTTGTAAATAATTTTTATAAATATATCTTTAACTTATTAAATTCATCCTTCAGTATTTATTCTTCTTATTCTTTTCTTCAAATTTGATGGAAATCTTTGAGCTTAAATAATATTAAATTATTATAAATTATTATCAAGAAAAGGAGTCATTTAATCCAATTCATATAATGCTATATTATTTTTAGAAGTATCACTTTCTAATTAAAGATTCTTTTTTGCACTAGCACTTCTATTTTTTTTATTTATTTGAATTGGAAACTTTTAATTAGCTAATATTAATTAAGTTAATTCTTCTTTTGGAGACTATTATTAGGTAGACTTTTTAATTTAACTAAAATCAAATTTACCTCTTTTTGGAGAATCATTAAATGATTTTGAATCATTATTAGTTTTTTTAGTTGATAAAGCATTTTTTATTAATATTTAATTAACATTCTCTGTTTTTTCAATTTAGATCTTCAAATTCTAGATCTTTGCACTCTCATAATTTAATTTCAATTATTCAGTTTATTAATTTAATACCTAAACTGTTTGTCTTACATTTGATAATTCTTTTTAAGCCTCTTCATTTTAAAGTTTAAATCTTTTTAAGTCTTGTACTTCTCTTCTATATTTGAATAGATACCCTTTTTATGATCCTATCCTTTATTCAGATTATTGTAAATCAACAAGTCTTTAAAAATGAGTTGATTTCCAATATTTAATTTGATCATTAAGATCAAGATTTTTTTAATTTTAAATTTCATATAAATCTTTGTATTTATCCAATTAGCTTGACAATTAGTTTGTTAATTCAATTAAATCTTTATTTACTTAAATCAAATTTAACTCTTATTATTTTAATTAGTTTATTTCTTTTTCATAATTTTATTTAACTTCTTCAAATTACTATTACAATTTATTATGCTTTTTATTAAGTTCCTCAAAATTTATTTTCAGATTGTTATAAATATTAAGCTAATTTTGTAGATTTTCCTTTAATTTATTATTATCCTTTTCTAAATTATTTATGGTTTCTTCTAGCTTTTTATTATGTTCTAAAAATGTAGTCTATGATGAATAATGAGTTCTTAGTATAATTAGTTCTTATTCCTAAATTTACATAGTTATCTCAGAACTCTTTAATTTTAATTCCTTATCTTGTAAGATGGTTTTAGTATTTTTACATTCCAACCACAATATCAAATATTCTTATTTAAATACATTAATTAGTTAATCTGAGAGATGTTCCAATATTTCTTTAAAAAGTCTTTTGAATCTTTAATTAACATTTTGAATTTCCACAAAATTTGCAGATCTTACTGCTTCAATTACTTTTTCATGACTAATATTTTATGCCTTAACTCAAATGATATAATAAATTATACATTCAACCATCTCTTTGGCTCCTTTTAAATGAGTAGTTTTTTCACACTATTACAAACAATCTTGAGCCAAAACTTGAAATTATGAATTATATTTATCAATATTCAAAACTCCTTAAGTCTTAATATTTATCTCTTTATCTATTATTTTCTTGATATTCTTATCATCTTATTTAAAGTCTAGCAATATGTTTTACATTTATTAATATTTATAATATGAATTTTGATTATAAGAACACTTTTTTAAGAAATACTCCATATAAGATAGAACCAGCTAGACCGAAACCTTTACTTTCATCAGCAAAAAATGTATTAGGAGATTATTCAAATGTTTCTTATTGGAAATTTGATAATTTCAGTCATTAGAGATCTTATGTAGATACAACTCTTAATAGATATTAACCATCATTTAATGCTTATGCTAAAATCTTACCTCCAGATATTTTGGATTGATTAATCATATGATTTCTTTTTCTAATTTTTGAATTGATGGCATATAATTATTATTTTATATTATTTCATAACCATTAGAATTATTAATTTATATGATATAAAAATAAAGAAAATAAATTCCATTATCATTACCTATAGCCTTATTATTTAAGATAGATTTTTTAGGAAAATGTTTATTTTAAAAATAAAGACAAATTAAATTTGTTTATTAAAATTAGAAAACTTATACCATCTAAATAGTCAGACTATAATAATATAATAAAATTATGTTTGGGAAGAATAATAATTAAATTAATAATTTAGTTGCATTTTTGAAATATATTATTGCAAATTCGGTTCAATCTGATTTCAATTATTATTATGGTTCTCTAAAGGAATTACTCTAAAAACTTTGATTGGTATCTTAAAATAATAACAATAACATAAATTTTACCCTCTTTACTTGAATTATTATTATTTTCATTATCATTATTCAATTCATCTTTATCACTTCCATTACTTTTAGTAGTTTAAGTTTATTAGGTTGAGTTAGTAAAGGGATATTGGACTATTATATTTATAATTGAATTTTTACAATGATATTTTTATTCAGGTTATGATTTAGATACATTAGCCAATACTTAGAATAGTAAGTCATTACAAATGGAATTTTAATTTTTTATAATACTTAACTCTCTAATCTATTGTCTAGAGGAATCAATCAAAGTAGATATAGTACTTTAAAACTAAGAATTATATCAATAATTTTAACTTAATCAAATTATTAATAGAAATAGATGAGCTCTTTTTATATTTATTCTATATCTGTCTTCAATTCTGAATAATTGGAATATAATTAAGTAACTTCCTATTTTGCTTTATTTTATAATTTGAGATAATGGCATCTTTGCATAACACCATTTTTTCTCATTATTTTGTAAAGTAGATCTCTATTCTAATCAAATACAGTACTCTCTTCCTTTTAAAAAGTAATGATGACTGAACTAATATTGATTATTGACATTTCTTATCTTCTTGAAACTATACATATTCAATTGTCTTATAAAGGAACTAAAGTTTTAATGTTTAAATTATTTTGGTAACACAAAGTCACTAAATACAGTTTAATCTTTCACTATAAAAGCATTTCCAACACTATTAAATGATATAATATCCTCAAATTCTGGATTCTAATTATTTAGTTTAAAATAAATTTATTAATATATTGATTAATAATGTAATTTTCCAGAATTTAATTCTCAAATCATTATATTTGATTCACAAATTAAAGGTCTGGATTACAAGAAAATGAGTTGTATTAAATACCATAACCATTGAGTATGTTTTTAAAAGAAAACTCGAAATTCCTCTTCGATTTGGTGGATTTGTAGGATAGTTATCTCTTTAAGTATAATGGCAATTATTATTCTTCTAATTCATTAAAATTAATATATAATAATATCATTTTGATTAATCTGGACTAGAAAATTGATGATAATTATATTGACGTTCCTAGAGTTCAAACAAGTTATTCATATATATAATTCATTTTAAATATATATACATTTTATAAATAATTTATATATAGATATGCTTAATCGTGCTATTAACACAGGGTTTCGTAAAGCATTGCCTTAATTCACATTCTCATCAAGAAGTAAGTAACTTAACTTAAATCATCTAGATGGTCCATATAATCCAAACAGATATAGACACTATTTGAACCCAAACTTCTTCTAATCCAATAAGGAAATTGCTGATATTGCCAAATCATAGTAAGTCCCTCTACCAGGTAATTTCAATTCATTACTACTTCAGTTCGAAATGTAAGACATGTCAATCCAGTCAGATAATCTGGTCCTCTTCCTCCTTATGATGGACCCTATACGTATTTTTATCCTTCATATTGTTAATTAGAATGGAAGACGTAAGAGCTGTTTGGTAGAATACTTCTATTGGAAGATAAGGAACATGGAGTTGTTAGATGGATCCTGATGAAATCATGAGAAGAGTCCCAGGTGCCATACTTATTCTATTTTATAGGAATCACTAGAAGAGAAGTTGAAAAGATATTAAATATGGGATTAACACCATAAGAATAGGTTGATTTTGCTTATTTGGTATATAACTGTGGCTTTGATGTTGATTATGTTCCTAACAGTGTTTATGTTGCAAGATAAGTTGTTACTAATTCAAAAGGAGAAAAAGTTGAAATCCTATGGAATGTTTAAGTTCTTGAAGATTTAGCCAAATTACCTGTTGGTTTTGCTCCTGTAAGGGAACTAATTGATTATCATTGGGAAATCTTTCTTTGGTCAGATCCTATGATCAAACCAACAGGTGATTTGGATCTTGGTGTTCCTAATACATGGTTTGAATATGAATGTGAATGTAATTATATACTATATCTCTTCTAAAGGGGGAGGTGAAATGGTTGGAATTGAAGATTAATTCAATATCCCAGAAAGTGATAGAGTATTCCCATCTCCAAAAAATCCTAATTGTAGAAGAGAACTATGGAAATCATAGGATGATATCTAAGAATAATTAGAAATGGAAGGTAAAAGGCAATTAATCATATTTTTAGATGAAAATTGGTATCCTAAAGGAACTTCATATAATATTTACCAGTAAGCAGACTATAAAAAAGTAACTAAATCAGATAGCACATTTTAAGAAAAGATATGATCATTTACACATATTAATGCAATTATAATATCATATAATCTTCTATAGGTTGTAGATAAAATTTATATATTTTATTTTTTATTAAAATTCAATTTAATAATATTATATAAAAAAAGAAGCTAAATATTTTTGGACAATTGTTAAGATTATAATACTATAATAATATAAATAAGATCAAATTTTTCATTTGAATAGAAAACAATAAATATCTATTGATGAATAAAGAATATTTTAGAATAATCTAAAAAAACTATTAATTTTTTATATTCACATAAACTCATGATAATAATAAAACTCATTATCAAATATTTTAGTTATATTGAAACTATTGATTGATACATACTTAATCTATAAGATTTATATTAATTTTTACTTGGAATTGACATATTTGTAAGTCTGAGGAAATTAGAGTAATGTATCTATTGGATTTATGAGAGGGAAGACTATAAAGTTATGTATTCATTAAAATCAACTTATTAATTATTTATCCATTTTTTTAACATTGTGATTATTTTAATTTTTTCTTTCATTCTCTAAATGTCTGATTTTAGTTTTGACATAAGATTATTCTTAATTTCAGAGGAAATTTATAGAGGAGATGTAGAATTCTCTAATATTTCAGATACTTATTTATAATCCACTCTAGGTTTTGGTTTAATCAAACGATTAATAGATTTACCCTCAGAATCAGTATTGATATCTAGCTGAGATTTGATTTTATCTGCTTTAAATGATAAATCATTTAAATTGCATAAGTTTCCAATCGGAAAATCTCTAAAAATGATTTATTCTTAATCTGAGAATTTTGATTCAAATTTATCATAAATTTCATTACTATTAGATTAGTATTTTCTATATTAGGCTAGTTAAGTTCTATAAGTAGATTGATGTAATTTTAGTTTCTTTCCACATCTAGTTAGGTTATCTATTAGATCAATATTGTCAGATATGAGTTCACTTAATCCATCTTCTTTGGTAATAAATATATGCTTTTTCCTAAACATTTTTTTTAAAGTATACTTGCAATGTTCTTAGAGGCAATTACCTAAGAAATTAAAATGTGCACAAATATAGGCATGTTTGCTAGTCAAGTTCTATAGATCAAGAGTGCTTTTACTAACTTTTTTAAATGAACTTGTATTTAAATTGATACTCCTATCACTATTTTGCTCACTCTATCAAAATTATGTATAAATAAACTACAGAGCATAATTGTTAGGATGAATAGCTACTATCACTTTGTTCTAAGACACCTAAACCTTAAGTAACCAATTTTGATGTCATATGATTGGTAAGTTTAGAGGTTAATAAATCGCTGTCCTACTAATGAAAGTTCATATCTATTATTAAAAATACTTTTTTTCTTATTAAATTTCCCCCCTTCAAAAAGTCCCAAGATTTAAATATGGTATAATATTAATTTAAATTTGTTGTTCAAAACATCATTAAGGTTAAATTATATATAAGAGATAAAATACTTTATTGTGATGAGATAACTTTTAAAATTTTTATATAAACATAATAATTATTTTACTACTTAAATTTATATAAATAAAAATGTTTATTATTAATTCAATTGCTATTACCAATGATCAAAAATATGTTATAGGTGCAACTAACACTGGAGCACTCTACTTTTGGGATTTTGAAAACATTCTCCTAGAAAATAGTAGTAGAACATAAGAAAAGACGTATCATCATTCATAATTAATTAGATAAAATACACTAATATACAAAGCATCATATAAATTTCCTCTTTTTAAAGATTCAATATAATAAATATTACTTATACAAGAGAGTTTATATTGTGTAGTTGCTAATAAATTGTATCAGGTTTTAATGTCATCACTTATATCTCCTAATCAAATTATAGACACAGATTTAAATAGTTCAGTTATGATTGTAATTCTAAATACTATTTCTTTAGTAATCTTTTTAAGAAGAGATTGAATTTATCAAATACAACAATGAAATTTTAATTGTTGCTGTGGGATCTAGATTATATTTTATTGATTTATAGCATGAAAACAATATAATTGAGTAATTATTAATTTACTATTAGTAAAGAGAAATCGATATAACATAATCAATCAATGATAATATTTATACTTTAGTACCAATCAAAGATGTGAAAATAACTAGTTTGGCTGTTATTGGATAGAATTTTCTAGCTATAGGATCAGATATTGGAATAATAGGAATTTGGTGTAAGATATCAATATAAATCAATGTTAGCTAATTCAACATATTCATTCCAATCTGTACTCAGTTTTAAAGCTGCAAATTAGGAATTATCATATGTTAATGATGTATATAATTATTTGATAAATTTAATTTAGATATTGTATTTAGAAGATGAACAATAAATAATTAGTTTACATAAGAATTATTTAGTCATTTGGAATTCAATTTTAAGAAATGATGATGAAATAAGACCCATTTCTGATTATTATAAAATGTGTAGTTTCCAAAATAATGTAAATATTTCATTTATTTAGATTTATTTAACAAAAGGAAATAGATAAATTGAATAAATGAATTCAAAAATAACACTATAAACATCATCTGATGTTATATTGTAATTTAGTACGATTTGTTATTAGAATAGTAATGTTCTTATTGCAAATGGCTCAAGTCCATTTGTAGATATTTATGTAGATAAAAATTATACATTGACATTAAGTTGTTTATGATATATATATTATACATTATAAGATCAAAGTTTTAATTATATTTCTTATCTTATATTTTATTTTTTATTTTAATTATATTATATCTATAATATTGTAATTCATGCCTTTATTCACTATTAAAATAACTATAAAATTAATTTTTGTAAATCTTTCCTCTTTATCACTATTTTTGAAATTCAAATTTAAGAATAATAATAAGAATAAGTAATTTAAATAATTCTAATAAGAATAAATTATAAATAGGGATTTCTATAATATTTATATTTTATTATCTCAATATCCATAATTATTATTTATTATATTATTTTTGACCATATAATTCAAAATTCATATTGATCAGTTTTATATTCTTCCTCTTATTTGGGTTATCTACCTCTTTTCATCAACAGCAATTGTTTAGTACTTTACAATTAGGCAGCTGTTTTAGGATGTATCCAAGATGGAATCATTTTCTATACAATCCTATTGTAAACAATATCCATTACATATCCAAACCACCTGGAGGTCTTTTATTTAATCTTTCTTATCTGAATTTAAATTCTTCTTCAGCATAATTCATTAAATTCTTTTTTATTTTTTCAATTCTAATTCATCAAACTAAGATACCTCTATTCTCTTGTTCTCTCACGTTTATGTCCTTTAGGTTTTCTATGATAAGGACTTAACTCTCTATTTTTGGGTTAATCATAAATCCATGGGAGCCCATGAAAATAAAATTATTTCCTTAAAAGACCCTTATATCTACCAGAAATATCTGGACCAAAAAATCTTCCATTCACCATTTTCTTATTAAAACATGATCTAAATGATAAATATGATAATCTAAGCCACATTATATATATATATAATAATTAATTCAATTTAATAAAGCCAATTTCATTTCAATATTGCTAATTAATTTTTTTGTTTCATCTATTGATTATTTAACTCCTTTATCATCTAATTAAACTGATGATTGATTATCAACCTTAGGGAATTATTAAACATACCAAGGTCCTGTATTTGGAATCTCAATTTTAATTTAAACTTATTCTTTTTACAATTCCTAACCAGTATTAAATTCTTATTCTCTAGTATAACCATCAAGTCTTTAAAGTGCCTTTATTGTATTGAATATAACATTCCTATAATTATTAAGATCACATATAGGATTTTTTTAATCACCAGATGGACATTATAAATAAAGTGTTCTAAGTACTCTAATGCGATCTAAATATTCTATTGATTTAACACTTTTAATAAAATTTCCTTTAGCTTATAAATTTTAAAGTGAATATAACTCACCTAAATCTAATTATGTAATTTGATTATTGGAAATATTCAAAAATGCTAGATCTTTCATTACTTTTAATGGAGATATGTCACTTGGAATATAAAGATAATAATACCTAATAGAATTGTTTTGTAGATTCAATTAAACTAAATGAATACATTCTGTTAAACAATCAATGTTTCCAATTTTTTAATTACTTAAATCCAAAACAAATACAATATCGAGACCAAATTTATTAGAGATAGTTTTAACAATTTCTAAAATAAAATTTAAACATTGATTATACATGAATTAACTTTACCCTATATATTGAAATTCTAATTTTATTTGAGATCACGAAATTTTTCAATATTAATTTCATTAACATTTGTTCCTAAGAGTTTACTCTGTATTTATTAATTATTAGTAGTAGAACTCTTTTCAACTTGTTTAATAGGTTTTTTATCATTTTTTTTATCATTATTCATTATATATTTATTATTCATTTATCAAACCATAATAATTACTCTTTTCTCTCTTTTTCAGCAATGAATGAATCAAATTCAGCTTTAATTGCAGAAAAGTCTTCTCCTTTATAAGTGACTTATAATGCAAGAGCAGGAGATGTATCTTTAATACCATCTACCTTATTTCTATGTCTATGTGCTGGTGATTTAGCAGGATCTAATGATTTTGGAATAATTGCTCCACTCAATTTTGACACTCTCACAGGTGTACCATCTTCTAAAAATCCTCTTTAAACCTAATTTCTATAATTTATGATTACTTTAGTTGGTTTTCCTTTTTCAGGATCAATAAGTGCTACTTTACTTAAATGGATTGGTCTTGTAATTTATTAAATACCAGATGCTGATGGATCATCTAATAAAGATTTTCTTTTAAATTTTTAATTGATTCCTTGAACAAGTACTTCATTTGATTTACGATAAACTCTCAAAATTGTTCCTGTTTTACCAGAATCTTTTCCAGAGACAATAACAACTTTATCACCTTTGATTACATTCCATTTATCAAATGTGATTTACTTAGCAAATTAAGCAATTGATGTTTATCGATTTAGATAGAATGTAGAGAGTGCTTTTAACATAAATAATTAATTAACTATAACATTTTTTGTTTTTTAAATTAAGTGATGAGTTATTCGAATAAAGAGAATATAGATGATACTTAGATATTAGTAGATCAAGAAGAAGTGCTTGAATTCGTAAAGTAAATGAAAATGATGAACAAATAATTTATTTTGTAAATCAAACAACTGATTCGAGAGAAAGAAGAATATAAATTTTTGATTTAGGAACTGCATTGTTAATTATAAAGAAAGAGTGAATAGTTATAACAATAGGAGTTGATAATTTAAGAGTGTGAACTATAGGTAGCATTTGTATAGGTTATTGTAGTTAGAGTCATGCAGGTCGAATTATGAAGAACAAGTTAATCGGTTAGAAATAGAGTTGAAATTAAATTAAATGGTTTTTTAGATTGAATTGAGTTAGCAAAAATAAGAGATAGTTGATTTGAGTGATAAATTGAAAAGCACTTAATAAGGTTACTCAACTACTGTGGCTACTTCATTTTTATAAACATCTTTTAATTAGAAATAAGATAGTTTATTCAAAGTATGATTAGTTAAATAAAATTAGGATAGTCATACATTAGAGAGTGTAGGATAGACAGAAGGAGATTAAAGCATAATGTCTCATAAAAATAAAGGGTAAAGAATGATGTTGAAGATAATGTAAGATCCAATAAGCAATTTAAAGAAATAGAAAGAATTAATTAAGCGGGAAATTACTTAATGGTAAGATGAATTTCTAAAGAAAGAAGGTAGACCACCTTCCTTTAATGATAAATAATCAATTAGTACTAAGTTTTATTAGTATACTATATTGAAAAAACAATTAAATGATCGTAGCACTTTCATATAGGATAGTACAGATTCCAAGAATGTTGGAGTTCAATGCAATTTGATGGATCCATAATAAACACTTTAAATGCAAGAACTATTGAAATAGAAAACTAATGAAATTAAGAGATTGAGTTTTTAATTAGAAGATTTAAAAGGGAAAGTGAAGGTTTATTGTAGAGTAAGACCCTCAAATAGTTTAGATAAATTAAAAGGTATTATTTTAATATATAAATTAGATTGTGAAGTTTAATTCATAGATGAATAACATATTTTATTAAAATAAAAAATGTTTAATTTTGATATTTGCTTTAATTAATAATCTACATAGAAAGATATGTATGAAGAAATATAATAATCTCTTCAAGCAATATTTCATGGTTATAATTTGTGTATTTTTGCTTATGGTTAAACTGGAAGTGGTAAGACATACACTATGTTTGGTACAAAATAATAACCTGGAGTTATTCCAAATTTAATAGATGAAATCTATTAATACATAAAAAGAAGCAATCTAGATTGTTCAATAATAGTTAGTTCTCTTGAAATTTATAAGGAAAATATCATTGATTTATTAAATGATTAATAGAGTTCTCAAAGTTTGGAACTTAAGGAAAATGCAAATGGATAGGTTTTTGTTTAAAATCTTACTAACATTAAAGTATAAAATATGCATGAACTAATGAATTTGATTGAATTTGCATCCTCCAGAAGAAAATAAGGTTTAACTGAAATGAATGATTCTAGTTCAAGATCTCATATGTGCACTTAACTTATAGTTGAAACTTTTAATAAAATTACATAATAAGTATGTAAATTAAATAAATTTATAGAAATTCATTAGTAGAGTAAATTTAATTGATTTGGCTGGTTCAGAAAGATGTAATAAATCAAGACTTAAACCAAATTAATTAGAAGAAGCTAAATTCATAAATAAAAGTCTTTCTGCTCTTAATGATGTGATGATTGCTTTATCAACAAAGAGTAGTTTTATTCCCTATAGAAATAGCAAACTCACATATTTAATGAGAGATTCCTTAGGAGGAAATGTATTTTCAATTTATTATTATAGTCTAAAACAATTATGATTATAAATATTTCGCCATCCTTTATTAACTTAGATGAATCATTAAGTTCATTGTAATATGGATAGAAAGTTAAATAAATTACTAATTAACCAATTAAGAATGTTGAACCAGTGGATCAATTAAAAAAATTATAAAAAGTATGTAGTTAGCATGATGAAAGTGCGTAATTAAGATAATAAAAGTGATTTATTTTATATATGCAATAATCTCAATACTAAATCTGTTTATATGGTAATGTTATGTCTAATCATTTATTTGATATTGTAATACCTAGATATTTTTCAACTCTGCATTTACTGTATCATTTTATAGATCATTAATTTAATTTTTTACAACCATAATTTTAAGTATTGATTGTTTAATAAAGTAGTAGATTTAAATAGATGTTGAATTGTTCAAAAAAGACTATGCATTATTATGTAATACTATACATGATATCATTTATGCCAGAATTTAAGATTTTCATTAAGAAATTTTATACCATTAAATAATAATATATTTATAATATAGAATATTATGTAAGAAGGTATTTATACAGAAACTTTGAAGGATAAGTTTACTCTTTCTCCATTTGAAAAGTATAATAAATATGGAAGATTTCCTTTTAAGTTTCTATTATCTTGTGCTTTAGTTTTTTTAACCACTTTATAAGTAATATTAATTTCTGAACATTACACATACAATAATTCAGGACAAATAACTTAATTTGGTATTATATATATATAAATGGATTATTAGTGTCATTGTTTTTGAATGCAGATGAACCTATGAATAATAAAATTACTTTACTTACAATCGATGATTTTTAGGATTCTTTGAATAACACACTTAATAATCTAGCCAATATTGATGATATCACAGTTTAGAAAACTACTATATTAGGTGATACATTATTTTAGATTAATTATAACTATCCTTATGAAGCATATAGATTTGATTATCCTTTTGTAAGAAATATTATTTTAGGTGAACCATTACTTGATCCATTTGATTTAGAAGATGATGATTAAATTCGTGAATTTTGGACTAATGCTTTTGAATTAACATTAACAATCAATTAAATTAAAGTGGAATCATAATAACGATCTGCTTGTTGGGATTTATAAATTACATATTAATTCATAAATTATGGATATATTGATGCAACCATTACATCTATAGGTGGAATTTGTTCAGAAAATAGAGATGATGAGGATCATGGATCTGCCTTTAATAGTACTGCTTTAAGAATAGATAATTTGTTATTATAATTATGTATAATTGTATTGGCATTTGTTGATATTTGTTTGGGAGTCAAATACATTTATGAAGTTATTGAAATGTATACAAATAATATATCAAAATTAAAGAAATAAAGAAAATTCAAAGTTCCAGAATATAAATTATATAAGAATTAGAATCTAACAACATTAAAAATCATTTTAACTGAATAAAAGCCTTGGGAATAATTAACAATAAAAGAAAAATTATTATTTTTTGATTTATTTTTGCCAATAAGAATTTTAGGAAATATATTATAACTTATATCAGCTGGTATACTACTATCTGAGACTTTTATAAGAGTTGATGGTTTATCATAATATGATGAATTGATGGCTGGTTTAGGATGTTTTTTTGCTTGGTTTTCAATAGTAAAATACTTAGATTATTATGAAGAATTACACTTAATTGCGTCTGTATTAGAATCCTCCATAATACCAGTATGTATGGCCATTTTGAATTTCTTACCTGTTTTTTTAGGATATGCATTATTAGGAATGTGTTTATTTAGTGATTCTCATTAATTCGTAAGTTTATCATCTTCAATAAATGCTTTATTCTCATTAATTTATGGTGATTCAATATCTGATGTAGCTAGAGATAGTTCAAGAGGTGTTAGTTTAGAATTATCATTAATTTATATAGTTTCATATATTTTATTATTCTTATTTGCAGTACATAATATAATGGTGGCTTTGATAAAGGAGTAATTGGAAATTCGTAAGGATTTAATATTTTAAGAGAAGGAATTGATGAATTAATTAGATCTAAGTAATAATTATCAGTATCAAATGTATTTGAATTAGAAGATGAAATAAACAGCAATAATGAATCGAAGTGTAATGAAAGATGATTTTAATTCAATAATGTAATCATAATCAGGAAATAATTAATAATAATAGATGAATAAGTAGATATCTTTGAAATCAATAACAAAATTGGCAATGTTATAAAAACAGAAATCAGATGATGTATCAAAATAGGAGATGGAAAAGAATTGGAAATAAATTTGTAAAGAGGAAATGTAAAATCATTATATTTATAATATTTTGATATCTACAATAACTGAAACTAAGCATATTTTAAGTAATGTAGAATTAGAGTTATGGAATGATATTGATTCTAGTCCATTTACTGTGATTGATAAAAAAGAGATAATAACTTTGTATTGTTCTTAATTAATTAAGAAACATTAGAAAATGAGGAGTATTTTTAATAAAACAAAGTAAATAAGCTAAAATTTGAAATAATGAAATGAGTATAATTATTAATAATTAGTATTTCAACATGGAATATTTTCTCTTCTTGCCTATTGTTTTGTCAAACAGAACTTAACTTTGCGTTTTTTAGAAGGTGAATGTGTATTTAATTAACTACCTAGTTACAGACTGCAAAAACTCTGTCTACTTGAATTAAGGGATGAAGGATTTTTCAATATGCTTTTTGGAGTTGTGATTGAACTTTAAGATTATGATTTATCTGATAATTCTAATTGTAACAAAGAGGATTAAGGATTGTTTCTTTTAATTTAATTAATGATTTTGTTTCTTGATTATCTTAATATGTATTGCTGATTATATTGATTCATTGTATTACTTACTATTTTAGACCTTTCTTTTCTTGTTTCTGAAAGTTGATTATTAGAATCTTATTTTTGACCAAGATGTAACTCCAAATTAGAATTGTAAGAATCATTAGAATAATATGAAAACTAAGATCTTTTTTTTGAAGTGAATCTATTTGGTACAGAAGGGGAAAGAGATTCTTTATTCAAATTAGAGAACTTAGATTATGTATATTGGTGTTCATTTTTTGTGTCTCCTTAATCAAGTAATATTTTTGGTATGGCATCCTATAATGAAGATGTATTATTAGATATAGACGATTATTATTAAGTTGGTTGAGTAGGTTTAGTGGTTGATGATTATTGTTCAGTGATAAGATTAAGAATATGTTGTCTTTTGTAAGAAATCTCACGTTTAAAGTGATATTTTTATTTGCTTAATAGCCAATCCATTTTTTGATCTAGACCTATTTCTTCAGGTTCATTGATATCCTTTAGATCTAAATCTTCTTTCATCATTCCAGAAGTATGTCTTGATTTCTCTCGATTACGAAAGGACATTTTATTTAATTAATTATGTTTTGGGGTGTAAAATTATAAAATGAATAAACAAAAACCATAAATGTCAATTTGATAATCACTACTTTATATTATATACAGTTAGACTAAATAATATTATAATTGCTACATTCAAAATGAAGTAGATTTGAATATAAATAATAAACTAATATAAGCCTTAACTTTTTTTATTTGATTATAAAATTAATGGAGAATTTACATTAAAATGTGAAAGGTGATAATATTGGTATTTGTGAATACTATACAGATAAGTAAACTTTAGAGGAATGCAATTTATAACAATTATGAATTCAAGCATAATCAATAGAATAGTTAAAGACTATATATATATATATATAAGTAGCAATTAAAAAATATATAGAAAATGCTTAAAAAATGAAATTTAATTAGTGCTTATTCTTATTTAATATTTTTAACTTTGTTTGGATTTATATATGAATAAACAAATAAAATTTAATAATTAAAAATCTTTTTATGGCTAACTTACCTTAGTAATAATATTCAACACCATCAAATTTACCTTCTTACAACAGAGATCCATCTACTTATTAACAACCTACATTAGGATAATAATAAGTTCCATAGAGTAATTATCAACCTCAACAATCTGGTGAGAAAGGATTACAATATTTGCCTTAATAAACAAGTGTAATGCCATAAAATGTATAAACATAACAAATATATGGACAACCACAAGTTGGAATGATAGGATAATAATTCACACAACAACCCTTATTTGGCCAATCATAAATTTAACAACTACCCTAACAAACAGTTGAAACCTAATCAGGTCAAGTAGTAAAAGGATAGTCAAGAATTGAATACATTCCATATGAGAGAACAATAACTGAATATGAAGAAGTGAGAAGACAAGTGTAAGTACCAATCACCAAATAAATCACTGACTATTATGCAGTGCAATATGACATTGAATATATTCCTTAAGTCATTTAAGAGAAATAAATAGAATATGTCCCAGTTGAAAGAGTGGCAGAAAGAACTGAATATTACACAGTTGAAAGATAGAATGTTGTATAATAAGTATGAATCAATAATTAGACTTAGCCAATTGGATATTAATCATCACAAGTCCAAACATCAGCTTCCTATGCACCAATACAAACTCAATAAGTAACTCAATAATACGCATAATATGTTCAACCTTAATAACAAACTATTGCATACTAATAACCACTTCAAATTTAATAGTAATATCAAACAAGAGAAGTTATTCAACAACCTATGATCTAATAATCATATGTTTAATAAAGAGAAATAGTTCCACAACAATAAATCCAATAGTCAGTAGCATTATAACCAACTCTTCCAACTACATAATATATTCCACAATAATAATATCAAACTATATAATCCACTCAAACTGTTTAACCATAATTATAAATTGCCCAAGTATTTCATTATCTATAGTAATAGACTGTTCCATTGAATTATGGTCAATCAATTTAAACAGTTTAAACTCAATAACCAATTGCTATCAATCCAATTACATAGACAACCCCTCAGATAAATCAAGGATATTCTATTCCAGCCACCACTTAAGCTCCTTAATATTAAGTTTATGGACAACAATCCCTTGGTCCTTAATAGCCTAAAGCCTAATAGTCTCTAACTTAAACTACACAATACAATCCTTAATTGTAATAGACTGTGGCACCATCTTAAGTATCTATTCTAAATTATTCATCAGTTTGCCTAATCTGTACCATAATAATAATTATAATAATAATAATAATAATCAATCCCTCAAGATATGGGAAGAACTAGACCCTATCAATAAGGTCAATTACCTTAATAACCACCAACTTAACCATAATAAGCTGGCACTGCTTAAAAATCAAATAAAGAAAAATCATTCTTGGAGAAATTGTTCGATTGATTAAATTTGCATAAAATACATAAATATAATTAAAATATATGAATTATCTTTTTATAATCAGCTCTTTGATAATATATTCAATTTTTGGCGAATTAATATTGCTCACAAATGGAGATCATTATCATGAGATCTTTGATATAAATAAGCATGAATTTTATACAGATTGTGATGAAAAACACATTTACATCTAAGAACATAAAGTTAATGAGTAAATTCAAATGCTCTAAAAAAATGAAATTGAATAAGTATTGTACTATTATATACTTTAGATTCTCTATTATCCAAATGATTAAAATACAATACTCATTTTAGAAAAGAATGGTAAAATTACCATACTGTTTAAAGATAATCAATAATTCAATTCCCCCTTTAAAGAATTGGGAACATTTGATTTAAATACAAAAAACTTACCTTATTTCACTTGTAGTGACATGACTTAATATTCTCTTGATATTTTCATGGCTGTTTGTAGATCAAATAATGACATTTACATTTCCAAAATTTAATGTTCTGCTGAAGAAGATAAATATTTATCTGGTTGTTCTTCATAATTGTACTTAGATACAGATCAATTAAATAATTGTGATAATTTAAATATAATTACTGAAAGTTCTTGGAGAGTTAAAGATCCTGAATATTTTAGTATTTATTGTTCATCTCAAGAGAATTTCTAAATCACAAAATAGTTATTAATAGGTAAATTTAACAATCAATCTAATTCTATTAAAATGGTTAAATTTGAAGGTCCTATTAATGAAATTGAAAAGGTATCATTTTTTGATGATAATACTCTTATGATATTAGATCATAGATCAGGATTACATGTATATAGATTTAAATTTACAGATGATGGTGAAGTTACTTATGAATAATTATTATGGTAATTATTTTTACCAAATGAATTATTTTATGCACTCAGCTATTCTCATGAACAATATGCTATTAGATTTCCACCTATAGGAATTATAGAAAATGATATTCAATATAGTATTGTTATATTGAGTGATCACTTTATATATGAGTTGGCATTACCTTAATAATCTAAAGATTTCTTCTTTACTACACTCTCTATTAATGATAAAATTAATATCAAGAACATTCTTAATGGTAAATAAATTAAAAAGGGACAGATATAATATGATGAATAATTCTATTATGTTTGCTTAACATATATCTAAAATTCTATTGAATGTTATAGAATTGATAGACATTAATCTTACACTGAAAAATTAATACTACAAAATAAATATCAACATCCTATGCTATTAACTTATCCTGTCTCATTCTCTACCATAACTGGACAAACTAATATATTGATAACTCAGTAGATGAATGAAACTTAAGCAATTTTAACTTTAATTAAAAATGAAATAGAAAGATTAACAATAGTATCTACTTCAAATGAAGAATTTCTTTGTTCAATTGTATATAAAAATATAAACAATCAAAATGTTACACTTACATTTTATAATCAATAATTTGAAAGCACAAATGTATTTAAAATAGAACATCTACAAAATTACAATTTTCCTAATACTGATTCAACTGTTCTCTATTCTACCTTAATAAGGGGGCCTGCAACTATACTTTAACCTAAAAGTGATAAGAAAAGTAAGTATTAATTATATATTAGATTAGATGTTGAAGTAATAAGCCTTTCTGGCTTTGGATATGAAATGTGGGAAGACTTATATTAACATTTTATATAACATTCTCGAATCCCAATTAAATCATTTTTAGATAAAGGATTTAGAACTATATTTTTATAAATAGATTAAGTTAAAATGATAATTTAATAGGAAATAACAAATACAAATTATTTTACATAAAAAATCTATTCTTTAGATTGCTCATCAGTCAATATTGTAAAGAATATTGTTAGTATTTCACCATATTATATAATATTCTATTAAAAAACAACATATTACACTGTTTTGAAAATAAAAAGAGTATAAGAGGATGTTGTAGAATATGATTGTAAAAATGTAGAGTATCCACTCTATGATTAATAATATGAAGTCTTTGTAGATTTAGATTATATTAATTTATTTTTCAGCACAAACAATACTATATATTACACTGATATTTACTTTAAAAATTTAATAACAATAGAGATAGATCGTAGATTTAGATAATTAAATTTTTAATTTTTAAAGAATGATCTTATTATAGGAAGTCATTAAAATAAATTATATTAGATCCAATTGACAAGTTAATTTAAAGCTAATCATTTTAAGACAGTCATTACAGAAATAGAATTAGGTTAAATGACACATAATTTTAAATTCTTTGTATTATAACTTAAAAAACCTATATTGACATTAGTTATTGTAGATGATAGAATAACATTATATACAATAGATAATTTATAAGATATTAAATTTGATTCCTTGTTACCCTAATTCAATAGCATTATTAATGCAAATGAAACCTATATTAATTATTATATGTTAATAGTTCCAACTAATAAACCTAATGAATTGTATGTATATGATTTGTCGAAGACTGGATCAGATAGATTACATGCAATTCATAAATATTCAATTTTATCAGAACCTATAACAATATGTTATCCAAAAATGTAGACTTTTCTATACTGTTTATAATTTGCAAATGCTGATATAAATTGTTATTTTAATAAAATGCTTGAATTTGAACTGATTGCTTCTGATCCAACAAATATTGATAATTAATTCTCTGTTGCAATTAATGCTTAATCTGCATTAAGTTATAGTGTATAAAGTACTCTTATAATTAATATAATATATAGAAACCCTTACAATCAATGGTAGTTTTAGATATTAAGATACTATGATAGAGAAGAGTGTAAAAAGATTAGCAGAAATTGAAATCTACAAGACCAATTTTACAACTTAATTAAAAATAATGGATTATTATTCAGGTCCTATTTTTAATTATTAATTGTAAAATGCTAAAGATTTCAATATTAAAATGTTGCCATTTATTTTAGAATAAGAGGATAATCTAGTTAGATTTAAAATTGATTAAATAATCTTAGGAACTAGTGTTTCTAAAGAGTATTTAATTATTTTAGGTGATGAAACTATAGGTATAATAGATATTCCCTAAACTTAATGTAAATTATTTAATAACATAGATCACAAATAAGTAATATAGAGTACAATAGATTATGATGAGATCAAGAATGTTTTCTTTGATCAAGATTAACCTACTGTTAATAATTGTACTAAATCATTTATTAATCCATTATCAATAGCAGAATTATCAGCTATTCATATCATAGCATTATTTTGTTAATCAATGATGGTTAGAATAGATGTTACAAATTAAATAAATTAATTGAGTTTTACAATCTTATCTGATAATCAACCAATTGAAAAATAATTTTTGGAGAATTTTTTCTTTTTAAATATTAATTTTAAGGATTTCTTATATTAAAATTAAAGTTCTTTTATTTTGGAAGATGTAAAGATGATCAATTTCCCAATTCAATTTAAACCAAAATATAAATTCATTACTGTAACTGCAATGGTTAAAGGAAATAAAAGATATGACACAGAAGACAGAGAAAGAGATAATTTAATATGTATCTTTTATGGGTACTTAGATTAGAATTAGAGTTCACTTTTGAATGGATCACTTTTAGATGTGATTGGAGCATCTAATTTTAATCAAAATACTTTGATAGTTAACAATTTTCAGATGTATTGTATTAAAGGTTGTGCTATACAAGATGCTAATAATATAAAGATTGATACAATTATAGAATTAGTATTCAATGATCAATATTCATTTAATCTATTTAAATTATAGATTAGTTTCATATACACAACAAATAAATAACCATTATATAAATTAATAAATGTGGAAATTCTAAATATAAAAGAATTAAGTAAATTAATAATTATATATATTTAGTGAGTAATTTTGTACAAAATTAAATTGAATTTACATATATTGATACTGAAGTTCAATTTTAGAATGAATCAACTTATACAATTAATGTAACAACTGATTCATTAAGTTTTGATTTAGTTCAAATATCAGGAAGAATTGAGATTGAATAAATTTTTAAGTAAAATACAATTTAATTTAGACAATACACTCAATGTCAAAGTCCACCTGGATCATTGAAAGCATCATACAATGAATATTTTGCTATTAGTTGTAGAAATGCATCTAGAAACTATTCTGAACAAACTTAATTTGTTAAATTATTTTTAAGAGGACAATAATAGATAAATCATTCTGTGAAATCTGTAATACAAGCTGCTTAAATATAAGGAAATTTAATGTTATTAGACATATAAAAGGGTTATTTGAATGAACATGTTCGAATGTTAATATTGGAATAAGACAATAATTAATAAGATTTTTAATTAAGATGGTTCGCTCTTAATGATCAATTTACATTAATAGTAATTTATATAATTTATATAATATATTAGGCTGATTAGAATAGCACTCCTAAGAGTGTATTGAATGTATAATTATGTCCAAGTAATTTAAATGAGATTTAAGGTTTATGTATGGATATAACTATATCAAATACTGGATATAAATAATATATAACAACAGAATGGTTGCTTTTTGTGTTTTTAATTGGATTACCATTAATAATAAGTTGTAGTTTTATCATATATTGCATCATAAATTATAAGGCAGAAAAGCAAAAAAGAGTGGAATCATTTGGAATGAATCTTGAATAATAATTAAAGAAATAGTCTAGTCATTTATAATTAAAGATGGAAGATTCTATCTATTGAATTAATATTTATTTTTAAAGTAATCAGAAAACACTAATGATTATTGTAATTATTATTATTTAATATAAAAGAAGTGTTTTTGGGTATTAATTTATAATTGAATAATATTTATTAAATAATCATTGCTTATCACAAATGAAGCTCTGCAACTTATAACAATCTTTAATGGATGTCTTAGTCAAGTCCACATTAACTGAAACAAATCTACCCATTGTTTTTTATCCCTAAATTGTTATGATAATTAAATTACAATGTTCAAAAGAAAATCAGTGTCAATACTCTCTGGGAAATGTGATCCAATATTTGGATTGATACAACTCCATAAAAATCCTGCATAAACTCCTCCCACAACTTATAAAACAGTGGGTCCAAATCTTCCATTAAATAACAATGAACTATCAACCTCATCCATAATACTACCAGTCCACCAACCTCTATTATTATTCATAATAATCATTGCACCAACCTTATCAACTCCTCTTAAAGAAGGATGATTGATTGGATGAATAACTTCCATTTAAGGATGAGTATTGTTGATGTCAGCATTCTTAGGAAGACCAGAAATAAATTTCTTAGCCAAAGGATTATAATCATAAACATAGTATTAAGATGGTGCATAACCAGTTTCAGGGTCTGCCAAATAATCTTAAATACTGTAAGCCTCTCCATGAGGTATCAATACTCCAGTAATATCTTAATTAGGAAGCCAACTCTTAGCAAAAGTCTGTACTGAAGGTTTAGTTGATACAATGGTTTTTCCATTTCTAATAGTATACATGGATTCTATTTCAGGGTCTTCATGACTTCCTCTAGCCACTTAGATTGGTACAAGTCCTTCAGTTAAGAATCCTCTACAGGACCATGTATTGTAAAATTTGGTATTAATATCTTTTGGAATGTCCTTCATCATTTAATTATCATATTCTGAACAATGTATTGTATGAACACCCAACACCTGGGCTAGTTTAGAATGATTTCTAGCTTCCAAATATTTCTTCAACAATTATTTGTTCACATCTTTGAATTGATCCTCGTGCATCAAGTAATACTTTGCACAATCTTCCAATCCTCTTTTTACACAATGTGAAATAACACCAGGATTGAATCCCATTTCTAGTATGCTTGTAGCTCCACTCTTTGGATTCCAATACTTTGATTGTTTAGCCTTGTCTTTTATATATCCCAAAGATAGCTTGTATGCTTCTTCACTATTCTTAGGACAAGAATTAGCATCCTCGCTGTCTTCCCATTACTCTAAGGCTGTATTCATATATCTTATCTTTTTCTATGCACATAATGGCCATATTGATAGGAATTCAATGTTTGTTGATAAATCCACTAAAATATCTCCGCTTTGCAATCTAATATATTAAAGAATTCCTTACCCCATCCTTGTAAGTGTGTCATCTATGTTTTGTTTGGTTCTCTCTTCTATTATACATTCAAAACGATTCTCATTTGGTCTAAAGGCATCATATTTGTCAAGAGCGACTATTTAGGCATCTAAGAATAAAGAACAATTTATTACTTGGGTGGTTTTTCAAAAGAACTTCAATAAATGCACTCCCAATGGCACCATAGCCTAAGACACCAATCTTTCTTGGTAAGGGATAAGAACCAAATCTCTAGATGCACTTCAAGGATAAGGACATAAACTTCGACTCTTTGTTGATTTAAAAAAGTGTTTGAATTTTTATTGAATAAAATATATAATTTATCTAGACATTTTGAAAAAAGATTTAAATACCCTCAAAATAAATTATTAATAAATTATGTTGCGTATTATCTCAATATAGTGATTAAACATACTATTCATTTTACATTTAAATAATAATATAATAAAACATAATGTTAAAGTCACAACAATCAACACTTTTAGGAATCTCTCTTGTTGTATGTAGAAATTCTAAAGGTTAATATCTCACTATTTTGGAAAATGGTAATTAAGGATGGTGGTTACCTGGAGGTTTAGTTGATCCTCCTGAAACCTTTGAAAAAGCTGCTATTAGAGAAACCAAAGAAGAAGCATCAATTGATGTTGTACTCAAAGGCATTTTAAGAGTCGAAAATTCATTAAAGCCAGATTAAAATCATCTTAGAATGAGAGTTATATATTATGCAGAACCTATAGATGAAAATTAAATTCCAAAATAAAAACCTGATAGAGGTATTTTATTTATTTTAATGACTAAGAAACTCAATAAGCCAGATGGGTTGACTATAAAGATTTACCATCTTATTCTTAAATAGGTCCAGGATGGAGAGGAAAGGAATTATTAGAATGGTCAAAGTATATTGAAAATGGGGGAGTAATAATGCCATTATCATTCTTTTCTATAGAAGGTGAAGATCCTATTATAGAATAAGCCTTTTATAAAGAATAATTACCACTCAGCAAATAAAAATGATTAACTTTAAATACATTATATATATAAAAATCATTTTTACTAATAAAGTAATATGTAAGCATTCTTATCATTTATTTATACTTCTTTTGTTGATTAATCATTATATTCTATTCATTTCTTTTATCTTTTTCCATATGCTTTATAGTGACCATTTTCTAATCCTCCAATATGCTACACAACACCATATAATTCATAGTCTATTTAATTTATCATTATAGTTTCTTAGTATGTTACTAAAATATTGTTTTTTTAGAATCTCCAACGTTCATCATATTAAAATCTTTTGAGTTGAATAATCAATTAATCTGGAAGTTTTTTCAAACTCATTGTTTTTATAGCGAAAGTTAAATTATTATAAATGGTACAATGATAAGCATTTTCAACTACTAGAAATTGTTAATCAAATTTATTAAATTTAATGCTATTAAATCTATATATAATTTTACATTAATCTTATTGACAATAATTTGTTTATGGTTCAAATTCTATTCTTAAAGACTTTGGAATGGCATGTTCCATAAATTCTATTGATATTGAAGTACTGGCATTGGCATAATTTATTTTATGCAAATAGTCTTTTAAAGTAGTTGAATTATTGTAAGGTAATTAGCAATAATGAGATTTTTAATCTTTGTTAAATGATTAGCCACATGTAAATGGACAAAATTTTTTAGATGGTAAATCTAGTTTGAATGAAAATCTAATAATTCAAAATTTCTTAGACTTGTTATTAATTTAATAGATTTTCTAATTAAGGTTTATCTATTTAGATATCTATTAATTATTCAGATTTGGAATATTTTCCAAGTTTATTCCAAATTAATTGATATATTTGAGTTGAAGTAAACTATTTCTTGATTATCAAAATCTTTGGAATGGTTGCACTTATGTTTTAACATTGATTGGAGAAAGCATTACTTTTTTCATATGAATAGATCATCACATCAAAATATTAATCTTCATCAGTTATTGAAGTAATGGTCTGATCTAATTAAAATAAACAAAAATAACTATTTTAATTATAATTAAGGATTTTCTAAAGAAGATCCTCATCATGAAATATATACATTCTAAATTACATATCTATTTTGTTATTAAGACAAAATACTCCTAATAAAGTTGTTGGTTCAATGCCTAACTATTCTCCTATATCTCTTTTCACTTCTAATAACTAAGTTGAATTCAGTTGATATTCATAAACAATTTTTTTATATGGTTGATACCACTCATTTGATATAACAAATACATCTATTTAATTTTATGATTAAGAGGTAGTAGCATTTAAAAAAAGTGGCAATTTATAAAGGATTCATAGCTTTATGTTTTTTATTGACAGATTGGACATTCAATTTCAGATTTAGTAATTCCTAAGTAATTCTTAAGAATGAGTTAACTATTTGTTTTTTGTATTTATTATTATATTATTATTCAACAGCTTATTCATAATTATCACTATCAATTTACTGAAGTTAAGAATTTAATTTACATTTTATTGTATATTTTTATGGAATTTTATCCATTGTGTTTTTTAATTTCCATTTTCTTCTCTACTTTCATCATCGCTATAACTATTTACTAATTTAAGATTTTTTAAAAGTTTTTCTAATTTATAATTTAATGGAACATTTCTTTAAATAGTATTTTAAGTCCAATATTATTTATTTGAAAAGAATTCTTAAAAATGTGTTGAACTAAAAATACTTTATAAAGATGAATTCATAAAAGAAGTATTACCCAAATTAATTAATCCTACTTTTTATTTATTAGAAATAGTTTCATAATTGATTGCATCAAAATCTTCATCATCTTATGAATCATATGCTTTTGTGCATTATCTTGAATGAAATTCTTTATCTTTATATTTGCAACTTTCATTATAATAAAATACTTTTTGCAAAAACATTAATAATTCAAAAAAGTCTTTTATCAACATGTAAAACAACATCCATTTTAATTTAATTCAATTTAAACATTCAATCAAGATAATTAAACTTTATTTTAAAATACTACCAAAATAAAATGATTTTTTATAAACTGTGATAATTAAAATTCCTAATATTCTGCTTTTAATAATTATTCACCCAACAAAATATATTTATTTTAATTAATTTTCTTTATCAATTCTAATTTAATCTAATTTTATTCATAAAAAGGATTCATTAACCAAATTTGTATATCTTTACTCTTCATTATTTATTAACAATATGTATCTAATTCTCTAAATTTCCAATCACTAAATAATTAAACTTTTCTCATTTTCAATAAATCAAGAGAATTAATAAATTAATTATAATTTAGTGAATAAATCTCATTCAATTTCTCTTAAGTTATAAAAATTACATTAGGCTTATATATTAATTAAAAATTACACTTATAATCTTCAAATAGAATTCTCCTTACTCAATTGCTATTCTCCTTATTGCTGTACCTGTGTATTTTTAATAGTAGAATTTCCAAGCTTATAATGTAATAAGAATATAATCTTTAAAAGGTTACACATCATTCAAAGGAGTTTCTAAATAATCATATAATACGGGTGCATCATGAAATAATTCTTTGTTCTCTATTATATCATTATTAATCTCCAAAAGTTATTGTCTTCCATATCCCTTACCTCTAGGCTATTCACCTTTCAAAATAGCATCATATCCAACATGTATTTTCCAGGTTTTTAACCATTTTTTTGATAACAAATATGCTTCCTTAACTGATTTCTTAAGGAGAAGATGTTTTGAAAGTTATAATATATGAATGCCCTCTTAAGCTTTAATTATTAAAACTTGGTATTATAGTTAAGTTATTTTAATATAATCTACATTTAAATTTTTAATTTCCATCAATCAATCATTCTCTATGAATATACCTTCCAGTGATAGATTTTATTAAAAATCAACCTCCTAAAGTTGAAAAGGAGGTTAGTGATGTTTATTTTATATTCCTTTACTTTTTTTTATGATTCATAATAGAATATAATTACATAATTTTATAATAATATAAAATTTAAATTTAATTAATCATTGTACTTATTCTATAAAATTATATTATTCTATTCTCTAATATAATAATAGGTTTACTATTAAATAAAAAATTGAAAGTATAATCTATATTACATGTAAAATCTCTTAAAATTAAATTTTTTTATCTATTCATAATAAAATTAAATTTATACTTTTAGGTCTGATTCATCATTCTCATTATTGTGTTTATCTACATATTCAATTTTTATTAATTAAAAGATGGTTATTATTATTCTTTGAATAGTGAATCTAATTCATATTATTGTTTTAATCATAAAAATCTTTTGTTAATTAAATCTCCTAATTTATCTTGAAATAATGTAAAAGGTATTTTTATAAACTCTGATTATTTATATATAGATATATTAATATTTTTCTTAAATTATTATCTAATTAATTTAATTTTTACTTTTTAATTTAATTATAACTAATTGCATAACATGATTATTAGTAACTTAAGAAATATCATATTCATCATCTCTAATAATAGAATTATAGATTTCTTTTTTTCTTCTAATTAAAAATTTAAATATGAATAAATGATTATTAGTTATATCTTTTAGAACTGGTTATGCTTTTCTAATAACACTTATATAAAACAAAAAAATTATACTTTTTATTTTGTTTATTTCAAATAGTTGTTTTATTACAAAATGAATTTAGGGTTTAATCAATTCATATAAACTCTGATTCTAGTTAAAATTCTTTTAAGTATGAATCATTTTCTTTCATATTATTTTTTAGATCTTAAATTTATTTAATCGAAATTGCCTCTTCTAATTTTTTTAATTTCTAAATAAATTTAAATCAATTATATTACTTATAATTTTATGTTTCAAAGCATCTCCATCATATTAATAAGTTTAATTAGGAATTTACATAATTATGTGTAACAATATTTATTATAAATTTGGCTTAATCTATATATTGATATTACATAATTCAATGTTATTTATATTTTATTAGATTATTGACATGAAATAAATGACTAGAAATAAAAATTATATTATTTAGAAATAAAATTAGATATTATTATTAATTTATATTTATTTTATGAGTTATCTATTTTTTGGTACATTGCCTTCTTCAGTGCCTCCTGTGTTTGGTATATGATATTTTTAGTGTAGACACAACTCCATGTTTAAAGTAGATGCATGATTATGAAGACTGTGCTTTCGAGTAATTCAAATATTAATCATTCAAATAGATCAAATACTAAACAAATGGAAATCATTCATCCCAGCTGGCCTTCAATGTGGCCAAGAATGTTAACTGATGGAAAGTCAATTGTAAATATTAAAAATTTGATTTTTAGGACTTTGGCCATACACCAATGCATCAGGATAGTTCTACACATTATACATAGTATTACTTTGTGTTATATTATTAGTATGCGTCCATTAACTAAAAAAATCAAGCATTATTTATGGGAATGTGAAGAGGAAAGATTTGTCTATAAGGCTTGTTTGAGAAAATTAATAAGCCTTAAAAGAACTGACAAACACACAAGTTGGGATACAGCATCAGTTAGTAACTTAAGTTTAGTCTGATTAATATAATAAATATAACAACAAAAAGATTATTAAAATCATTAGCAATATGATTACATGTAAGATACATCTAAATCTAATTTAATAATTTTAATTGTGAATTTACTTATGAATTATTTAAACACCTCTCCCTATAAAATCATAATTTTATTTTAATTGAGTCCATATAAATACATATTTTGTTTTAATCAAATTTTAATACTTATAATAATTATTAGAGATTAATCTAATACAAAATAATTAAGTTATGGATTGTAACTCTGGTTAGTATTTTTAATTATAGAAGTTGACTACAATAATGATGGAATGTGGTTAAATAGATTATTATCTAAGAAAACATGAGAATCGTATAGGAATACTTCATGAAGGGGGAGATTATTTTTATTTAGCTTATTTAGAAAATAATGAATTTTAATATGATACACTCTTTGAATACTTATCTAAAGATTAAGAAGAAAATGAAGGAGAATCTAGTTTGTAAGATAATCAATCAAGTTCAGCATCTGTTTAAACATAAAAACTATTGTATTGTTTTTGTGGTAAAGTTTTTTATCTATTTATTTGTTAACAATTTGGTGAGATTGTTCAAGTTGAATTAAAAACACAAAAGGAGAATAATTTTAAGATTAAAATGCAATATCTCTTAGATATGCGTACTTAAAAGAATACAGATGTTTTAGTTCTTCTATACTCTAAAAATACATTTGAAATAAGGAACACTTAAACATTAGATATACTTATCCAATTAGAATTAACATCCTTCCCCATTATTGAGGATCTAATGATTTAAAATTCTATAATAGTAATTTAGTATTATACTAATATCCTACATTACTGTTAAATAAGACCTTCTAAAATTCATTAATTATATATTTTGAATGGAAATTCTTGTAAAATTTATTAAAGACTTCTTATTTTACAAGAAAATTCGCATCGATTTAAATTTTACTATAATCTCTCAAAACCTAAATTGCTCCGTTAAGTCAATTTATTAGAAAAAAATAAATCTAAATATAAATTTATTCAAAAATAAAATTAGATATTTTTGAAAGAGAAATCTTCAATATTTGTAAAGTTCTCTTATTATAAATGGTGGGTTGGAAGTTTTCAACAGAGCAATCTTGTTAATTAATATTTTGATGGATAAATTACATCCAGAGAAGCAAAAGAAAAAGTCTATATATTATAATATAAATCGATAACTTTAGATCAAGAATAGAAGTAGGAAAACATTGTAGATTTTTGTTCTCCTTATCATCCAGTTTATGATAGATATGGTTGGGATTGATAATATATATCATCTTAGTAATAGATATTATTATTAATTATTATTATTATTATTATTATTATTATTATTATTATTATTATTATTATTATTATTATTATTATTATTATTATTATTATTATTATTATTATTATTATTATTATTATTATTATTATTATTATTATTATTATTATTATTATTATTATTATTATTATTATTATTATTATTATTATTATTATTATTATTATTATTATTATTATTATTATTATTATTATTATTATTATTATTATTATTATTATTATTATTATTATTATTATTATTATTATTATTATTATTATTATTATTATTATTATTATTATTATTATTATTATTATTATTATTATTATTATTATTATTATTATTATTATTATTATTATTATTATTATTATTATTATTATTATTATTATTATTATTATTATTATTATTATTATTATTATTATTATTATTATTATTATTATTATTATTATTATTATTATTATTATTATTATTATTATTATTATTATTATTATTATTATTATTATTATTATTATTATTATTATTATTATTATTATTATTATCAATAAGTTTTATTAGTTTTTTACATAATTATGTTCCAAAAAAGGTAGAAATTCTTGATTCAATTATATATTTATTCTATAATATCCTAAGAAAATACCAATCCCTATTTTAATTAAATTTATATGTTTAGTTATGATCAATTGTATTTATCTTTATAAATTAAAATCAATTTTCTTAATTGAAAATATATTGTATACCAATTCAGAACAGTCTAAATGAAGAGATAATATGACTTTAAATAATTAATTCACTTCAAAACAAAAAGTGTTAGAATGCTTTGTCGATAAAAGTATTCTATTAATTCAACACAAAAATTAAATAAACTTATAAATTATATTTTCTATCTGATAATTATCTAATACTGATATTACTATGAGTAACAACGATAGCCAAAACAATTAAAATAAAGAGAATTCTCCTTAGAGATCTGATACAAACTAAGTTGAGCCACAAGGAGTAAATTAGGATCAGAAATAATAGAGTGAAAAAAAAGAAATTCCACCTAATTTTGCTTAAGTAGAGCAAATTGGATAGTAGTTTATAGTTTACTAATAATATAGGGAGGATCAACCATTAATTGAGTTTTAAGTTCATTAAAATGAGAGAACGAATACAAATTTTAATTAAAGTTAAAAATGCAAAAGTCAAGCAGATTTTAGAAAAAGTATCTATGTGGCACGTATTGAAGAATAAATTAATTCGCCTTAATCATTTTTCTAGAAAGTAATAATTAGTACCTACTATTATATAGATTCATAAAAAAGAAAAATAAAGTAAAAAATGTTGTGAAGTATGTTGTCTTCCAATTGGTTCTCATACTTTTTGTTGCGGTTCATAAAATACAAGACCTCATTTTAAATAATTTGGAGTGGGTGTCAATCTATATTTTAGATTCTTAAAAAAGTTAGGGTACTTTTTTATTATTTTTACGATATTTTCAATACCACAATTATTCTTTAGCGTATTATGTACTTAAAGATAATTATAATAGCTTATGTTGGGAGTGAAGCTAGAGATTCTTCTAATCCATTTGAATTTTTAATGGCAACTACTATTGGTGCTACAAGTTTGAATAATAAAGATTGTTAAATATAATCTTTTGATTCTAATTATAGACCAATAGAATTTAATTTAAAATGTGATTCAGGAGATCTTGCTGGACCATCATTTTTATATGGTGTTATTAGTTCAAACGAATAAGATTGTATTTATATTAGTAAAGCTGAATTGAATTTAAATATAACTAATTAAGATCGATTGAATTTATTAAGATAAGAGATTGATTCTTAAGATGAATATTCATTTACTTTAACATAATCTGATTTTAACAATGAAGACATAAAAGGAATGAAAATATTTGCTGGAGCATAATGTAAAGATGCCTAGATTACAATTGGACCTATTTAATTGTAATAAAAAATAATACCAATTATCTTTGCATCTTGTGATGCAGCAATAGTCTTATTATTCATATATTTTTTAATTTGTTTAACTGCTAGTGAAAAAAAGTATACTAAGATTTCACAAAAAGAATCACCCACTTTATAACACTTTTCTCTTTAGATATCAAATTTACCAAAATGTGAAGAATTAATAAGAACTTTATAAAAGAAAGAAAATAAAGAATATAAACAAATTAAATAATAATTACTTTAAGAAGTGAAAAATTTTATTGATTAAAAATTAAAGTCTGTTTTAAAAGATTAAGATTTATAGATTTATGATATTCAAATTTCAGAAAAAGAAAAAATATTAAAATTGTAATCAGAATTAAAACATAAAAAACAAATGATTTCAAATTAATTAGAAGAATTGAGAATTAATAAATCTTAATGTTATCAAGAAGCATAAAAACATATTAATGAATAAATTATGTCAAAAGAAACATATTAGGACTTTTATCATTATTTTTAACATTCTTGTTAAGATCCCAATTATCAACCAAATTTAATTAAAATTGATAAAATCATATAAAAACATTGGATTGAAATAGATGAATTATCTTAAAAGATTGATCAAATATAATCGGAAGGTGATTCTAAATACATCTGGGTTACTTTTGATACAATGAGATAAAAATAACAAGTTTAAGAATAACTTTAAAGTTTACCCAAAGATTGGCTATATTATTATTGCTGTTTTTGTTGTTTTGATGAAGATGAAAAAAATAATCAACTGTACTTATTAACAATTATTTAGATTATTAAAGAAATTTAAGTTATAAATAAAAGATGCTCCTATTCCTGAAAATATAAATTGGAATAATCTTAATTATTCTCTTAAACAAAGAATTATGAGATAGTTTTGTAGTTTTTTTATAACTCTTGTTCTTTTAGCAGGTTCATGGGTTTTGGTAAGTTGGGTGAATCTTTAAAAGACAGATTTCTAATAAAAATACCCTTCAATTAATTGCAATAATAAAATCTATGACAATATTACTGTAGATTAGGTTTAACAAGAAATTGACGATGATGGAAGTATAGCAATTAAAGGTTATGTTGAATGTTACTGTAAACCAAAATTTAATGAAATTCTATAAGGGTAATATGAAATATGTTAAGATTGGGTTACATAATATACATTTTAATAATCATTACCTTGGATTATTGTAGGAGGATTAATTGGTGTAAATGTTATAATTTAATATATATTCATTTGTAACAATAATCTTATTTTTTAGTTCTATCGAAATGGGAAAAGCATTTGATGATTTCCTAAGAATATTCTAGCAGAATTCTAAAAATATTTTTAGGTCAATTTTTAAATACTGGTTTGATTCTTCTTATTACAAATATTGATTTTGGTAATTCTGCAAGAAATGATGCTCCTGAAACTATTAGATTTCTTTTTGGGGGAAAGTATGCTGATATAGATTCGAAATGGTGTTAAAATATAGGAATTGTTTTGGTATATATATATCATCTACTATAGTTATTGACTTTATTAATTAATATTCTGACATAACCAGTTATGCTTTTAGTTGAAATAATCATTAGATACATAAGATAGGCCTATGATTAAAGTTCTTGTTGTTTAAATTAGAAAAAAACTAAAAAAAAAAACTATTAAGAATTTAAAGATCTATATAAAGGAGAATAATTTAGAGTTGAATTAAGATATGCTTAAGTTTTGACAGCCCTTTATATTTGTTTCATGTATACTCCTGCTCTCCCATTCTTATATTTTATTACTATGTTAACAATTTGGTTCTTATACTTTGTGGATAAGATTTCAAGTAATTAAATAGAATTAATTTTTTTAGTTTTCACTACATATCGAAAACCAATCAGGATAGATTCAATAATAAGTGAATCTGTGAGAAAATATTTGTGGATTGCTGTAGTTATTCATTTGGGCTTTGCTACCTATATTTATGGAAGTTCTAATTTATTTTATGAAACACTTGAAGCTAAATTAGTGATCGATTAATTATAAGATGTCTATGGATAATAAAATGTAGTAGTAGAATGGTGGGATAGATCATGGAGTTAAATTCCTAATATCATTTTACTCGCAATACTTGCTATTCTAATCCTTATAATATTCTTATTTTTCTTTTGTTATAAACCTGTAGTTGGATTGTTTTCTAAATGTTTTGCTTGTTGTAATGACTAAATTAAAAAAAATAATTCAAATGGATTAGAGCAATAAGAGTAAAGACCATTTTTGAAATGTAAAATTAACTTATTTATTTTAGTTCTAAAAAAGGAATAAATAGATGAAGATCTAAAATTCACTTAATTTCAAATGATGTTAGCTCCCTCTGTTTATAAGGAAAAATATCTCAAATTATTGAATGAATTATAAATACCTATTGGTATAAATAATAATGAAATTCCAATAATGAATCAAGATATTAGAATAGAATAATTACCTCTAGCTTAAAGTCAAATTAAATAATCGGCATTAACATAAAATGAAAATTAACAGCAAAACTCATAAAATAGATCTAATAATTAAAATGCTATATCATAAAGTCAAGTTAATAGATCAAAAACAGAATTAAACCAAATATAAAACAATTAATAGAAGTTGATTGGTTTAAGGTCCTATCACAAAGCAGTATAATTTATTTCTTATATTATTAGTATAATAAATAATACCACAAATATTATGAATGGGATGAAATAAAAGCCATGAATACTTAGTGATGAAAAACTTTGATTATTTTTATAGAAAAATATATATAAATAAAATAGAATTAAATTTCAATAATTTTATTAATTATTGTTAGATAGATTTCTTAATTTAACTAAATTGATTATATAATTTGTTATTAAAATAATATATAATTATTATTTGTACCTTGAGAGTATAAAATAAATCATACATCATAATTTTTTAAATAAAGCTTAAATGATTTCAAAATTTTTTGGGATTTAATAACTATATTATTTATCAGGAAAGTATTTAATTAAATTTATTTTTTTTAATAATTCTTATATGTCATATTTAAAAATTCTCAATTTCAAAGCTTTATTCAAAATATAAAACTATTTAATTAAGATTTTTGATCATCACATTTTTAATTTCAAAAATTTAATTATATAATAAAATATTTTTACTATTCATTAATAAACTCTTTTTATTTCATATTGTATATTAATGTGATGAATTATAGATAATAAGAATTTAAGATTCAAAACCCTATTTAAAAATCATTTATCATAATAAATATGATTAATCTTAAAGTATTAATAAAAAATTAAAAAAAATAGGATTTTCTTTGAATAGATTTGTTAATGATAATATTATTCAGAGTTGTTTTGATTATAATTAATTGTTATGTAATATTAAACTTTATAAACTGTCACTTGTTATAAATATTAATTCGAATGATGAATAATACTACCGAATACCCATCTTAGATTACTGAGACCATTCAAGGAATCACTTTTTCAAGTGCATTCGATTCTGGGAATCTAAAGAGTGTTCGTAAAGAAAATAGTGGAAGAGTACTAAAATTATAACATTATTAAGTTCATCCTTAATATATCAAGTGATTGGGGAATAAATGGTAAAACAACTAATTATAGAACATGGTTTTACTTCTCAGTGTCTGGAGTGAATGAAGGAGAACTTACATTTGTTATTGCAAATCTGTAAAACTAAGTAATTAATTACATCTTCATCATAGATGGGACTTTTCAAAGATGGTATGCAGCCAGTCTTTAGAAATTGTCATTCTTCATAATGGGAAAGATTAAAATAGCCATGCTAATATCGCTTAGTTCCAGAAGGTCATTTTGAAATAACTTTTAGACATAATTTCCTTAATGAATCAACAGTTTATTTTGCTTTTTTCTACCCTTGGAGTTGTGAAGATAATGATGTATTTAAACTAAATAGTTATAGAATTTTCTATAACTATGTTAAGCAATGTCTCTTTAAGTACCAGACATATATTATGATAATTCAGTACTGGCTTACTCAAAAGAGGGTAGACCTATTAACCTAATTACAATAACTAATGGATCATCCTAAATTAAGGAGGAATCTATACCAGGATTATTCCCTTAAAGTAGACCTTTTTAATTCAAAAAACCACACATTTTTATATCTGCTAGAGTTCATCCAGGGGAAGTGCCAGGATCTTTTGTTAATAATGGATTAATGAAATATTTACTAAATGCATATGATCCTGCTGCACAGGTGGCAAGAGAAAAGTTTGTTTGGTGTATCGTACCTATTATAAATCCTGATGGTGTGTATAGGGGACATTATAGGACTGATTCCTTATGTTAAAATCTGAATAGATATTATCTATCACCTTCTAAGGAGGATCACCCAACAATTTATGCTATAAAAGAATATATAATGAGACTTCAAAATACAGATAGATTTTATGGATATATTGATTTACATGCTCATGCTGGTCATAAGGGAGTATTTATTTATGGAAATTAATTACCATCATTAAGCTAACATACATCAAATTGCATAATACCAAGATTGATTAGTTTGTATTCAGAAATCTTTGATTATGATGCTTGTAATTTTACTGAAAAAAATATGTATGCTGCAGATAAAGGAGATGGATTAAGTAAGGAAGGTTCTGGAAGAGTAGCTTTTTATAAGATTTGTGGCATTATACATAGTTACACTCTAGAATGTAATTATAATACAGGAAGAATTACTAATATCATGTATGAAGAAAGTGGAAGTAAAATTTATATTAAAAAATAAGATAATTCATACACAGATGATTAATTAGATGAAAATATTATATTGGGATCTGTCTAAACATCAAATCCAAAATCTTATTTTTTTACAATTTAAGATTATGAATAAGTAGGTGTTGGTATTGTAAATGCATTTTTAGACTTTAATCTTATAAATCCTATGAGCAAATTATCAGCTTCTCCTTTTAAGACTTTAGCTAATTTGAGATCATTTTTAGCTTATAATATAATGAGAACTATGCATTACAGATTTGAACCATATTTAAGGAAGGTTTTAAAGTAAATTAATAATTTTTTATTTAGGTTTATAAATAACAAAGAATAATTGAATAGAGTTTTGAAAGCATTTTATGAATATATTTGTAATGGATAGATTAAAGATAATTTAGAAGGTAATTTAGATGTTGTTGTATAAAAACCATTGACAAAATACTAAAAGGCTTAGGAAATAAAGAAAGAAAAAAAACAGCAATAATAAGAATAATAATAATAATAATAATAATAATAATAATAATAATAATAATAATAATAATAATAAATATAATAATAATAATAATAATAATAATAATAGTAATAATAGTAATAATAATAAAAGTAATAATTCAGAAGATCTTAATATGAATAAGTTCCTGTTAAGTAATATCCATTCTCAGAAGTTGATTTAGATGCTAGATAAATGAGAACATAAAGTTAAGGCAAAGCACGAACAAAATCAGAAACAAAAAAATAATAATAAGTGTAGTAATAATAATAATAAAAAGTATAAAGGGCATTTAAAATTAAAAGAAATGTGAAAATATGACAAAAAATTAGTAATTTAATCAACTTTATGTATATTTTTTAAATTTGTTCTAATTTCTAAAGCATTAATTAAAACAATTTTAAATAGATGGTTCTATTTTTATTTCTTCGGATTATGAATCTTGAATGTTTTCCTTATGAAATATCAATACATTATACTTACTTAAGGATCTAATAAACTGGACTTCATGTTAGTTTTTTATCCAGTTATTCTTTCGTAAGTAGTGATTCCATAATACAAATTCTTTGTCTAGTATATACATAAAAGACTAATATGTAAAAATGAAATCTTACAAAATTGGAGTAATAAAAATCAATATATTTAAGATAGGGTATAGCATTAATAGATAGTTGTATAAAGATAAGCTTTCAGATTAAAAAAAATCTAAATAACTAAATGTAAATACATAAAACGATTATAGTAGCTGAATAAATCTAAATTAGAATTAGGGTAATAAGGTAAAGATAAAAATAAATTAAGTTTCTACATATATTTAATCTATGATTTACTTAGCTCCAACACAGTTATTTATCCATGGACAATGATGATCATAAACAACTACACATTTTTTACAGAATTCACAATGTTTAGATCTCTAAGGTCTAATAACCCAACAATCTGGACAGATATTAATAGGATCTATCTATTAATTTATAGCCTCTTCTACAGTAATATGTAGAGTAATAATTCCTGGATCACAACATTATGCTAGAATTGAAACCATTAGTAGAATAGCCAGAAAAACCATAAAAATTTACAAGAATATTCCCTACATTTCCCATAATATGTATCCGATGCAAAATTAAGATGTTAAAATAACAAAGTAGTAAACAGATACTGATTTTCTATTTCTTTTAATTGGATGATATGGTTGTTTCAAATTATAAAATAATGCTAAATCTGTTTTGTTCTCAAGCATTTTTTTAATTTAACTAGATTCTGTCAAATTTATTGGTAACTATTCATCTACATCCTAAATAGAAAATTATCAAATTACTTATATATTTTTTTAAGCTCCCTTGATTAGTAATTTCTTAACCACTTTAGATTATCCATAAGATGCCCCAATATGTAATGCAGTTTATTATTCATTATTTTTTGAATCGATATTGCAACCAAATGAAATCAAATAGCTCACAGTTAATTCACAACTATAACCTCAAAAATAGAAAATTACTTCTAATATGCTGCCCAATGCAAGCAAGTATTTCCTGCATCATCTTGAGCATTTATTGAAATCCCTTATTACATCCAATACCACTTTTATTAAAGAAAAATCATACCACCATATATGGTTAATCTCCTTAAGCTGCTGCATGTATGGGCAATAAACCAGATCCACTTTTAAGAGCAGAATCAGCACCCATATTTATTAAGATCTTCACGGCTTACTTATTTAAATACAATAATAATACCACATTTCCATTGTAAGATGCAATATGAAGGGCTGTGAATATTTCTATATTATAGGTGTTAACTAATTTTCTAATCTCATTCTCTTTATAATTATCAAAAGAATATTGTTCAAGATATTTCAGAAAGGGATAATCATTTCTCTGAACTGCAATATGTAGAACTAGATTCATATGGAAACATTTACTAGTTTATTTCTTGCCACAATCTAGATTCAATATGTTTGGTTTGACTTTGCTCATAAATTCAATTAATTGTTGAATTGAATTACTTTAGATCAATTCCTTTATTATTTATTGTGAATCATCAATCATTATTTTATAATAAATTATAATTCAATTTTATAATTCTCATCATTATAATCTTGATCTTAATTTATAAAGAAATATAAATGCCATAATCCTTATAAAAATTGCAAGTGCAATCAATATTCCAATGGATTCCCATAGACCAATATCAAATCCTAAAGTTTCAATAGGATCTCCAAATACATATTATCTTGTTTCAAATTCGTTTGTTGCAAAAGCTTCAAAAGAATATTTCATAGGACTTATATACTATATCCAACTAATCCAAACATAAAAATATTTTGAATTAGCAAGATACCCAGAAAAAATTATAAATGGTAATAATAGAATAGATACCATACTGGTAGCAGCTTTAATATCACTAAAAACACATCCTGTTATTAATCCTATACTATTTCCATTTAATGATGTTAAAATAGCCACCAATAAATGTATAAATACAACACCAACACTATGAGTATTAAGACCAATCATCCAATAAAGAATTAATTCTTAAATAACTGGTGTTATAAGACAAAAAGGTATTTCAACAAATGATTTTCCTATGAAATATGAAAATGTTGTATATAGTTTTGAATTCTCTTCTCTTAAAAATACATCTCTTTCTGTTGCAAATTGTAACACAACTGAAAAAAGAAAGGTCATTGTTAAATTCATAGTTAATAAAAATAAACATCCTGCTACTCCAGAATAATCTGAATAACTTCCATTATTATCGCCTAATCCATAAAAAGCTCCACCAACCAATAATCCCATAAATATAGTACTTCCAAATCTTTATCTTAAGGTTGCTTTCTCTCTCAATAGACCTTTTATGGCTCTTTTAGTAATTAACATTATTTGATAATTTGTAGACGTTTCTACTTTTTTATAAGTCAAATCAACTCTTGAAGATTTTTAAATGCATTCTAAAACTTCTGGCTTCTAGAACTTTTCATATGAATCAAATAGAATTTCAAAATTCTTGATATTTTATTCCTTTTCAGTATGCATTATGCTCATCATATAGTCCATAGGATTTGTCCTTTATGGACATTCAAACCCAATCATTTTAAAATAATCAATTAACTAACTTCTACTACCTTAATATATGAATCTTCCTTAAACAAGTAACATAACTCTATCGAAAAGCATAAAAATATCAGATGAAGGTTGATGAATTGTAAAGGCAATTGTTTTTTATAATCTATGAGCTAAATTTCTTAATTCGTTTCTAAAATTATAAAATAAAATATTACATAATTTAAAATGCTGTAAATGAATCTAATCCTGATGTTGGTTCATCTAATAATATACATGATGGGTTAGTTACTAATTCAAATCCAATTGATGTTCTCTTTCTTTCTCCTCCTGATATTCCTTTTAATGTTAAACCTCCTATCATTGTATTTTAACATCTTTCTAATTTCATTGTTTTTATCACTTCATCCACATGATGATTTTTCTCATCTTCAGAAACAAATTTAAGATTAGCTACAAATTAAAAAGCTTCTCTTGGAGTTAATGTTTCAAACAAAACATCATTTTGCATTACATAAGCAGCAAAACTGGAAAAAGTTTCAGGGGAATATTCATTCAAATTTGCCATTACTTTGCCTGTCAATCTTACATGATGAGTTTATGCAATTCTACAGGCTAAAATATTTAGCAATGAAGTTTTGCCTGCTCCAGAGGATCCCAAAATTGCTGTGACTTCTCCTCCAGGTATAAAACCATCCAAATCTTTTAAAATTTCTCTCCTTTCTGAAGATATATTAATGATTTACCTCCTTTATTAGATTGTATATTGTAGTTTATATTGCGAAATGACAGATCTATTGCCTTTTGGTGATAAACACTCTTAGCACTAACAACTGTATCATTAACAGCATGACTAATATCATAGACTTACATTTTGTCTTTGTATTAAAAATAACTAAATAAAATTTATTAGAATTCTCAGTTTCTTAAATTCATTTATCATATTGAATAATATATACTTAAAAAAAAAACTGATAAAATTGAAATTATTTGATTTAAAAATTAATTATTAAGAAATGAAATTTAATTAAACAATCATTATTATTTTGATCTTAAAATCTTAAGAAACATATAAGCTCCTAATCTTATGGCTACTGCAAAAGCAATTAGAATTCCTACTGATTCCCATAAGCCAACTTCAAATCCTAGAGTTTCAATAGGATCACCAAACTCATAACTTCTTCCTTCAAACTCGTTTGTAGCTAAAGCTTCGAATGAATATTTAACAGGACTTATATATTAAATCCATCCAATCCAGACAAAAAACTACTTTGAATTTGCAAAGAATCCTGAAAAGATAATTAAAGGCAATAATATTAAAGGTACAATGCTTGTAGCCACTTTAATATCATTGAATGCGCATCCAGCCATTAATCCCATACTATTACCATTTAAGCAAGTGAGGATAGTAATGAATATATGTGCTACAACAACTCCACCATTCTCAGAATTAAGACCAATCATCCAATAAAGAATTAATTCTTAAATAATTGGTGTTATAAGACAAAAAGGTATTTCCACAAATGATTTTCCCATGAAATATGAAAATGTTGTATATAGTTTAGAATTCTCTTCTCTCAAAAATACATCTCTTTCTGTTGCAAATTGTAACACAACTGGAAATAATGAACTCATAGTAAGATTTATGCAAAGAAAGAACATACATCCAGACATACTAGTGTAATCTGCTAATGTTCCTGACTATTCTCCAATACCATAGTATGAATATCCAAGTAATAATCCCATGAAAATTGCCATACCTACTCTTTACTTAACAATCATTTTATCTCTTAAAAATCCTTTTATTGCTCTTCTAGCAATTAAGTTTATTTAAAATGCAGTAGAAGTCTCTACTTATTTATATACTAATTCAGTTTTTGAGGATTCTTTGATTTCATCTAACACCAATTATTATAATTATTTTTCATATTAGTCAAAATAGATAGGAAAATTATCTATATTTATTTGACTTTCTTGATGCATTATGCTCATCATATAATCCATTGGATTACTATGATCTGGACAAGGAAATCCTATCCCTTTAAAGTACCCAACCAATTTAGTTCGGGGTCCTTAGTAGATGAATTTTCCTTAAACTAATAACATGATTCTATCGAAAAGTAAATAGATATCTGATGATGGCTAATGAATAGTAAATATAATAGTTCTATCTTAATCATGAGCTAGTAATTAAAGTTCATATCTAAAATTATAAAATAAAATATTACATAATTTAAAATGCTGTAAATGAATCTAACCCTGAAGTAGGTTCATCTAATAAAATACATGAAGGATTAGTAACTAATTCAAATCCAATTGATGTTCTTTTTCTTTCTCCTCCTGATATTCCTTTTAATGTTGGACCTCCTATTATTGCATTTTAACATCTTTCTAATTTCATTGTCCTAATAGTGTCTTCTACTCTTGATTATTTCAATTCTGGATCTGTATATTTTAAATCTGCAACAAATTTTAATGCTTCTCTAGGAGTTAAAGTTTCAAAAAGAACATCATTTTGCATAACATAAGCAGCAAAATTTGAAAATGTCTCAGAATCATACTCCATTTGATTTGCAAGCACTTTTCCCTTTAATTTGACTGTTTTAGAACTATAAACACGAGCAGCAAGTATGTTCAGCAATGATGTTTTACCAGCACCAGATGCTCCTAAAATAGCGGTAACCTCTCCTCCTGGACAATATCCATCTAGATTACGTAGAATATCTCTTTTTTCTATGAATTTTATAGAAAAATCTTACTTCCTTTCTGATCAACCACTGAATATTCGATATTCTAAAATGCAATATCTACTACTCTTCTACATCTTAAACTTTTAGCACTCTAAACTGTGTCATTAAGTCTTCCAGCTTCAATTTAAGGCTATATTTCTGTTTCTTACATAAATTATTGGTGTAAATTTTAATTAAAACTGTATAAAAATAGCAATTTAGAATTCTGTGATTCCAATATACAACTAGAATTTATCAATATTCAAAATTTATTATAATAAATAAGATAACTAAAAAATATTATCAGCTAGGAAACCTTTTATTAAGAACATATGTATAATATTCTCTAAAAAACTAGACTAAATAATAATTGGATGAAACAACATTTGCAAAATAATCAAAAATTGATCAATTAATATAAAATAAGAAATAACTTATCTGATTTAGGTAGTTTTAGATTATTTAGTAAACAAAATATTAATTTTAGAAATAAAAATAATTCTTCAATTCCTAAAATTTATTTATAATAAAAATTAATTAATTTAATTTAATACATAGAATAAGTTTTTATTTATTATATATTTAACATTATTGTAATTCTTAACTAATTATAAATTATTATTATTATTTTTCAAATTTTATATTAATTATCAATTAATAATAAAAGAGTAAAAAATTGTATAAAATTTCTACATTCAATTTACACTTTTTTATTTCAATCCATATATTATTAAACAGATTATTTTTGATATTAAAAATCAAGCCAATACACAAAGTATTCAAATATATTAAAAAAACTATTAATTGCAATTTTAGCTGTTTTATTTTGATTGTATTAATATTGGTTGCATAATAACAATATATTACTAAAAATAAATAAATTAATTTAACTTTATAAAATATAATAGAAATTTTGAAGTAATTAAACTTTGATTGAGTCAAAGATAATTATATAAAATATTATATTTTTTTTGAAGAGCAAGATTAATTTCAATTTTATAGAATTATTGATGGAAATGAAGACAAATTTGTTTCAGAATTTTAATTAGTAATAGTACACATATCTAAATTAGGAGTTAACAGATTTTCTTTCATTTAAATTAGTCTTAGTTATTCGCATTTGATAATAATAATAGTTGAAAATGAGAGAACAATATCTATAAAGATATAAGAGATAAAAGTGATCTCTTATAATTGTTTTCCTATCCTCTTTACCAGATATTTGAATAGTTAGAAAAATAAAATCAAATAAATATAGAATTTTATTTCATATAATCTAACAGTTTTTTAGGGCTATAGACTTTCAATTCATCGAATTCAACAAAATATTCTACTCCATTATCGTATTTACATTGAAAAAACAATTACTCATTCATTAACTGATGTGAACATATAGTTGTAATGATAATATTTTGACTTTTTATTTAATTTAATTCTTAATCATACTGAATCATCTCTGATTAATTATTATCAATTAAATTAACTTAAATTTCTACATCTTTTATTTTTGGTATTATAGGTACGCTGCACCTACTTGGTTTATTTTAAGCAATTCTATCTAAATGAAGTCTTTAGATTTCTTATTAAATTTACTGACTTGTTTTTACCTGAATCTATTATTTTGGTTCTTTGAATATAATTTAATCTAAATTATCATTTTCATTTTGTTTTTAGCATTTAATTTAATCTAAAGAGGCATTTTTTTCCAATTTCTTTTCTTCAAAATAGTTATTATTTTAATGCAAGGTAAAATGATTTATAGAGCTTTAATTGCCATTTTTGTTTATAAATTGTAATCTATTCAAATTGTTTTTATTATCATTATCACTGTTATTATCATTAAGGCTAGAATTATCATTAAAATTATTTTGGTAATTATTCAATTTATTATTAATTGATTAATAAGTATTATCATTATTATTATTATTATTATTATTATTATTATTATTATTATTATTATTATTATTATTATTATTATTATTATTATTATTATTATTATTATTATTATTACTAGTAATGATTGATGTTACTTATTTTTAAGTATTTATATTTTAAAATGATAATAAATTTCCTGATTTTACTGCTCTACATTTTTCCTTTTTTAATTCTTTATTGGGTCTTTCTAAAATTTATTAACTGCTTCTATTATCATTTTAATAAACCGTTTGTGAAATATTTGGATTTACTTATTTATTATCAAAATTCTCTTCAAAATTTTATAATTCTAGTTAAAAAGATTCATTATCATTTTCAATAGAAATAATTTCACTTGATGATTGAAATTATTATTTTTTTTTCTTATCTTAATCTAATGTTTATCTTTTCATTTTGATTTTAGATGATTCTTAATTATTCTAAATTTTTGTTTATTATAACTTATTAATTGTATTTTTCTATTCATTTGAGTTTGACTTCTTTGAATTTTTTTTAAATATTTTATTATTATTTTAGATCTAGGATTTCTAATGATTAAATTTTTGTTACTCATTTTGAATTTCTATTTATTAATTTTTTTATTATTCATTTATTATTTTTTAAGCTTTTTCTATTTAGTTTAATAATTTAATATCTCTTTCAATTGTAGATTCCTACTTAACAACCTAAGTTAGATTTGTAATTGATTAAGTAGTAACAATCATCTATTTGATCTATTTTTCTCCTATAAAAGGAGGTAAATGAGCAAATTCTACTACGACTCTTTTTGAATCTAATTTAGAATCCTAAGTATTAAGAGTAACATCTTTTAAGTTTTAATTGATTATGGATTAAGTTGAAATGAATTTGTTTGAAATATTTTATATTTTCCATTAATGATCTTAAATAGATTTACTTTTTTGATTAACCTTAGGAATATAAACTTAACAAAATTTGCCTTTAACATGAACTCTTATACCATCTTGAGAGGGGTGAATCTTTTTATTGAAGAATAAATAACAAATTCTAGTTTCGAAGCGTCTATATAAAAATTTATAATTGAAATATACTACCTAATTAAATAGGATGATTCTTCAGTGAAATTAGATTATTTCTCCCAAGACATATGGGAAATAGATTATCCTGACCATTTAACTGCATAATAATAATTATTCTTGACTAGTTTTTTTCCATAAATAAATTGTGTTTCATTGATAGCTAAAAGTTAGAAATAAATGGATACCTAAATGGTTGTTCTTATGATTCAAATTTTTCATGTTATTTAAAATAGTGAATCAAATTAAAGGGAGGAAATAATTTATAATATGTATTGATATCATTTTCTACAATCACAATCACAAACTGGGCATGTCTACTTCCATTATAACATATGTTCATAGTGGCCTCCATGTTGGCATGAACTACAAAATAATCCATGACTAGTGATAATTTGTTAACAAATTGAACAAATTGTCTTATTTTAATTTTACTTCACATTTCCCAATTATAAGGGTCCCTAACCATATATTTCATTATTTAACAAATCTCTAAAATTACCAACCTAAAAACTAGTTGATTTTAATTTCTTATAAATGCAAAAATTTATAGGACTTTAAGCTCTAAGAGCTGTTTTCAAAACATTTAATTTGCTAAATTCCACTTTATCACTTACTATTAAGGGAAAATTATTGAGTTAATTCCATATAATATAAATAGGACATTCATTTTATATTTTCTAAAAGTTATCATAGGTTGAGATAATTTATGTTCCTTTAACAAATAGTTTTGGATTTGGTTAACTATTATATTTGCTAATTTCATCTTTAATTAGATCTTTTATTTAATCTTTCATTTCAATATTGGATTCTAATTTCAATTAATATACACAATCTAATAATTTCTTAGTATCTTTTAAATTGCTTTTCTTAATAGAATAAGCAATCTAATCATATAATCTATAAATCTAATATTAAGAATTCCATAATTTTTTGAAATATTCTTAAAAGTCTTTTATTAAATTCATTTCTTAATGTTAAACTTTTTTTAATTATTATTAATAAATGCAATCAGATAATATTTTTAGGATTTTCATATTGTATTCTTAAAGATCCACTAAATAATATTATTGATTTAATTACATGTAACTCCACTTGTAAGAACAAAATTGGCTATGCTTGAATTATATAATTTAAAATATTCCTCTAATGGTTGAAATAAGATTTTTAATGGATTATTGATATTAGTATTATTATTATTCTTTTTCATATGACTAGTAAAATATTCATGTAGGGATGTAATATTATCAACATGGAAAGAATAACTACCAAAATCATAGATCTAAAAATATTTAAATATTATTATTACACTAATTTCAACATTTTAATTGATGACTGTCTTTTTATCTTATTATTCATATACTTTTTTAGATAAATTTTTAAATTATTCTCCTAAAATAATGACATCTGGATTATTGTGCAAATCATAAATTTCATAATCTTTATAAAATGATACTTTCTCAACTTTTTATTCTTTAGGTACTTCCTATTAATGGAATTAAGGAAAATAGTGATAATAGAATTAGAAATTCAAATAATCATAGGCTTCATCTTCCTTTTCTGAAATTAATTAAATTCCAGCTTAAAAAAAAGGTTATAGATTTTCTTCATCTTCTCTAATTTCAACAACATGTCTCTATTATTGATTGGATTGTTTTTTTTTTGGTTATGAAAACACAAATGAATTTAATTCCTATAAAGTTGTATACTAAGCTTTCTAATCTTTTGCTTATTTCTAATGACTTGTTGCAGTATTGTGTACAGTAATTAAATGACCTTAAGGAGACCAACAACAAGTAGAAAATCCTTAATAAGGTATTGGTTGAGTATGAGTATGGGCTCTTCCAAATTCTTACTTATCTGATTTTTTTCCACTATTTGCAGGTATCTCAAATGATAAAACAATGTTGCAAACTTCTGGTACTATACTTTTAATCAATTCTAATGTAGAAGTGTATTGACTTTGTTTGACTAATTATGTCAATTTTTCACTTTCAGCATAGACTTTCCAGCTGTCTACTTTAAAACTAACCTACTTAATATATAATTCTCTATCAAGTAAAGACAACAATAGAATCATCATATGATCTTATTGTTTTTCTGCACTTTTAGTACGTGACAATTTAATTGTACAAATATTATTCTCTTCATTTACTTTTGTTACTTATAATTTATTTTCTGAAACCTTTCTAAATTCCTCATTGACTTCATATTGAATTCTACTGCTATTATTGAATGAAGCATCTTCATCATCTTAAGCATCACCGAAATTATGATTTTCTTCTGTCATTTCAATTATAATTTACTATTTAATTATAACAGAATGTCTAAGTTGAAACTTATTGAAACTATTAAACAATAAGAAAAACTAATATAGAAATTGTAATCATAAATCAAAAGAAGTCAAAGTCATTTCTAAAGTCCTCAAAATATCAAGCAATAAAATACTTAAAGAAGTTCAAGTCGAAGTATATAAAATGCCAAGAAATTAAAAGAAAAGGATCAAACCATTAATATTCTTACTGAAAGACTCAATAAAGCATTTGAAAATGAGAATTAGGTAATTATCATCTAATTTCTATTAGATCAAATATAAAATCTAAAAGTAAAGAGTCATGTTTAAGTGTCTCTATAATGATTTGTAAAATGAAGTGTATAAATTGAAAACTGAAATGCTTCAATTAACAACACCATAAAGATAATCAAAGAAATTACTCTACTATTGATTATAATATGATAAATAATTCATTAATCAAAGTACAAGTGAAGGACTACACTTCTCCAACTAAACCTTAAAGGAGACTAATTTAATAAAGAATTAAACCATTTATGGAAGCATATGGAATATCTCCTGAGTTCTTTGAAATCAAAGGTAAATCAGTTGTTTTCAAAAATAACAATCCCAATAATCTAACCCATTTAAATAAAAGTGTAATATCAACCTAATCAACTAAAAAGAAACAAAACCAAAAAATATAAATTAAAAGACCTCAAACAGCCTCAATACAATTACCTAATAATGTTGTCTTACCTATTTCCAATAAATATGCTAATCTTTTCAATGAAATAAAGAGTACTCAATAAAAACCATAAGTACAATAACCAAAGAAAGTTGAGTAGTCTCTAATTTAGGAAGAAGCAGATGAAGCATCAGACTCAAGTTATATTTAGAAACATGAAATAATGCTAAAAGATATAGCTGAATTAGAAAAGTAATTATATTATCATACTAGGGTTAAATAAGAGAAGATCTTAGAGTTAGAAATGTTACAAAACAAAATAGAGGAAGCTAAAAATGCAGAGATTAATTCTTCTCGTTTCATTATAAAAAAGAATGTACATAAACCTACTCTTAGAGAGAAGAAAGATAAGGCTGCTTCATTGATTTAGGCTCATATTAAAGGCAGGATGGATTATAAACGATTTATAGAATGGAAAAAAAAGAAGGAAGATAAATTAAGAAAGGTAATATTTATATAAACATGGTGGAGAATTGAAATGAAGCATTTAAGAATATAAAGATAATTTAAAATAGCTCATCAATCTAAATAAGTGAGGTTAATAGATGGGCATACCTTTCTAATCATTACTAATTATTCTTATACCTTATATCGGATTAGATTATTATTTATTGAGAGAATGGGAGTGATTAAGGGAGATTTTAGATTATATTTGAATTAATAGAATTGTTCAAAATTACTTAATGAGGACATATCTAAACAATCATTCGAATTTTTATCTTTAATGAATATAATCATCAATAGCCTAATAAAATTAATCTAAATTTAGGACAGTCGTCTAATTTTTGATTTATAGAAATAAAATTTAATTGATATTCCAAGATTGGTATTACAAGTTTACTTGAACTTAAATCATATTACTGCAAATTAATATTCATTGATCATTAATTAAGTAGAACCAGAAACCTAATTAGTAATATCAAAAGATTAACATGAATAATCTAATTAGAAACCTATTATTGTAGTGGGAGAACCCTAAACTTAATTACTTGAATAATAATAAGAAATCAAAGAAGATAATTAGATAGAATAAGAAGTATAAGTGTAAATTATCAAGGAAAATGAAAAAAATTAACATATTGAATTATATAGTTAAAAAGTTGAATTATCTGATATTTTGTAATAATAATAATAAAAGGAGTAATAATAATAAGAGTAATAACAATAACAATAACAATAACAATAATAATAATAATAATAATAATAATAATAATAATAATAATAATAATAATAATAATAATAATAATAATAATAATAATCTGGAGAAGATATTAATAATAATCATCAAAACTAAAATTAGAATCAAGAAGTGATACAGGATGAAAATAATGTTGAATGTTAAAAACTTTTAAATTCTTAAATAAATTAGAATAATTAAAGTTAAGTAGAAATTATAAATAATGAAAATTTTTCAGAGTAGATAAATTAATAAAGTGAGTTTTAATAATCAGAGAAAGAATAAAAAATTGAATAAGATAATTAAGATAACTTGAACAATGATTATATTAAAAATTAAGAATAATAATAAGTGACAAATTAAAATTAATTCTATGGTTTTTAGGATCCCTTAAATTCATAAATATTTAATAAAGAGCATCAAGAATTTCAATAATTCATTTCAGATTTAAAGAATGATATAGTAGAAGTTAATTAAAGTAATTTTGAAACTCATTAGAATTCAAATTAGATTAATAATAACTTTTAAGAAACTATAAAATTGTGTGAAGGCACATAAATTATCTAAAATGAAGTTATGTTATCATAAAGATCATATAATAATAATGAGCAATAAATAAATTAATAAGAGACTACTTAGAATATTTAGGATGATTAAGAATTAATAATTAAGGTAAAAAAAGAAGATTTAGTAGAAGGGATGGAATAAAATTAAGAAGAAATTATTTAAAATTAATAGGAAGAATGTGAAGTACAATAATAATAAGAGTTATAAAACAATTTATAAGAAGATTAAAAGATAGAATATGTTTAAGAATAGAATTTGGAGATTATTTAACAATAAGAAAAAAAAAGTTGTACTGCAAATGTAGAAAATAACAATTAAGATTTTGAATAGATAGAGAATTAGGTTGATAAACCTTAAGAAATTCAAGAATAGGAAGAGGAATAATAATAATAGATAGTAATATCTGAATAGGGTAATTAATAGAATAGTAATGTGTTATCACATTAGATTGAATAAGAACCATCTTAATAAAGTTTTAAAAAAAAGGAAAATGATCAAAATTAATTATAATTGCCTTCATAAATAGATTTTCATTTGCTTAAAAGTGGGGAGAGTAATTTCTTTGAACCTCCTAATTCTGGCAAAGAGACAGCAAAATACTTGAATTCAGGAGAACTATTAAGTAGAACACATTTTCTTTCTTAGTTGGGATAGTTAGGAAAATTTGAATATGAGAATAATTCATTATTGGGATCAGGAGAATTGAAAAAAGATTTAGAAGGTTTATAAGAGCCTTTAAATTTAAGAAATAAAAGCAATAATCAATAAGAATTATTTTCTGAATCTCAAACATTTTAAAATAGAATGCCTAGTGATTTTAGATCACCTTTTATAGATGATACATTTAAATTAAGCACAACTTTTAAATTTTAATTTAGTTCTGAAATAAAAGCTTTTGAAAGTGGACTATTTATTTCTGAAAAATTTGATATAAAAATTTAATAGTAAGATTCTCTTGAGTACTCAATGGATGAATCCTAAGATTTGCAACCTATTTACATCACAACAATAAAGGTTGATGATAATGATGTAGACGTATTTTAGATAAAGAATGTATTAAGATTTAAGGATAAGAATAATTTATATTAATCTTATGATTTCTAGATATCTAAAATGTAGTAACTTAATTGTGATTATATAATTCAAAATTTATATGTGTACATAATAAAAAATAGTATTAAATGTATAGATGGGAATTAAATATTAAGAATATAAAGATATTTAAAGAGATTTAGATTTATTTAATCATGCTTATTAATTTTAGATAAGGAGTCAACTTTAGTTTGTTTATTTAAATCATGTAATGAATATAATAATTAAAAGTTTTTTAGATAAAGATGAATTTTTATGGAAATGTAAAATTTGGAGAGTAAATTATTATTGAGAAAATGACATTAAAGTAAAGGAGAATATTGGAGAAGAATTTTTACTCGATTTGCCCATAATTATTATTTTCTGATAAAGGTTTGGAATAGAAGATACTTGCAACAATAGAGGCTATTAATATTTAAAGTTGACTAATATTATTTATATATTTTATTAATTTTGAGTTTTGTTTGATTATATTCAAGTATGTAACAGAGATTGTTATTGAATTTAATTAGATCTAAAAATCAATTTTAAGTTAATGCTGTCTAAATGATATAAATATATTTAATTAATAAGAATGATTGTGATATTTGAGTCCATATTGTTGTTGTTTTATGTTAGAATTGCAGAGTGTTGTACATAATTGCCAAACAATGAATTAGTACTAGTAAATAAAATAAATGAAACATAAAGTATGAATGTTTAAAAATTATTCATAAAATAAGAACAATCTTAAATATTGTTGATAGCTAATGATAGTGACATTAATATTCAAAAATATATGTATATCCATTCTAATAAGAGCAATTCTTTTACAGATATAATAAGGGTTAAGTGTTTGAGATCATATTAAGACTACACTGTAACAAATCAATATGCCTTATTGAATAAAATTAATGAAAAATATCAAATACACATAAATAGTTATTAAATTGAAAATAATCAGCGTTTACCAGAATTCAATTAATATTTTGAAATAATAGATTATACCTGTCATGATTTAGAAATATTAGATAGATATAGTTTAATAGCTGATTGTTATAATGACACAAAAAATGTATTCATATTTATAAGAGAATAAAGTTAATTATAATATTACATCTAAGATCAGACAAAAGATTTAAGAATAAAAACAAGGATGTTTGCATTTTAGGATGATATTTTAATTCGTGTTTTGTATTATGATGATTATAATAAATATTCATCAATACAATTTATTTAATTTGGTGAAATAGTTACAACTTAATTAATAATTGATGAAACTTATATCAACAATATGATTAATGATACAGAAACTGTGATTCAACTTTAAATAGTATAAGTATAAATTGAATAATAAATGATAACAATATTAAACAAAAATTAATGGATTATATTGATAAATGCTAAAGATTACCCTTTTATTCTTATAAAGGAGTATTTTTAATTTGATTTACAATATCCAATAGTATACATTACATATCATATTTATAATTAATGTTATGCTTTGTTAACTTAATATGCAATATATGTTTTGCAAAATAATTAAACAATATATAAGGAAATAGATAATTAAGATCAATCATTTAAGATATACTTTACATAAAATAGTCTAATCCAATATAATAATAGATAATTGAGTTTATTATAATTTAATTTGAACATTTTACAAACCATTCCTATAAATGAGAATCCAAAATTTATTATAGACTAAACATCAGATGAAATTATAACTATATCTGAATCAGACAGTCAGAGAATTATTATTAGAAATAATTTATAATTATAATTTAAATCAAATACATTGTATAAATAATTTAGATAGGCTACTTTGATCTAATAAATAAATATACTTGAATCATGTAATTTAAATATCAGATACACTACCATTGAATTGAATTCTACAGAAGCCATACCTACTGTGATGAATTAATTTAATACAATATTGAATAGTCCAATAGAATCCTATGAAGTAGACAGATTCATTGATGGTCCTAATATTACAATTTCTAATATAAACGAATTAAAGATCAATTAAGTTTTATTTAGTATTAATTTTGAACTTTTATAATAAAAAACTATAAGTGGTATTCTAAGTGAATCTACTGTTTAATATATAAATGTAATTCAAGTTGGAACTATATACTTATATTTAATTTAAACATCAAATCTTTATATGGAACTTTACTATTGTTTATAAGGAATGAATTGTGCCTTTACAAATTAAGTTTACCTTGAATTTAATTTATCATCCATTAATCATGAAATTTTCATTAATACATTCAATATATATATTGTTGTTAAAAACAATCAGTAATTAGATATTTGGAAAATATCTGAAACACTCATCTATTAGTGTACTATTTATCCAGATTAGGATCATTATATACTTTAATTTCAATACATCAATTCTTTCTTAGTCGTGCTTTACTCAAACCAATTAGTTGTTATTTATAAAATAATTGATAAATGTGAGAAGTCTTAAGCATTAACTACTGAATTTATTGAGAATTATCATATCTAATGGAATCCTTCTTATATATCAATTAATGAATAGTATAATATTCTATATGTATAAACTGGAATGCAATTGTTGTTAATTCAAATCAAAGAAAAAGAAATATATCCCATCAATATAATACAACTTAGTTATAACAGAACTATCACAATATTTTCATATTAAGATATTATTTGGATTTACTATAAGGATGAAGCAGTTATTGAATCATTTCTAATCAATTCTATAACTTATATAGAATATCAAAAAACTATCTCCTTATATAATGTTATTCCTAACAAATTCTTCCATCATTAATAATCTAAATATGTCTATTTCAAAAATAGTCAAGATAGTTTAGGCACTATATATATATATTCCATGGTATCCAGTAGTCACAATGCTTTATTGACTACATTTTCTACTAAATACAAAATACTTTATTCGGTGTCAAATTTATTTATTATTGCTGATATCAATAATTATTTTGAAATCAAAGAAAAAATCAAGTATTCCATTTTTTATCGAGAAATAGAAAATCCAAATTATTTAGTTAAAGTTAATACATCTTTAATTATTTCAAGTTATGATAATAAAGAACAACTTAAATATTTAATTAATTCAACTCTTGTTAATCCTTATACAACCATAACAGTAAATTAAACTTAATTAAATCTCAAAGAATTACTCAATTAAGGTAGACCTATTGGCTATTGTGAGAGTAAATATTTCTGGTATACTGGATAAGTTGTGGATATTGAATTAAATAGCAAATAGTTGAAACTTAGAAAATCCATGCATCTTTTAAATAGGGAGATATCATCTACAGGATTAGATATCAAAGAATATATATAAGATTCTGTACTCATTTTATATTAAGATAGAATTGTCAAATTAAATATGACTACTAAAATTTAGTAAATACATTATCTAAATATTTCGATTTCATATTCAAAGATAATCTAAGCTTTCAAGGATCTTATTTTTATTTCAGCTTACAAATACATTCCTACATTTTCTTATATGATTTAAGTAATAAAATGTGATTAGAATTTTAATTGTTCTATTTACACTGATGAGATATCTTTTAATAGTGATCCTAAAAAAATTAGAGTGTTTTAAAATTTGTTATTCGTAATTTCAGAATATTTTATAAATGTGTATACTTTTAAAGATGATAAATTATAAATTATTCAAAATTTTAATACATCAAATTCTGGATATTTTCAAGATATCATATCTCCAGAATAAGATTATTTTTAAATCTACTCAAATAGAGATAATTAAATCAATATTACCATGTATTAATTCAAAGAAAATTATCTTAATTTTACATAATAATCTAAGATTGATTTATTAGATATTATCTAATAATCTGGATTTAATATAGATCCTAAAACTTTGCTTTAAAGAATTATGATAAAAAATAATAAAACTTAATAATAATTATTTACTGTGGAATTATTCTGCTAAACATATTAACATTCACACTACATATTATAAATACAATCTGTTTGTTAATATTAAGTAAATTCTTATTTTTGTAATATTAATAATTACAAAGTATTGTAAATACTTTAAGGATATGGAACTTGGCCTTCCAGCTAAGTTAAAATATATAATGACACATATATATTGATGATTTATTATTAATCAACAACATTTATCAATGCCATTTATAGTATACAATTAAATTATGTTCACCCAATTATTTCTCCTACATTATTTTCAGGTGCTATTCAATATTAAAATATTTCATATTCTCAATAAGCATTTTTTACATAAGAACATTAAATTTATTTATTAACTAATTCAATCAACAAAGAAGTATTTGCTTTATATGAAGTACATAACACTTCTAAGTTTTGTATTTATGATAATTTGATATCTGAGAAAATACTAATTACTCTCAAGAATCATTTTCACTAAAAAAACGAAACTATTGATGTAACAAAAAATAATGATATAGATGATGATAAAACAACAAAATTAATTATTTGGTTTGTCTTTGGAATTATATTAGCATTACTTTTGGGAATCCTTTTATTTGGTTGTTATATAAAATATAAAAAGAGATAAACACAAAATTAATTAATTTTATGATACTAAATAATTCATTTTGCATTTGAAATTTACCCAAAATTACTAGAAATTATAATATTTTTGTCTTGTTCATTTTATTCTTTAAAATTTAAATTTCTTTCTATTTCTAATTTTAATTTATCATACTTTTTCTGAAACTCATCAGCTTATTTTGTCTAATATTAAATTATAATAATTATACTTTTAATTAATTTAATCTTGTATTTTCATTAGCCAATAATGCACACTTATTCTCTAATTCAATAATTCTTCTATTCTTATCATCTAATAATGATGTTTCTAATCTATTTGTGTCTTCATTTACAACTTCTTTCATAAATGATACCTCTTTCTAATATTAAATTAATTCATTCTTCAATGTTTAAATTTCAAAATCTTAACTTTTAATTGTTTATACTAATATTTATATTTCTTCAAACATTTAATTATTCTTTTATTCTAATTCTCTTTACTCAGATGTATTTCTAAACGAATTTTATTATTATTCTAATTATCGAATATGTTATATAAATTAATCCTCCTTCTTCTAAGCCTTTATTAAATTATTTTCTAATTGCATAATCTTAACATTCAAAGAATCTGCCAATGATTAATTTTTTGATTAATTCAATAATTCCTCCTTTCTAGAAAATTATTGTAATTAATCTTCTAAATCATGTATATATGATTCAAATTTACTAATTTTCTATTCTTATTATTAATTTAATTGCTTTAATTAATTAATTTATTCATTTTTTTATCTTACTTCACCCTAAATTTAATTTATTTCATTATTCAATTTCTATTAAACTTACTCTATCTATTTTTTTGTTTCTATTGATTATCTTTCATATTTCTCATTATTCATTCTCTCTGTCTTAACTTAAATCTCTTCTACTTAAACTGATAACTACCTTCTTAAATCTTCATTCTAACTTTCCCACTTTTCATTTAACTATAAACTTAATATAATTTAATATTACTTATTTCTCCTTCTTATAATTTTCAATCATTATTTCCAAATCATCACTAATATCTTTTATTCTATTATTTGCTTCTCTTAATTTTTTCTCATATCTTTATTCTTTATTCTTTAATTCTTCCTATAATTACTTATTCTTTAATTCTAACTAACTCAAATCAGAAACTTTATCATTTAATTATAAAGAAACTCTTTAATTTTCTCTTTATAATCTAGACTCTAAATCCTATATTTCCTTTATATATTTCTATTTCATTTATTGTAATTCAGATTGCACTTTATCTAATTATGAATTAAGCTATTAATTTTAAATATTATAATCTTTTATTTCTAATTCATATTTTCTTTGACATTATTTAAGCTATTCTTCCAAATCTGCTAAAAATTTATTTTCTTATTTTGAACTCTCATTTTCTTTTGTCAATTACATAATTTAATCTTCTAATGCTTTTATCTTGCTTTAAAACTTTTAAATAATTTAATTAGCCTTACTCAACTCTTATTGTAAAGTCTCTTTTTGTTTAACAGAATTCCTATACTCTAAATCATATTCAGTAACCTTTAACTATTTGGCTCTTTTATTCTGATCTGATAACTGATCTATTTCTTTATATAATAAACTTTTCTCTTCTTCCATTTAAACATGAAATTATTCTAACTACTATTACAATTTCTAATTCTTCTATTCTAACATTAATATTTATTTATTCTTAATATCTAAATCTCCATTATTCATTGACTTATTCAATTATTCATTATCTAATTACTATTATAATTATCTTATTCTCTCTTCAAATTCTAATATTTAATTTGATTATTGATTTTATTTAGACTATCTAGATTAAACTGAAAGTTTATCTTCTTACTCCTATTGCAATTATTTTTTTGTTAAATATAATTCTTATTATAATTATTGCTTTTATTGATTCGCTAAATTTAATTAATTATTAAGATTTAGAATCTTACTATTTAATTCCTCAATATGTCTACTGTTAATAGAACTAGATTGTCTAGTTTACTATTCATTTTGCCTTATTTTTGTCTCTCTTTCATAATTATTTTGTTATAATTTATTTTACACTTCAGAAACCTAAGTTTGAAATACTGTGATTTGATTCAAATATTCAGTATTCATTTAACTCAATTATGAATTTTAATCCGAAAGCTCCTTCAATCTCTAATTAAGCAAATTGATTTCATCTTAATGTTTCTTAACTTGATCTTATAGTGTTTACCGTATAATACTTAAATCCTTAATCTATAATGAATCTGTATTCCTTTAATTATTTAATTAAGTAATCTAGGTTAAGAGTTATTAATTCATTTCACTAATTTTTTAAATCTATTTATCTTAATCCTTATAATAGATAGAACTATCCTTCTATACAAGTATCAATTATTACTATAATGAATTATTAATTGCATTTAATTTATCTATCTATACTAAATAATCATCTATCAAAATCTCATATTGTTATTATTTTTTTTGATAAACTTCAACTTAGCTTAACAATTTAACATTCTCTTATTCAACTTTCTTAAAATTAATATCATTTTCTAATTAAATATGTAATATTTAATCCTTATGTTTACTTTCTAAATATTTTGATTTTTCATCAAAATCTTATATTTCCTTTTAATATTATTTTGTATTCAATTGTAAAACTTGGAGTTGACTAATTAATTTTATGTTTTCTTCTTGTACAATTTATAAATCAATAAGTAAATTTTCTGAAGCCAAGGCTGCATTACTAGTTATTTGATGATATTATTGAGTATTAGTTGTATTAGTTACAATCTTTATTTATTAACTTTATGAATTCAATCTACTTGATTTATGAGATTTAAATTCATTTTCAGGGATTTAAAAACGAAAATTCTGAATATCTTTTCCTAAATATAATGGATCTTCTGAAGCTTGATAAATTTTGTCATACATGAATTAGATGAAAATTTTCTTATTGAAATTTTTATTATAAAATAAAAAATAAAAAATATAGAATTCATAATTATTACTAGAGTTAAAGATTGAATTATATATATTAAAGTTTCATTTCTTATTCAAATATTTAATATTAATATGATTTCAACAAAATTATCAATCTTTAATTTTAGAAGATGAATTTTAATAAAAAATTTATTAGTATCATTTAATAACTGAAATTTGAAGTTATTTTATGTTAAAATATCTTTATAACTATAATAATGATAAAAATGATATTGTTTTTTATCAACAAGATAGTTAATGAAAATTAGAAAAATAAGGTCATATTACTTTTTATAAGAATATTGAAAGTCAGAGATGGTTGATGATTAATAAAAAAGTTAATTTAATCATTTATAATATCCATGAATCGTAGTAGTCATGTAAAAAGTGGATAAACTGCTTTTAAAGTTTTGAATTTCTTCTTGAGATCAAAGAAAACAACTTAAGTTGTGCCAGAAAGAAGACATTTTGAATAAGATGAGATTAAAAAAATATTTAGAAGATGTCTTATAAGATTACGTACAATATATATTTTGAATCAAGTGACTAAAGAAATAGTCACTTATGGGACATCTTCTAATTTATATGATATTTCAACTAGAGACAGGTATGATTTTAATTAAGATTATTATTAAGACCTGCTTTACAAAGATATCTGTTTCCATTATCTAAGTAATAGGATCAAGATGAAGATCAACTTGAATTTCCAATAATCCATCCAAATTCATTATTAAGGTAAATTTGGAATGGAATCTTTTTATTGATGATGATTTATGTTGCAACAATTTTACCATTTAGAAGTTGCTTATTTAATTAATTTTAGTTTCATTTTATCTTGATAATGAAGTTTAGGCATGGTATTATGCAGATATAATAACAGATGTATTATTTTGGTTAGATTTAATAATAAGTTGTTTATCAGGTTATTATGATGAAGAAGGAAAGTTAGTTAAAAAGAGAAAGATTATATTTATGAATTATTTAAAAGGGTGGTTTACAGTTGATTTATTATCATGTCTTCCTTTAAATTATGTATTGGATGGAGTGATATCTGAAAATGGCAATATGAAATCACAGAATATTAAATTATTTAAATTGCTAAAACTTCCACGAATGTACAGATTATTTAAAATAATTCGATTTATTGATATGATGAAATATCTTGGAATTTCAGAAATTATGGAATTCTTTTAATTCAATTATGGATTCTCTAGATTATTATCATTACTTATTTCAGTTTGTTTAGTAATTCATTTATCTGGATGTTTATGGTTTTATGTTGCAGCATTTAATGATTTTGATTCATATACATGGGTTTCTAGAAATGACTTAACATCTTCAACTATATAAACTAAATATATAGCAAGTATATATTATGCATTTACTACTTTAACAACAGTTGGATATGGAGATATCCATTCATTTTCCTCAGCTGAAATGATCATTACTATATTTTTAATGATAGTAGGAGTTGGATTTTATTCTATGATTATTGGTTTATTATCTAGCATCCTTTCATAAATTGATTATAAGGGGCATAAACTTTAATAATAACAAGCAATTTTAAATGAGTTTTGTATAGAAAAGAAAATATCATTAAATTTAAGAGAAAAATTAAAAGAAACACTTTAATATAGTTTTGATAAAAATTGTTTTATTTGGGCAGATAATAAATATATTTTTAAGGATCTTCCAATTAATCTTAGATATGATATAATGATGAATATACATAATGGAGTATTTGGAAATATGCAATTATTTTAATTAGTGGATGATAAATAATTCTTAGTTAAGGTTGTTCCTCTTTTGAAACCTATTTTATTTTTGGAATCTGAAATAATATGGGAATAAAATAGTAATCCTGATGCAATTTACTTTATTTCTGAAGGTAGAATGAATTTTAAAGCTGATTTTATTGTTATCAAATAAACTAATCAAAAAAAATAATTTGCATTTAAAAGTATGATTGGAGGATCATATTTTGGAGAAATAGAAATATTTTTACATACTAAAAGAGAAACAGTAGCCTAATGTGAATCATAATGTGAAATGTACTATTTGACAATAACATCTTTTGAAAATGAGATATTCGATGATTTCCCTCATATTATGAATAAAATGAAAAAGATTGCATTAGAAAGAAGACAAAAGAATATTGAAACTATATAACAATTATAATAATTTATAGATGATGCAACTAAGAAATAATTAAAAAGAAGTAATTGATAATTTCAATATAAAAGCACAACCAAAGAAAAATACTGTTCTTCTCAGAGAATACATAAAGTAAAACAGTCAAAAGACTTTAGAAGATCTTAAACCAAATGATTGTGAACAAGACACTGAGCATCCTTAAATTTCAACAAATAGATCAAAATTACAGGATCTGTTCCTAATAACCTAAGAGATAGAATAATTACTAGAATGATATTAATTTTTTAAAATCTACTTATTTTTAAGATTATAAATAATAATTTAAAAAAAAGATTTATAACTTATTTAATATTAAAATCATAGAAATATTTATAAGAATAAAAAAAATAAATTATAAAATATAGAATCAATAATGATTTACAAATTTAAATATTTAAGGAAATATGTTATTCATTTTTTATTTCTTTTATCTAAAAGATTTTTAACCTTTTCAACACATAAACCTTACTCTTTTGCTGAACTTGCAACAATTGCTGTTGGAATTGAACCTTTTGGATCTACCATAGTAATAAAACAAGCTTTAGTTCCTTATTCCATTTTTTATAGAACCCATCCTGCAATCTTTAATTCTCCTCTTACAGATTCCTTTATTGGAGGTATATCAGGATATTCAATTGATTTTGCAACTATAATCCATTTATTTTCTTCTCTAAAGACTCTAGAGATTAATACAAAATCTCTAGATTTGACTACTATTTTAATAGTTTTGAATCTTTGATATAATATACCTGTATCTTAATCAATTTTTTTATGCATATAACCCTAAATATAAAAATAGAATTACAGAATCAAAAAGAGAATCATAATCTCCTCTTTTTTCAACTTTTTCAATAATTTCATAAATTTGTTCTATTGAATAAGGTACTATGCCTTCACCTCTACTCATGGTTTGTCCACTATTTTCATCAAATCTGGTATGAATAATGAATCCTCCTTTATCTGATTAAAGCTACCATTAAGGATTTAAAGGATAGACTTATTCTAATATTTTTTTTGCTTCAAGAGTAATTTCAAAATATTTTTGATACTCTGGTGGATAGGATTATTAAGGAGAACTTAGTTATTTTGGTAATGGTTAGAATTATTAAATTGGTTAAATTTATGATGTTATAGTCTCTTAATTAGATTCATCTATTTATGTCTATTATGGAGATTTAGTAAGGATTTCTGATTAAATAATGGAAACTTAATCAACCTAAACTTTTTAAGTTTGATATTCAAATAGGATACTTTTAGGATTTAATTTTTATTGTTTTACAAATTATTTTAAACAAGGCAATATATGAATTTGTGTATTTGGAGCTAAGCATTTGATTTCAATATTGTCTTCTTCAAAAAGATATTTAATTATGAATAATCTTAGAATTTATTGTTAATAATATTCAACAATATAAAAAGAAGTTTAATCAACAAAGATTGCTTATTAAAATCTTTCTATTGTTTAATTTGTATAACTTAAACTTAATAAATTATTTTAAGTATTTATTGATAAAAGATTAGGATTCCATTCTTTTCTTATATCATTTCTAGTCATTAAATAAACTAAAGCATTATAATCAAAATTCATATAACATATTCCTTGAACAATAAAAGATTTTGGTTTTTCTTATTTGTATTTCTTTTATCTAAATACAAAAGGGAGTAAAATAAAATTAATAGTTAGAATAATACTATGGGTGTATTTTTAATTCTCAATTAAACTTAAGAAAAAGTAAATGATTATTGAGATTAAGAAAAATAATAGAGTAGATATAAAAATCATATGTAATATCTTAAGATTTTGGCATTTCAGATATAATTAATCTAATTTACTTTTATTTTCTTAGGATATCATATCTGGTTATTGTTATTTATAAATTAATACTCCATCATTTATATTAAATAGTATGGATTGATGTGATTCAAATTTTTTAATGTATTAATTTGCCATAACTTTTACATCTTCTCCAAAACCTTATTTAATTAGATCTTAATCTGGTTAAAAAATTGGTGGTTTAGTTTGTTGAATATTAATAGAAGGTGATTATTATTTTAGAAATGATTCTTAGAATTATGAATCCAATTTTGATTCAGATTATTATTTTATCTAAGTTAAAGATTGGAGTAATTTTTTATGTTCTGATTCACTGTAAGTAATAATTTTAAGTGTTTCATCAGCATGACATATTTACAGAGAAGAGCCATTATTAGTGAGTAATTCTTTTATTTTACAATTTTTTAATTTGTATTCAGCTTTAATCTATCTATCCTCCTTTTTATCTCTATAAGTGAAAATTCCCTTTATATTATGAGAATGTATACATCTTAGTAAATTTCAACATACCTTATAACCCAGAAAGACTTTCTTTTCAATTTCACATAGGCCCCAAAAAGTGACATAATATGTAAATTAATTGTATAAATTAGATACTTTTAGAGACTATGATTAAGAAGGTTTAAACAAAACTTTATCAATATAATATTAATATCATTATTACTTTCCTCTTAAGAGGTATAAAAACATTAAAGCCATAAATCTGAAGAATAAAATTATGGCAGTTAAAATAACCAAGCATTTCCAAAGACCTAAAGTTAAATCATAGGTTTTAATAGGGCTAGAATTCTCTATTGATTTTCCTATGAATTCATCATCTCTTGTTTCGAATTCATTCCATACTAATGCTTCAAAAGCATATTTCATTGGACTTAAATATTAAATCCATCCAATCCAATCCATATACATAGATTAATTAGCATAAAATCCAGAAAATATAACCAATGGCATTAATACTACAGGTAGAAATCCAGCAGCTGCTTTAAGATCATTGAACATACATCCAGTCATTAGACCTAATAACTAGTAATTAAATTATACCAAAACTGTTTCCACTTAAACCTAGCAATATACAAATAATTATGTTGATTACTACAATGTCTCCTGTTTTATCATTCAAATCAACCATCCAATAACAAATAAGTTACTAGATAATAGGGAAAACAAATAAAAAAGGAATTTCTACTGAACTTTTACCTGTGAAATATGCTGCAGTAGAATATAATTTTGAATTTTCCTCTCTTAAAAATACTTCTCTTTCAGCTGGAAATTGAACCATTACAGGATTAAGAGCTCCCATAAAACTACTCATAACCAAAAAGAATAAAACTCCTATTGTACTCTAAATCCCTTTATATCCAGGTTCACTACCTGCTGTCCAGAAAATACCTCCAATTAATAGACCTATAAATATTGTCATTACTAAACGACCTCTTACTAAAATTTTATCTCTTTTTACATTAATCATTCCTCTTCTAAATATTTCACTTACTTAAAATCCAAAAGATGTTTAAATTGATTGTCTAGATATTTGTTAAATTTAAATAGAGTTTATAGCATTTTCAATTTCTTATGAAAATCTTTAATTATAACCAGAAAATAGAGTTCCATAATGTGGATGTTCAGTATCCTCATGATGCATAACACTCATAATATAATCCAATGGATTCGAATGTGCTGGACATTCAAAACCTATACCTTTAAAATAATTCACCATTTCATCCTTTCTACCCTAATAAATGAACTTCCCTTAAACTAAAAGCATGATTTAATCAAACAACATATATATATCTGCACTTGGTTAATGAATTGTAAATACTATTGTTCTTCCTGAAGTATGAGCCAATTTTCGAAGTAGATTTCTATAATCAAATTTAAATCAATTTTACATTATAATGAAAGCTGTAAACGAATCCAAACCTGAAGTAGGTTCATCCAATAATATACAAAAGGGATCACTAACTAATTCAACCCCAATAGATGTCCTTTTTCTCTCTCCTCCTGATATTCCCTTAATCATTGCATTACCAATCTATCAATATTGAAAACATATATTACAAGAGTATTTTAACATTTTTCTAATTTTAATGTTTTCAATGCATAATCTACTTTCTCAATTTTTTGTTATGGATCAGCATACTTTAAATTTGCTACAAATTCTAATGTTTCTCTAACTGTTAATGTTCCAAAAAGAACATCATTTTGCATAACATAAGATGAGAACTGAGAAAATTTATCACTATTATATGGTTCACCATTAGCATGAATATTACCCTATAAAGTCACATTCCCTCCAGGAGTAATTCTCTTAGCTAAGATATTAAGCAATGAAGTTTTTCCTGCTCCTGAAGCTCCAAGTATTGCAGTAACTTAACCTGGTTTGCATAGTCCAGATATGTTATTTAGGATTATTTTGTTTTCTTAATCCCCTTGAGGATTTATAACATTAACCTAATAGGATAAATTTTAAAAGCTGATTGTAACGCTGCTTGTTGTTTCTTTATTTGGAACAAGTGCAATTTCATTTGCTTTCATGTTATAAATTTTTATTTATATATATTGAGAAATCCTATTTTCCAAATTTATTAATCAAATTAATATATAATGATAATTATATAAAATTATAACATATTAATTAAAAGTCATTACTATCTTGATCTTCCCAGATATAAAAATATTAAGGATAGTATTCTAAAAAATATTGGAAATGCAATCAAAACATAAATGCTATTCCATAATCCAAAATCTAAAGAGAAGGTATCAATAGGATTTTAACTCTACATAGACTATCCTATAAATTCATCTCTTCTAGTATCATATTCATTATATATTAGAGCTTCAAAGGCATATTTCATTGGACTTAAATATTATAACCAACTTATCCAATCCATAAACAATGACTAATTAGCATAAAAACCAGAAAAGACAATGAGAGGCATCAGCACTACAGGAATAATTCCAGATGCATTTCGAGCATCTGTTAACATAGACCCAACCATCAATCCTATGAATTAATATACAATATTACCCATACTATTTCCACTTAATCCTAACAATATACATACAAGAATATTAATTAAAACGATACTAGCAGTTTAATCATTTAAGTCTATCATCCAATAACATATTAATTATTAGATAATAGGAAAGACAATTAAAAATGGTATTTCTATAGAACTCTTTCCGACAAAGTATGCAAATGTTGAATAAAGTTTTGAATTTTCTTCTCTTAAAAATACATCTCTTTCTTGTGGAAACTGAACTATAACAGGATTTAATGCTGTCATAAAACTACTCATAACAAGAAAGAAAAGCCCTCCTGTTGTACTTTAAGTACCCTTAAATCCAGGCTCATTTGCAGCACCCCAAAAAATACCTCCAACTAATAATCCAAGAAACACTGCCATTACAACTCTACTTCTTACTAATAATTTATCCCTTTTTACATTTAGGATACCTCTTTTTAAAATCTAAACCACTTATTATTAAAAATTAGCTTAAAATTATTCATTTTAGATATTTGTAAGTTGAATTCTAGATAATGATTCTTCAATTTAAGATTATATTTAATTATCATATCCTTTAAATAAATTTTAAATATCTGATTATCTATTTTCTTCATTCTACATAATTGAGATGAAATAGTCCAATGGATTAGCTTTTTTGGGACATTCAAAACCAATTGATTAAAAATAATCAATCATTTTTTCTTTAGGACCTTAATAAACGAATCTACCTTTTGCAAGTAAAAATATTTGATCAAATAATAAATAAATATCAGAACTTGGTTAATGTATAGTAAAAATGATAGTTCTTTTAGAAACAACTGATAATTTTTTTAATAGATTTCTAAATAATTAATTTATATTACATAATAACAAAAGCAGTAAAAGAATCTAATCCAGATGTTGGTTCATCTAATAATATACATTATGGATCTCTCACTAATTCAACTCCAATTGATGTTCTTTTTCTCTCTCCTCCAGAAATGCCTTTAAGCAACTCATTACCAATCTATAATAAAATTACAATTAATTACAAGAGTATTTTAGCACTTTTCTAATTTTAAAGTTTTGAGAGCATAATTAACTCTTTATATTTTTTCATTTTCATCAGTATATTTCAGATTTGCGACAAATTCTAAGGTTTCTTTAACTGTTAATGTGGCAAAGAGAATATCATTCTACATCACATAACCAGAAAACCGAGCAAATTTTTCACTATCGTAATGATTTCCATTAGCCAAAATATCCCCTGTTATTTAAACATTGCTTTTAGTAGAAATTCTTTAAGCTAAGATATTAAGCAATGAAGTTTTTCCTGCTCCTGAAGCTCCGAGTATTGCAGTAACTTTTCCAGGAGGACAAATTCCAGATATATTGTTTAGTATGATTCTACCTTAGGTTTGATTATTTTTGTCTTGATTTACTATATAATTTAGATTTTTGAAGCTCAAAGTTAAACCATTGATCTAGTCTTGTTGAGGAACAACTTAAGCTTTATTCATAATAGTTATTAAAAATTACAATTTTAGAAAGTCTTGAATTCCAATTTAGAATAAGTTTGTTTGCTAAAATTAGATTGTGACCCCCATATTAAAATAAATTCTGATGAAATATAAAAAATAATGACAATGAGTAAATTAAATTAAATAATTCAAAAAATCAGAGCATTTTCAATTAAATTAAATCATTTTGTATTGGTTAATCTATTTCTTCTTAAAATTCATCCTCTTCTATGATATTTTATAGTTCAAAATAATCTTCTTCATCATCATTTATTTTTGATTTCAAATTTTCTAAAGCTCCTTCTTCCTCAGAACTAGATGCTTCTAGTATATATAAATATGTATACCTTCAACAGAATTTTCAGCATCATTATCATTTTCAATTTCTTCCTCATCACTAATTCCATCATTACGAAATCTTACAGAATCTCCATCAGATTAATCTCTTCTTTCACTAAATGGGAAGTTAGATGGAGTCATGAATGATTTACCTTACTAAGCAACAGATTAATCACTATAAATATTAATAAAAATAGGATTTACTTATCATCAGGTTCACTTGAAGATTCTTCTCTAGATGCATTTTTTTTATGAATTTTTTGTACATTAATTTTAAATAAACAATAACTTCCATCATTATTTTAAAGTAATTTAATTCTATCATGACTTTAATAATTTTTATTATAATTAGATATCATTTTCTTAATAAAAATAAGATTAGAAGATGGTATACTTTTACTAATAAATATTCTTTTATGTTTGGTTAGATGTTATAGTATACCTTTATAATTAGTTTTATGAGGTCGTTATTCAATAAATTCTTATTCATCTTTATCATTTTCCAATTCTTAAAATACAACTCTTAAGTTTTTTTTAACAGTCTATTCTTTAATAGGTTCCTTTTAAATTTATTCTTCATTTGTAATTGTAACAAGTGTTTCTAAAGATTTAGTTTTTTTTAATTTTTCAATAGTATTTTTATCTTAATTTCTTCTTCTACGTTCTTCTGTTTCATCTTCTTAATCACTTATATGATTTATATTATCTTTCTTTTCATTTAAATCATCAACAATATAATTAACCTCTGTTTTATTTGTTAGATTATTTTAATTATCTGCTTTTTCATTTTTAGAATTGATTTCATTAAATTTTTATACAGATTATTAGATAAGTACTTTAGGATTAGATTTATCACTTTCTAATATAGGAAGAGTATTTGTATCAACTTAATATTCATTCATTTATTATATAAATTATTCAACTATTTCTGATTTATTAACTTTGCTATGAATATAATCTTTAACTTCTTTTGAATTTTAAGCATCATTAATAACACTATTAATAATTTTATTAAATTCTTCATAAATAGGTAAAGCATTTTTAAGTTCATTAATTTATATATCTTCACATGAATGTTTAATATATTAAATGATTGTTCTATGAATAGTATCAATACTTTTATCAACATTAACATTATCAACTTTAGGAATAAGAAATTCATCTGCTTTTTCTAGAAACCATTTCTAAATTAATCTAATATTTTAAAAGTTTTCAATATATTTATTATGTCTTGAATCTAATGTCATATATTTTGATCTAACTGCAAATCTCTCTTTATGTTTTGATTCTTTCTTTATACAAATTGCAAACGGTAACACTCTTTTATATTTTTTCATCATTTTCATCATGAAAATAGGTGTTAAATGTACTCCTTCAACAATAATAGATTCCATCTTTTAATTAAATGTTTCAATAACATATTCTAATCTTTATTATACTAAATGACATTATGCTTTATAACCTTTAATAATCCTTCTTTAATCACTAATATTTAAGTCTGGTAAAGTCTTACCAGCTTCATAAGTACTAGCAAATAATACAGGATTATCATCTTTAGATAAGAAATTCCTCATAATATGTCTTATAGAGTCTGTACTAATTTAATAATCAATTTATTCTTACCTTAATACTGTAGATATGCCAAATCTTGATGCTAAAATACTGCTTGCTGTACTTTTACCTGTACCTGATGTTCCACCCAACAAAATTATTAATGGTTGTTTCTTTTCTGTTAGACTCCATGCTATTTCAAAATCTTCTCTGTATAGTTCTCCTTTCACTTAAATATATTTTTTTTCAAGAAGTGAACTAAATACATGTTCTTTAAACTCTTTTTCAGTTATAGTCATTTATTTAAATTATTCATTAGAAATTTGATCAAAGAATACGGCATTCTTTTGTTTATCAATATTTTCTAAAAGTATTGACTTTTTTTGTACCCGACAATTTACTGAGTATTTAAACAAATATTTTTTCACATAAATGATACGAATGAGAAACTTTGCATCCACTTATTTATAAGATTATTTTTAACTTCTCTTTATTAATTTTGCGGACTATATTATTGTTAATTATATACTTTATTGTTTCATTTCATTATTTTACTACTATTCCTTAAGCACAAATATGATATTTTTGTCCACATGACGAACTGTTGACATTTACGTAAATGTGATTAATTATTTTATTGAATTAATCATATCATAATAAGATTCAGAAATATCGATTAATTATATAATTTATGAAATGTTTATTGAAGAGTCAAAATAAAAACAATTATGACAAAGACTCAATAACAATCAAATATATTTATACATTTCTAATAATTACATTACTATATCATTCAATCATATTTGCATTAAATTAACTTAAGGAAATAGTTATTTAATGATCAATAATTCATCTGATATTTCTTTAAAATATTATAGTTGTTTTAATATATTCAATTTCCTTATATGTAACTCTTATGAATTAGGTTATAAGAACAATAAAAAATTACTATTCATAATTTAATATTAATACCATGTTTTTAATGCTTATTCATTTTTCTTAAGTTTCTCTTCAAATTTCATTTTCATTAACATTAATTCAAATGATAAATCATTACTTTTAATATATGTTAACAATTCATCATATCCTCTTTGTAATTAATTTGGTTATGAGAACCTTTGCTTCAATTATGCAACCATTAAACTTTCATTCATAATATAAATTTATATTATTATATATTTTGTTGAACAATTCAATTATGCTTCTTATTGTTATATTTCATGCTTATTACTTAACTTGTAATTATTTAATTCTTATATTTAGAAAATATTCTCTCAAGATAAGAATGTCAAACAGATATTTGTATTTGTCATGGTTCCTCAGAACAATGTCGTTGTTATTTCTATCAAACCCCTTATTGTGATGGTTATGGACCTAGTTAAACCTGTTCTACTAATCCTGGATGCTTAGGATGTGATGATAATTCATCATGTATTGCTTGCATTTCATAGTAATAATTTGTTGATTCATCATAAAATTGTGTCGATTGCCCAGAACATTGTTTAACTTGTACATCTCAATCAAACTGTTAGAGTTGCCTTACAAATTATTATTATTTAGATAATGGACTTTGTAAATAATGTGAATTTCCTTGTTAATAATGCAATTCATAACAAAATTGTCTATCATGTGTGTCATAATAGTTTTATCTTATATCTAGTATTTGTAGACTATGTGATCCTCCATGTCTCACATGCTTAAATTAAACACAATGTCTAACTTGTATAGATAATTCTTATTACCTTGATTAATTTCACTGTGTTCCATGCTAATTCCCTTGTTTAACTTGTTCAAATTAAAACTTTTGTTAGAGTTGTGTTTTAGATAACTATAAATTAGATAATGGATTATGTATCAATTAATGTCCTTTAAATTGTCTAATTTGTGATAAAAGTTTATAATGCATTAAATGTGAAGATGGTAATTATTTAAATGCCAGTAACAGTTGTGTTAAATGTTAAGATCCATGTGAAAATTGTTTAAATAAAGAAATATGTATTACATGTTAAAATCAATACTTTCTGTAAAATTAAAATTGTATTTAATGTCAATAACCTTGTCTTACTTGTTTAGATTAATAGAAATGTAATAGTTGTATAGATGGATATTATTTATATAATCAAACTTGTAATTAGTGTTCATTAAACTGTTTGAAATGTGATTAATTTAGATGTTATTAATGCAATAAAAAATCATAATTGTTAAATGATTAATGTATAGATTGTACAATACCATTGAATTAAACTCTTGATATTTGCAATTATTAAGATTGTCAAGATGGTATATGGACTTAAGGAGAAGAATGTGACAATGGTAATTCATATGGTTGTATTAATTGTATTATGCAAAATGGTTACTATTGTATTAATTAAATTGGATAACCATCTTAATGTTTAAGATGTATAGAAAATTGTATACAATGTAATAATGATAGATCCTGTTAAGTATGTAAAGAGGGATATTTTTTAAATCCAAATAACTAATGTTAGGAATGCAATAAAGAATGCAAAACATGTATTAATCAACCAAATAATTGTTTATCTTGTAAAATAAGTAATTAATATTCTTAATAATGTCAATTATGTGAAATAAATCTAGGATATTATACAGATTTTGAAAATAATCAATGTTATTCAAAATGTGGAGACAATATTAAGACAGTATTTGAATAGTGTGATGATGGGAATAATTTAAATGGAGATGGATGTTCTTCTAAATGTTAAATTGAAGATGGTTTCTATTGTATTGATGGTCATTGTGATACTCTTATTTAAGGTGATATTCAAGTTTCTTAATAATAAGCCAATTTGAATACACCTTCTAAATAGTTTGTTATTCAATTTAAAAACTACATTTTGAATTCAGATTCAGATATTGTACCTATCATCTAATTTTTAAATTGTTAAATTAATTAATCATTGATTGTAGTTAAATAAAATATAACAGAAGAAAACTACTTTTAACATAGAGTAATTGAAATAAATATAGAATTTTAAAATAATTGTTTAAAAGATAAAATGGAAGTCAGTATTGTTTAGAAATATAAAAATAATAATAAAAAAAGTATCCTTTTATCTTTTCTAACTTTTCAAATATTTGATATTTTATTCATTGAATAATGGAAATAATTTTTTAATGAAATAGTGATCTCTTTTAATTAGACTTTATTTTACATTTTTGGTTTTGTTTGTTTAGCAACATTTTTAACAGGAACAATAGAAGTTGTTTATAATGCAATAGATCTAATATAAATGTTTTCATATTTAAAATACATTAATGTAAATTTACCATACAATTTATAAAAGTATTTTGATCTATTTAAATTTGCATAATTACAATACTTTTCTAATTTCACAAAATAAGTTGCTTTAACATTTTTGACTTAAAAAGAATTAGATTAATATAATTATTTACCTGATAAAATTAAAAGGGATGGATATTATTCATATTGTTTATTGAATTATCCATTTTTGTTTTTAATTTTTGTATTTGCAATATTATTGTATCCAATGGCTAAATTATTATTAAGATAATTACAAAGATTTTAAATAAGAATAAAAGAAGATGATGATGATTCAATCCTATTAAAAATAAAACTCATTTAATTGCATATAAAATTATATATTCAAAAATCCTGTCAATACATAATAAATAAATTATATTTCTCAGGATTCATATCAACTCATATGATATTAACTTATGACATTTTATTTGTTTCATTGTTAAATCTATTTGATTTAAAAATACTATTTACAACTAATAATACCTTTATTTTAATTAACTTGTATATAGCCATTCTTTTAACCATAATTCATTGTTCACTATTATTTATATACTACTCTATGCTTGCTAAATAAACATATTTATTAGAATAAAAAGAAAATGTTAGAAAATGTGGTTCACTCTTTGAAGGTCTAAAAATTGGTAAAACATCTTGTACTCATTTCTATAAACTATTTATACTTATTAAAAAATCATTGTTTATGATTCTGATAACTTTTTGTTCATCATTTCCATATTGTTAAAGCTTATCTATATCCTTTTTAAGCTTTATTTAAGTACTCTATTTATATAATTATAAACCAATTATTTCAATGATAGAATATAGAAAATAATTAATAAGTGAATTTTGTGTATTACTATTATCCTTATTCATAACATTATTAATACTTATGCATGACACTCATTAAGATATGTTATTCTATTCTGATATATTAGGTTGGAGTTCTATTATATTAATGTCTATGTTATTACTTTTTTAAATTATTTTGGATATCAAATAATAATTCTTAATTTGTCAAAAAAAGTTTATCCTCTTTCATAAAATATTATAATCACTCTAAACCAAATTATAAAAGGTCTTTCAAAGTTTTGGTTCAACTTAAAGTAAAGCTAATTCAAATGTAGTTCTATTCTATTGAAAATATTCAGATAATGATAATAAATTCATATTTATATTTTTAAATAAACCTGAGTATCTTCTTTATAATTAATAAAAAGGATTCTTATTAATAAAACTATATATATATATATATATTATAATTCATTTATTATTTGCATTCCAAGTTTTATTTGATTTCTTAAATTATTTCATCATTTCTGCATCCTTTTACTCATATTCATTAACTTTAGTTTTATATGCTCTTTATTATTTTTCTAATTCTATTCTCTCTTCTTCTGTATATGGTTTATCTTTTAGATGTCTTATCCACTCTTCCCATAATGGATCTACAAATGGTGCCATTTTATCTGTTCTTTCACTCATCCTTTTAGTAGGTTTTCCATTTTAATCATAATATTAATAATAAAGATTTCCATGTTAATCTGTTCCTACAAGTTATCTACCTAGTTTTTGATCTTCATAAGTTCTTCGAAATTATTTAAGAGAGGTCACAATTTTACGAATCATATATATTATTTATTTTTATTAATCAATAGGCTGCGTGCATTGATTGTTACATGTTGCTGAATTAAGTTAATTCTGATTTATCAACTTTAAGAAGAGTTTGAATCCTTTTTTCAAAGACACTAACAACAACAATAGAAGCAACAAAAATTGCGACATCCAAAAATTGCTTCTTTCTCTTCTCTCTTTCTGCTTTATTTGTAGGGTAAATTGACTTTTTTAGTTTTTCCCAAGTTGATCCAGAAGAGCCACCTCTTGGTTTTCCAAAATTCATTTTTATATTTTTATTTATGGTATATTTTTTTTAATATATATGATCAGCAAATGCTATATAAATTGTGAGATCATTCTTGATTTCAATAGTTTACTTTTTTCTATATTGAAAAAGTAAAATCCTGATCTAAATTTAAGTAAATTAATCTAAATTAACTCAATCTTAGATTTGAATGATGTTTAAGAAAATCCAAAAAAATACTTAGAAACATAAGAATTGTTACTATAAAATTTATGCATCTTAAAGCCATAGATAGGAGCTATTGAAACATGTAAGTTAATTATAAAATAGATTTAGTGTAATTTCTTGAATCCTAAAACATTTAACCAATCATCTATTCTGAATATACATAAATATTATAATAGCACTTTCCCTACTTGAAATGGTAAGAATTTACAGATTCAGATTAAAATATTATAGTCATAGATCCAAGATTAGATTTTTGTGAATAGTTACTTAAAAAATAACTCTAAGTAGTTTTGTTTAAGAATTACAAATTAAAAGACAAAGATTATTGGAATCAAATATTATAACATAAATAAATTCTTTTTGCTGAATCATGGGAAACCTTCCCTTGGTAAGATTTTAAATTTGTTACTTAACCGATTTTTTCACCAGATTAATTTAAAGTAAATGAATGTGAAAATGCAGCAACTTAATATTGGAATACATATTTAAAATTAAATCCAATAGAATTCACAAGTTAAATAATTCATGGTAGAAACAGAGGTGGTACTATGTTAGGAATACCAACAGGTAATTATTATAAATCAAAGCATTAGCAAATTTATTAATAAGTGAAGAAATCTAATAATTAACTAAAAATCTATTACCAGGTGTATATGCAGGTATTACTTATCTTTAAAATGTTAAATATGGTGGAGTTTTATCTATTGGATATAATCCATATTTTTTAGACACACCTCAAACTATAGAAGTTCATCTATATGGAGAATTTTAAGAAGACTTTTATGGTTCTAATTTAAGATTGATAATAACACATTTCCTTAGACCAGAATCTGATTTTAGAACTTTTGGTATTATTTATTACTTAATCTATAGATCATCTGATTAAAGCAATTAGTAATGATAAGATAATTGGAAGGAAATTAGTGTGTTGAACCATTTTTATAGTATTAAATCTGAATATAAATTTTTTAATACATTATTATTAATGTACAAAGGACCTAATAATCTTAAAACATATAAGGTATCAGATTGTGAATCTGTATTGAAAGATTTTTTCAATTCAGAAGATTGTTCAAATCTCTCTATAAGATAATGTGGTATTACAATAAGACATAATACATAATAATTAATTTCTATCATCTCAAAATTAATGAGTGTAAGAAATATTATGGCTGTTAAATAAAAATTATATTGGTTAAATAAAATTACATAAATTGAAATCACTGAATGTCTGATATTAGGGATTAAGTCATCTTCTTAGAAAATTGAATTGCTTAAATTTATTTTAAATAATTTGAAAGATAGAGATTTCCAATAAGTTGCAGCATATTATCATGATGATATTGATTATACTACTTATATTGATTATGCAACTTTGTTGAAAGGTAATAATTATTAAGAGATTTTAAGATGGGAATATATTATTACAGATTTAGAGAAATGAACAATAAAATAAATTCTTTGAAAAATTGCAATAATAATTATAAAAATATATCAATAAAGATACACAATTAGATGAATCATTACTTATTGATTTGCTACATTTATTATAAGTAAATATGGATACTGCCTAAGCAATTATATCAAAATATGTTTGGTTGAACATTTAGGATTATGATAAATTGGATTATTTTGTTAATTCTTCCATTAGATTATAATAATTGCAATATGTTAGTGTTATTTAAAATTAAGTAGAATCATAATTAAAAGATGAATAATTAATATATAGTATTGCAAAAGAAATTTAGAGCAAAGATAATATTCATTAATTTGTTTAAAAGTTTATGCTTTCAAAATTAAATTAAAGTCAACTTTTCTAATAATTTTAATTATAAATGGCAGTTTCAAAATATATAATGACAAATCAGAAACCAAATGCATATTTTTAAACTTTAGATTTTATAGCTAATATTTAATATTTTAATGAAATCTTAATAGTTTCTAATTATTTTTGGAATAAAGGAGAAGTATAATTGAATATTGCAAATCCACTAAAAGATATTAATATTCCAATCACTAAATAAATAGAATAATAGTTTAAGAGTATTCCAATTCAATCTCATAAAATATTTTAACTCCTTCAAATAGTCTTATAGGTATAATATAAAAATACTATACTATTTGTGACATTACAAGAATTAACAATATTATAATAATTTTAGAAAGTTAATTAAGTTAAGATCAATAATATAGAATGGGCTTAAAGATTAATAAAATTAGGTGTATTTAAAAAAGTAAATAATAATGAACTTTAAATAAGTGAAGAGAATTTTAATCAATTGTAAAATTTTGAATTTGCTTAGAAACCTGAAGTGAAAAAGTAAGAAATTTAAATTGAGGAGTATGAATAAAATAAAAAGCTTATGTATTATTTATTAGTTTATATCTTAGTATAGAGGCAGGAATCATGAAAATAATGAAATAAGAGAAAAAGATGTAGCAGTAGATTCTTTATACAAAATTATCATAATTAATAAAAAGATCTGTGATTCTAACAGAGATTGAATTAATTGAATCAATAAAAGGACTAGTGAAAAGAGATTTGTTATGTTATGAAAATGAAGTTGTTTTTTATAGCATTTGAGACTGGTTACATTTGAATATATTAATATAATTGAAACCTTATTTATATATATTTAGATAATTGAATTCGTAATTTAGTAAATTGGAATCGATAATTGAATTAATAAAGTTTATTTTAATTAAAATGTTTAGAGCAACCGAAATACATCTGTATAAATTATATGTTGAAAGAGAATAAGCTTTTCATCTTCTCACTAAAGTTGGGCAAATGAAAAATGTTAATTTAGTCAATTGTTCAAGCAGTGCATTTCATGAACATGATTATTACAAATAATTAAAACGATGTGATGATATTTATAACAAAATTGGAGAAATCAAACATCTTTTACATTTATATAACAAATAAATACATTATTGTCCTAACTATGAAGTATTCATATAAAACATCAAAATTACTGACGATTAGGCCATCAAAATTGAATAAGAATTAACACACAAAGTTCAATTTATATTAAATTAATAAGCAAATTTACAATAGATAATAGAATAAAGTAACAGATTAAATGAAGAGATGTATAAATATAATTAAATTTAAGTGCAGTATTATAAAATTGCAAAGACTTCATATACAAATTTTCTGGAATTTAATTAGGATATATTGTAGGGTGTATGAATACAACAGATTCACATAAATTTAATCGTATTGTATTTAGAATTTCAAAGGAAAATGGAATAGTGAAATTTAAGAATTTAAATAATTAGAGATGTTTAGTTACGTTGGTATTTGCCATAGGTAAACATGAGAATTTAAAAAATAAATTACTCAAAATATGTGAAGTATTTTATAATTTTATTATATTAGGCATTTTCTGTATCAATCTATCAATTACCAGAAGAAAGTAAAGTAGATAATAAAATCTTGGAATTAGAAAATGAGATAGCTAATTTGGATATTATAATTTCAACAACAAAATAAGAAATTGATTAATAATTAGATTACTTTTCTGATATATAAGTGGAAAAACTATTAAATTTAGATGAAATCTATGATTATGGGTATTGTTCTTATATTTGTGAATTAAAGATTATTGTAGATATAATAAGTGCTACTTATTATCATCTTACTTTTTTTGATGCTAAATCTCAATTTCTTATAGGTCATATATGGTGTGAATAAAGAGATATTGAATAAATTAAATAATTTGGAGTTCAAATTGAAATTATGTAAGATATTAATGAAAATCTTTATGAACCACCAAGTCTTATGAAAACAAATTAATTTACTTATATATTCTAAGAATTAGTAAACACTTATGGGATTCCAAGATATGATGAAATAAATCCTGGACTTTTCACAATAATTACATTTCCATTTTTATTTGGTATGATGTTTGGGGATATTGGACATGGAGTAAAATATTGTCTATATAAAGATAGTTTTAACACTTTTTGGTTTCTATTTATTAATTTTTGGTTAGAGTGTTATTAAAAGAATCAAATTACAAAATAGTAGTGAATATCTTGCATATGCAGACATTTAGAGTATATATCAATGTAGGTATCTCATAACATTAATGGGTCTTTTTGCTACTTATTGTGGTTTTATTTATAATGATTTCTTTTCGTTATCATTAGAATATAAATTAGAAAAGTTTTAATTAGGTTTTGATGGTAAATGGAGTATGTCAGAATCCCATCTTACAGTAATGAATTCCTTTAAAATGAAAACTGCAATAATCGTTGGAGTAACTTAAATGGTATTTGGAATACTTCTGAAAGGTTGGAATTGTTTATATTAAAGAAAATATATTGATTTCTTTTTTAATTTTATACCTGAATTGGCTTTTATGTTATCTACATTTGGTTATATGTCATTTTTAATAATCCTTAAATGGCTAACTAACTATAGTAATACTCAAGAATCACCATCAATTATTACTACTTTACTAAATATGGTTTTTACATTAGGAGGTATCAAAGGAACAGAAATGTATCCTCATTAAGTTTTCTTTTAAACTATATTAATAAAAGTAGCTATATATTCTCCAATAATTATGTTACTTAAACCTGAAGTTATTAGAATGAAGAGGAGATTGTTTAATCTAAGAAATTAATAAATTGTTTATAACGAATTAGTAGAATAAGAACATGCCTAAGTAGAATTAGTGAAGGAAGACAAAAACCAACTTTTTGGCAAATTAGTAGAATCTAGATCTATTAAAGAAGAAAAACATTTTGATTTTTCTGAGATTTATATTGAAAGTTTAATTGAATGCATAGAATTTGTTTTGGGAGCTGTGTCTAATACAGCTTCATATTTGAGATTGTGGGCACTTAGTTTGGCACATTCTTAATTATCTGAAGTATTCTATTTTGTTTTATTTTTATAGGTATTCTTTAAGATGTCCTTAGAACCTTAATTATAAAGTGGATCAATTATTGGAATTTGTTTAACTTTTATGATTTATGCTTTTGCAACTTTTGGTGTTCTTATGTGTATGGATACCCTAGAATGCTTTTTACATTCATTAAGATTACATTGGGTTGAATTTTAGAGCAAATTTTATAAAGGAGATGGCCATATTTTTTAAAATTTTAATTATCTTCAATTTTTAGATTAGAAATTTTAATTTAGTACAAGAATGTGAGTGATATATATTTTTAAATGAATAATCATCTCGCTCTATCATTATAAAAAGAACAAATAGAAATTTATAAATCTATTATTCTTTATATAAAATATATATTAATTTTTTTTTAAATTACATATCATATTCTCTTAAATGAATTTAATCGAATATTAATGCAATAAAGACTAGCATTTCAATTAGAGTATAATAGGATATTGTCTTAAATCAGATTGTTAAGAAACTCGTTAATATTGTTAAAGATGTTCTCTAAATTCTTAAATCCATAATCAATGTCGACCTTATTTGTAGGATTTTGATCAAATTTTCAATAATTTTTAAAGCCACTTGGATTACTTATAGTATCAAACTTCTTTTTTGATTATGAAATGGAAAGTAATTTAAAATTAATGGGTGAGAATATATGAACTGATTGGGAAATAATAAAAAATTTTATCAGAAATTTTAAATAACCTAAGAAATCATAAATATGAGGATTTAAAGAGTTATATACCTTTAATCATTAAATATTAATTAATTTTCAATAGTGATAAAAAATTAATGAAATTTTAAAATGGTAGATAATAGAATAAAATTTATTAGGATTAAGATTAGCAAAAAAGGGAGATATAGAGAATGCTATTAAAATATATGATGAATTAATCAAAGATGATGAAAAATATGGCAACTCTTATTATTAAAAAGGTTTTAAATAATAATTATAAATTAGGATTGGTATTAATTAAGCAAGATAATATAAATGAAGAATAGTTGTAAGATGCAGCTTTTTGTTTTGATAAAGCTACTAAAATTGATAGTTATAATTATGATGCCTATAAATAAAGAGGTTGTAATACTCTTTATAAATTTAGGGATATGTCTATTCAAATTGAAAAAATATGATTAAGCATTAGATTGCTTCAATAGTATAACGAAATATGAAATAGATGATGACGAGTTGGACATTTACATAGGTCTTATGAAATTAATTTTAAGGTAGGGTTTTAATTGAAAATGAACAAAATGATAAAGCAATTAATGTTTTCGATAAAATATTAAATAAGAACAGAAATGCTTATGATTCATATTATTACAAAGGTGTCTAAGTTATTATAATAATAGGTTTATGCTTATTTAATTTAAAGAATTATGAAGAAGCTATAAGATAATTAAATAAATTAATAGATTTAAATCCTTCTAATATTTAAGCATATATCTTAAAAGGTTATCTATTACTTCATATTAAGGTTAAGCTTAACTTAAATTAGAGTTGAAGAATGAAGCTAGAGAAAGTTTTAGCTAGGTAATTTAAAAAGATTCCTAGAATTTATAAGCGTATTTAGGAAAATGTAAATATTGAAATTAATTTTAAGCCTAAACATATGATAATAACAAAGATAAAATTAGTATTATGATTTCTGCATAAGAAGCTAATATTAAATCTAGTGAATTGAACTATGAAATAGGTATTATAGGAATTTTCAATATTAGGGTTTGCATTACAATAAGAGAAAAAATATAATTAAGCTATTGATTAATATGATAAAATAGTGTATAATTCACTTAATCAAAATTATATGGACATGATTTATTTTAATAAAGGGAATTATATTAATTATAATTTAGGTCTTACTTTATATAAATTGAAAAGATATGAAGAGGCCACAGATTGTTTTATTAAGGCAAGCTATTTTGAATCCAAATAGATAGAAGCATTAATTTATTAGGGTGAATTTAGTATTTAAATAATTTAGGTTAATCATTATAGAGGTTGTAAAAGCATAAGGAAGCAATATAATGTTTTGATGAGATATTAAATAAAGGTTTTTAGAGCGAAAAAATCTATTATAATAAAGGTTTTTTGGAATTACTTTAATAATAGGAAAATCGCTATATTTTTTAGGAATTTACATTTAAGCTGTTAAATGTTTTGATTAGGCCTTATAAAAGTGTTAAAAATTGCCAAAAGTTTATTAATTTAAAAGTATGATCATCTATAAATATTTTGCATTAAAATAGGTGAGGCTTTAAAATACTTGGGGAAAATTAATGAAGCTAAGAAATGTTTAGAAATTATAAAGAAATTGAAAGAAGAAAAAATTAATGACTCAAAGTTAATGTCAACATCGTCTTCATAACCAGCTAGTAATTTCAATAAACAAAATTGAGAAATTAAAAAATATAAAATAATCATAATATTTGATCTTCTTTCTAAATAAAAATATATTCTAGTTTCTCTATTATTTACTTATAGGAAATTTAAATTTNATTTAAGCATATATCTTAAAAGGTTATCTATTACTTCATATTAAGGTTAAGCTTAACTTAAATTAGAGTTGAAGAATGAAGCTAGAGAAAGTTTTAGCTAGGTAATTTAAAAAGATTCCTAGAATTTATAAGCGTATTTAGGAAAATGTAAATATTGAAATTAATTTTAAGCCTAAACATATGATAATAACAAAGATAAAATTAGTATTATGATTTCTGCATAAGAAGCTAATATTAAATCTAGTGAATTGAACTATGAAATAGGTATTATAGGAATTTTCAATATTAGGGTTTGCATTACAATAAGAGAAAAAATATAATTAAGCTATTGATTAATATGATAAAATAGTGTATAATTCACTTAATCAAAATTATATGGACATGATTTATTTTAATAAAGGGAATTATATTAATTATAATTTAGGTCTTACTTTATATAAATTGAAAAGATATGAAGAGGCCACAGATTGTTTTATTAAGGCAAGCTATTTTGAATCCAAATAGATAGAAGCATTAATTTATTAGGGTGAATTTAGTATTTAAATAATTTAGGTTAATCATTATAGAGGTTGTAAAAGCATAAGGAAGCAATATAATGTTTTGATGAGATATTAAATAAAGGTTTTTAGAGCGAAAAAATCTATTATAATAAAGGTTTTTTGGAATTACTTTAATAATAGGAAAATCGCTATATTTTTTAGGAATTTACATTTAAGCTGTTAAATGTTTTGATTAGGCCTTATAAAAGTGTTAAAAATTGCCAAAAGTTTATTAATTTAAAAGTATGATCATCTATAAATATTTTGCATTAAAATAGGTGAGGCTTTAAAATACTTGGGGAAAATTAATGAAGCTAAGAAATGTTTAGAAATTATAAAGAAATTGAAAGAAGAAAAAATTAATGACTCAAAGTTAATGTCAACATCGTCTTCATAACCAGCTAGTAATTTCAATAAACAAAATTGAGAAATTAAAAAATATAAAATAATCATAATATTTGATCTTCTTTCTAAATAAAAATATATTCTAGTTTCTCTATTATTTACTTATAGGAAATTTAAATTTGAATATATTTCATCTTTTGATTTCATTTAATTTTTATATAAATAATTATAAATCAATTGATTAAATATAATGTATGGACTCCTGAAAACTGCAGCTGAAGAAATGCTTTCTAAAGCAATTCGAACTTATACTTTTAATGATTTGATTGTTATTGGTAGACATCCATACAAAAGTTTACCTGAAATGTTAGCATAATACCCAAACAATGGAGTAGGATTCAAAGTTTGGAGAAAGACTTGGCCAGAAAATAAATATATAATTATTACTGAGGCACATTTTAAAGTAAGGGATTTATTTTACAGAATTTAAGGGATTAAGAAATGGCAAATTTTTTGGTATTTAATATTACAATGGCAGACCACTTACACCATAACCAATAAAAATTAGAAATTGTAGTAAGAGAGGAACCTGGAAATATGATACAAACAATACTTCAGGAATATCTGCAAATGGTGTTTACTTTAGTTCAGATGATTTGAAAGAGTTTTCAAAATTACATTAAAATAGAGAATAAAAAGAGTGATATTATATTTGTTACATAATATTAATGAATGATAACATAATATATAAAAAGATTAAGACAACTATATAAATAAGTAAAGAAATTAATATATATATATATTTCATTTCAAATCACTAGCTCTTCTTGAGTGAGTTCTTGTTGTTGTAGCATTCTTATTAATTTTAGTATCTAATGTTATTACAGAATATTTTGGTAATATTGTAGTTATCATACTTTTTATAGGAGAAATACCAATAATTCTACTTGTATTTGTTTAATTAAAAGTCTTTGTAGAAACTATAGGAATTCTCTCACTCCTATGACCATGATTAGCTATTTTCCTTAATATCTCTTTTCTTGTAGTCTATTATTAAGTCAAATAATACAATTAATCGTTCCTTCAAAATTTCAGGTCTTAATTTTTGGATTCCTCTATAAGTTGCAGGACATAACATTTCTTATTTTGCTAATTTACTAAGATCTTATGATACATTAACACCTTTATCAATTTGAATATGACAATTATAACAAACATTAAATTCCATTTCCACAAATCCTGGATTACCCAATAATTCTTTATATTAAGAATATTTTAATTTTGGGAATATCTTTCTAATTAAAGTAGGTATTAAATAGTTTTAATTAACTTATCTTAATTCTACATCTTATCTTACATCTAATTTTTCAGCCATAGTTTTCTTTCTAAGTAGAATTTCTTATTTCTTAGTTACAAATAATTTATCATTATCTCCCATATGATCAAAATTCCAACTTTCGATAATATTCTTTATACATGTCTTCAATAAATCATTCTTGTGAAATAATTTATCACACATCTCACATTAACTATCTTTAACTATATTCTTATGTTATTTAAGTATTAACTTTTCTTATTCAACAAATGAAGGAAGACTAAGAGATTTCATATGCACTTATTCTTATGTTGACCACTTCATTAATACACAATTTGTAAGCCAAATCTAACCAAAATTGTCTATTTTTATTTCCAATATCATTCTAACAATCTTAGATTTCCATTTCATTAAATCATTACCATGAGCAGCAATTGCTCCACTAAAATGTTCTAATCTCTCTGTCAAAGATTTACTATTAATTTATTAAGCCAATGTTCCATCTCTTTCATGAGTTAATGCTCTTTAATAAATATCTATTGTCTTATCATTAATCATGAATTTGCTCTCAAACTTTTCAAATAATGTTTAATTTTGACTCCATTAAATTAATATAGTATAATTATAATTCCCCTTTGGATACACAAACCTTTATAAAATCCCATCTTTTTAATCTTCCTTTTCAAAGAACTTAATTAAACTATCCTTATTAAAAACTTATAATTCTAATTTAGTCCTCCAAATCGCCACTATCTCTTGATTTAATTCTAAAAAATATTAACGAATATAATTGTCATCTAATTTCATTCTTGATTTCATTCTCACCTGAGCTTTTTTACTGAAAAACCATTACTTCGGAATCGAATTCTAATACAATATTGTATCTGGAACATTCGCACATAAAACTAAATTAATTTTAATTCTTACAATAATCACCAATCGGATTCTACAAATGTAAGAATGACAATAAATTTATTATTGGTTATTCGTGAATTTCCATTTATTTTAATATTATTAATAATTATTATAATGGAAAAATCACATTATTATATATAATAATGTAAGTTTTCTACGAATCCTAAAAATCCACGAGAACACAATCACAATTTGTTTTCAAACATTAAAAATCAATAAAATTTGGTTTATTTTTGTAATAAGAAATGTTGCTTCAAACATTATAACAATCTGAATAAATCATCAAACCTTATTTATATATACTCAAATTATCAAAATACTATAGTCATTAAATCATTTCTGATTAAATTTTCTACTGATAATTTTCATAATATAAAGTATAATTTTCATAATTTCTATTTATCTTTAGAATGAGTTAGAATTCATTAAATTTATATCCAATCTTAATAAAATTATTAATAATATTATTTTTGGATTATAAAAATACTAATTTTTAATTAAACCAAAAATAACTTAAGTCTAATAATAAATTCAATTTTAATAAAATGATCTTTTCATAATCATAAGGAAAAATTAATTAAAAATTATAAAAGAAAAAATTTAAATGATTTAGAAATAGAAAGTCAATAAGCCAGTAAATTTAGTAATATTTTATTATCTTTACATTATTTTCTTATTTTTACTGTAATCTGCTCCAAAGATAGTATTTATTAATTTTACCAAAAATTACTTTTTCTCTTCTATATAATAGATAATTAAATGAAAATTTAATGATTTAGATTTTATAATTTGTATTTATTAGTAAAATAGAAAGAAATATATTATATTTAATTGTATTTTCTATTTCTTAATATCTTATATGATTATTCATTAACTTTTTTAATAATAATATTATTTGGATTTCAGAATTCCAGTTAATTTTATACTATTTTTATCATATAATCCAAATATGGAGTAAAATAATTTTCTATTTAATCAGAAAATGAATTTAAGAACATTTTAATGATTGTTGATATTTATAAGTTAGGAATAATGGTAATATATTATATTTTTACATATTTTAATTTAAAAAAGCTAATATAATCTTATCAGTTATTGACAATACATATTTATAATATCATAATAATAGAGAATGCACTAGAGAATCTGATTTTAGTTTTTGCAATTTATTTGGAAACTAGGAAATTCTAGAGTATTTTGTTTTTGGTTTTCCCAATTACTTAAAACTTTCTTAATCAACATATTTAACAATTTCAATGTTTCCATTCAAAACTAGTTTGGGGAAGTTGGAATTGTTTATATTTAAAATGGGTTCCATTTAAATAATTTATTACCTTAAATAAATTATAATTGTAAGAAATAAATCTGAATATCTTTTAAAATAATCAGAATAATACAGTTTTTTGATTTATATAGTTTATATTCACAAATTTAGTACAATATAAAGTTTATAGTAATAAAAGACAATGATTATGTATCTATGTATTAGTCTAATAAAAAAAAGAGAATAATAAAATTTATTATCACATTAAATGTCTTATAGTTCATAATAATCTATAAAATTAGAAGATTATAGAGAGATAGCTGTTGATATATCATAAAGTTTGATTGCAGTTCGTTCGATAATAAGAGAGATATTAAGACGTTCTAGTGTGATTTTAATAGAAAAGCATCTCGAATAATCAATTCCCTTAATAATGCCAAAATGGACATTATAATATTCAGAGGATGTTGTATCATTAGGGATTCATGAACCTGATGAAATGATGACAGAGAAAATTAATTAAGGTTTGGTTCTAGAGACAGAACCAGAAATAAGAATTCAAGATTGTTGGAGAAGTTATATTGCAAATATAGATCTCAGATTTCATTAAACAACACATACTAGTCATAGTGTAACAAAATCTCATTTCTCTTTTAATCCAGTCTATCAAAGAAGTTCTGTTACAATAAAAAGAGCATCATAAATCCTAAAAACTCAATTCGAACCATTTGAGCCAGAGTTTGTTAATATGTATTAAAAAGTAGAGGATGATCCATTTGATTAAGGATTGAGATAATAATTGGAAAGAGATTAATTATTGAGATAATAAAAATGGTAGGCTGAACAATAAAGGATTGCAGAGAAGAAAGAATAATTGAGATAGATTAGATTATTAGCAAGTTCATTTACAGGTGATAAGAAATATACATTTGATTATGAGGGGAAATTTATGCCATAAAATATACCTTAGATTGAATAATTGGCACCAATTAGACCTAGAGTAAGTTCAATGGTTTAGTTTTAAGAAAAGAATAAAGTAATTGAATTTGGAAAGTCATTTGCTCATGTGAAAATAGAAGGTGATAAGCCTTTTTTGGGAAGTCAAATGAATTTTTAATAGAAATAATAATAGAATGTATTCGATTAAATTGAAGTAGCTAAAGGTGTTACTTTAACTGAAGGTTAAAATTAAAAATAAGGACCTTCATTCTCGAATAATTAGAATATATAATTATGGGAAGAGGGATTAAAGTTAACTAAAAGTGAATATCAATAATATGTATAAGGAATGTAAGGATTATAAGGAGGAGTGAAATAATAAAAGAATATATAAGATACATCTATTAATGATTTAGAACCATCTCGAGTTAATTTAAATACATCTATAATAAATTCAACAACTGTAAAAGAGGGTTCAATTAGAATAGATGGAAACATTAGTGTAGAAGAATTATTAATTACTGAAGAACCAACACCAATTAAAATTGATGTTTAATAACCATTACCAAAGTTATTATTAAAATAAAAAGATCTCTCATAACTATTAACTCTTACTAATGAAGCATTGAAATAAGGGAAACCAAAATTACCAAAAGTGATGAGTTCATAACATTCATTACCATAACTAACTAAAAATCCTAGAGATAGAGCATTAAGTTAATTATAGAAATTTAAAATGATTATTAAGTAATGATAATCTAATTTGTTATTCAAATAATAGAGAGTCCTCCTTCCTTCAATTTTTATCTTAGTATCAGTTTTTAATCTATTTATATAGAATTATATCATACCATATTATTCATCCATATAAAAAAAGATTTGATTATCTATAGCAATCAAATAAATGTGTTTAATTTCATTCTAATCTGTAATTAGACATCTATCAAAACTTATATGAAGAGCTGATATTCCACTTCCTTTTTAGCTTCCCTTTTTGACCAATATTTTATCAGATTTCAAAATTCCTAATTATTATTATTGTAATTTCAATTCAAATATGTCATAACAATAAATGATAGGATCAAACTTAGGCAAGTTTTCTTCTCCTTATTGATTCAACGAATATAATAACTATTATAATCAATATATAATTATACAAATTTAGATGAAAAGGGAGTTGTAAACAGTATATTCTTTGAAGCCTTATCCATTAATTACATAGTCTGTAAATACTATTTCCCATTTACTGTATATATTGAAATTTAAGAATTTGCACTCTTAAATACAAGAAATTGAATCTAGATGCAACATTAAAAAATCTTATCAGAATTATCCAATTAAATTGTTTGTAATAAACTTTAAAATATTAATAATAAATATTACTCTCCTTCTAAAGTAAATAAATTTGCTACATTCTTTTAGTCTACTGTTAATATGTTTAAATCTGTTAAATCAATACTTAAAATTCCATTCCTTAATTATTTTGTGAGGACTCCTTTTGCTTACATTTATTAGCCGAATTGGAGTTAATATAATTAAAGTAAGCCATCTAATGATCCAATAGCTAAAATCTTTGATACAGCATGGTATCTAACACATGATGCTCTTTTTTATCTCTTTACATTTTAAAAAGAAACATCTATTTTCAATTCTTACATCTTATTCCTTAAGTCATATATTTTTACACTTTTATCTAAAAATCCTACCAAACAAAAATATAAATTGTAATTTAATCTCTCTTCAAAAATACTATAATATTAAGAATCATATCCATCTCCAAATTAATACTCTTATTCATAAATGAAAGTAAACATATTCTAAGGATTACATCCATCTACTTTTATCTCTGGTAATTTCACTAATTATTTAGTTATACAATGATAATAATAATATCCTTAATCCTCTTAATGTTTAGTCTCCAATAATGTTAGATGATTATATTTCTCATCATCTACCTTTAAAATATATATGCATTTCTTTGAATATGGATAAAATCCTAGTATTTATGATTTGTCTATTTTATTTTATTCTGCCTTTTATTAAAAGATAACACCCTTATTGTTTTTATCAGGATTATCACCAAAAAAGGGAATCTAATTTATATATAACTATAAACTATATTTCCTTTTCTAATGAGCCTTCTGAAATAATTGTTTTGGTGTTTAACCAAAATAATACACTTAAGTTAAATATGATTGAATAGTTGAATGATCATCATTCTTTTTTAAAATCATTTGTAGATTTTATTCATAAGTCAGATAATGAAATACATTAACATTTTCTACTGCATTTTATCCATTATTATTAATTCCAAATATCAGATCAATCCAATAATTCAATTAACTAGATACTGCATCACTTTCTAATGCTTATCTCATTCTATAAACAAATTCTTCAGCTGTCTATGTTTTTACCCACTTTGGTAATTCTACATCAGTAACTCGTGATTATGATTACAATGTTCCAAAATCAAAGAAATTTCTTAAAAAATATCAATTTAAATATACATGTTCTTTAAAAATTCAGGCATATAATAAAATTCTGGAATTAACTCTTTATTATCTTATTTTATACTATTTTCCCATAGAATGTCTATTTTAGAAAATAAACGATCTGCTACATCAAATTTATCTAATAAAAATAAAGATTTTAATTTACTTTTTTATAATGAGAAATGTAACTCATTAAAAGGCTCTAATCTTATTAAATAATTGAAAACAATTGCAGCATTTGAGTAATGGGATCCATACATGAAGTTTTCATCAATACAATCCAAATCTCTTTCCTTATAATCTTTTAAGATTTCGTCAGTTTTTCTTGAGATTGCACCCATTGGTAATTTAAGATTTCTAAATATATTTGATTATTTTCTCCATGCAAAATCAATTTATTATGATTTATAGTTTGAAATAACCCAAGGAAATATGAAATATTAACTTAGATCATTATAGGTTCTTCCTGAAAAAGTATTAACAAGCATTAAATATTGAAAATTAGATAATTATCCTCCAACCCAATTTTATTAATAATTCCTTTTCTTAAATTCTTCTATGGGATCAATTACTTAGACTTTCTTTCTTTTTAATTCTTATACAAATTCTTATAGTTTTTCATTTCTAAATAAATTAAAAAAGAAATTCTATCTATGAATAAATATCTCAAGTGCAATTTCATTTAATAAAAATCTCTTCGGATGCACACTAATTATCTAAGTAAGAGATATTTCTAGGAATATTTCTTCAGTAGTTTATTTAACTTCTGGACTAGTAAATAATTCTTTGAAATCAATTTTTTCCGATTTGAATATAAGAGATTAATTCTTTTCATTAAATCTCAATATTCCTTAATAAGCTGCTTCTTAAGTTATATATTCACAAAAATATTTAGTAGTCACTAATTGATTACTATCTGATGATCCTTTTCTAAAACTAGTCATAGTTAAATTATTTTAATTTGATATAAGTTATTCTGATCTAATTGATGATCTTCTTTTAGCTCTTTTAATTAAACTTTGACTTAATGATTCTTCTATGTTATCTGATTTTTATAATAATATAGTAAAAGATGTATTAATATTTGATTTACTCTTATCTATGCTGCTTGATTCTTCTAAAGTAGTTAATTTCTTTCTGGTTTAATTATTAGTCTTTAAATATGGTTTATAAAAGTTTTTCATTTTTATTTAAGTTAAATGTGGCCTTCTTCTAATGATATCTTCTAAATGACAAACTTACATTTTCATTTACATATTTTCCAAAATTTCAAATTTAAATTCTTGATGTGTAATAAAATTATTTAATTCTTAATAAAGAACTTAGAGATAATCATCAACAAAAAACCATAATCCTTGTCTTTATTTTAAATCTAAACTCTCTCTTTCCCAATATTTCTTTTAAGAATCTCTAAATATAGGTATACTCATTTCAGAAAATGATGATTAACGATGAGCTGATAAATTACTTTATGTCTTTGGCATTTCATAAGGATCAACAATTTTAGGAAATAACAACCATAGTTTATGAACAAATTAATAATACATTTAAAAATCTAAGAATATACTTTATTGAATTGCATTTGCAGTTTCATCTCTTATTTGATCAATTTAAGATAAATCAAAAGTATTTTGTAAATATTTTATATTCTATTAATTCCTTAAATTTTACAACTTAATATTATTTAATTAATTAAAAGCCATTAATATTTATTCTTGAGATGCATCCTATTAATAAATTAAACATTCAATAGAATTATGATTCACATTTTTCCAATCACAAAGTTTAGTCAATTAATACTTTCCAAATATTTCTTGTAAACTATATTAAAATAATAATATTTACTTTTTAATTTATGTTTCATCAAGTGTACTATCTTAGGAAAGAGAATAATAAATTAAGGATTAATATAATTTAGAATGATGTATTATTCTTGATTTCTTTTCTCTATATTCTTTTTAATTACTTCTTGATATTCCAGCATCTTAAAATAACTAATTTAAATTTCTTTTTAAGATTTTTTTAGTTTACAAAAAAGGAGCTGAGAATTCTTGATCTATATATTTCTTTATTCTTATACAACTTTATTAATCAATTTTCCCCTCTTCTGAATTTTTTTTGTTAATAGATAAATAATTTTTTATTGGTTTTTTCATTTATGGAATTTTAACATAAGGAGCAATCAATTATCTCATTAATCTTTTTATGCCACCATTAGGTAGAATTCTATTACATTGTTTTCTTTATTTCTCAAAATCTTATCTTATATTATCCCAATTAAAATAATCTTCAACACATGGCATATAGAAATTAAGATCATAAAATAATATGTCTAAATAATTAAAGAGATCAATTCCTTTATCCATTATCTAAGAATATAGATTCCAATTAACAAATTCTAAATCTGATATCTCTCCAAAACATTATTCAATATGTAAATATGCTGTTATAATACTTATTAATTTTCTCTCATCTTCTTAACCTTAAAATTATTACACTTATTTTAAAGCATAAAATTATATAATTATAGGATATATTGCTTATAGAAATGAATTAAAACTATCTTTGTTGAATAAATTACTTTCAATATGAACTTTATATAAAATTTCACTTGTACATTTTGGATAAACTTCTATAAGATAGATAATAAAATAAGTAAATAATTCTGAAGAATTTTACTTCTTATTTATAGAATGAGGCATAAGATGTTTCATTAATAATGCAAAATCTTAAAATTGCATTAGATTTATTACTAAAATGTCTGATTACTATTTTCTTAATACAACATTCTTAAATACATCCAAAAAGTAAATTGTTAAAGTTTCTTTCATAGTATCTTTTATTTATTAATTTGAATATAATTAATTCAAAAATTTCAATAGTTGATGAACTAAACACTCATCCTTTTCATTTTAACTTATTAATGATAATATTTTTGAAATAAAAAATTATCCAACTTCTGTTTATGTCTAAGGTGAAAAATAATCATAATAAATTTATAATGATCCTAACTCAGAATCCTTTTTTTAATTAAGTCTCAGTTTTTATACTATTGATACATAAATTGAAAAAGTTAATTCATATAATTTGTCAAATACTTCTGATTCATACATAAAATATTAATTTATTGTATTGAATTTATTTTACTTATCTAAAATTTATACTATGTTCTTTTTATAATTATTTAATATATTTTCTTCTTCTGATCTTAATTTGTTCTTTTATTTCATTAAATCAATTATCAATATCTCTATTATTTATAATATATCTAAAGTAAATAAATTAAACTGTTCTTAACTTAATAACAAATTAAAAAATTCAGAAATTCGATTAAAATCTGCTGTGCGCACAACTCCTTAATATTAAATACATTTAGTTAAGGAATGTGAAAATAAATTATTTGATTCAATATTGATGAAAGGTTAAGCTTTTATTAATGAGATTTATGTAAATAATTATCTACTTTCAAAATATAGTTAAACATTAATAAATTAAATTAAATTTTCTGACTTAAGTACTTTCTAGATTACTATTGACTAAAATATCAATTTCATTTATTCAACAGTAGTTATTTTATTATCTAATATTTTTATAACAGTCAACAGATACAATATAGATGCTTTCTCATCTCCTATTTTTTAATATATTGATAACAATTATTTTATAAATTCATCTGAAATTCTTTAATTTATTTAAATCCATTATTTACAATGCTCCTCAAAAATTTATAGATTTCTGGAATCAACAAATCTAGATATTTAAGAACTTTATCTTTATATATCTTCCTCTAACAATTTCAAAATTAAAATCAAAATCTCTTCAGAATCACTTAAATTAGTATTTTCATATACAGCATATAAAACATCTAATACCATGTAAAATATATTGTAACCTCCAGATTTTTATATGAAATCAAGTCCTTTTTTCATATCCAAAATATAAACATTCTAACTGCACATAATAGGTTGAATTTGTCTACAAGGAGTTATCAAAAATATATCATCAAATTCTATTTCCTCTTCAATTATGACACCTGAATTTATAAAGTTTTTTGTTTATTTCTAAAGATTTGTATTACTAGATTATTCAAATTTGATTTTTTAATCGTTTATTATCAAATTAAATTCTGATATTTGTCCATCAAAGGATTAATTCAAAAATATAAATGAATCAATGAATTATGTTTAAAATTTTTATTTTTTATTCATCTGCTATGTTTATTCTATGTCAAAATTTAATGTAACTCCCAAAACAAATTAATTAAGTTAAAAAGTTTGAATTTATGGCAATTTTAATTATAAAGAAAATCTTTATTCATTAATTTCAAGTATCATTTATTGACTATTTTTTATGTAAAAATTCAAATTAAACCATTATGATAAATCAAAATTGGTTTAAATACCTTCTTCTTAATCAGTTTCATCAGATTTATAAATTATAATAAATTTCTATTTATTAATTGCAATTTGAATTTCTTGATTTTTTGTAAAACATAATGTAAATATTATTAATTTTCCAACATATTCAGAATTAACTAAAAATGATCCAAAACTCATTCTATCTAAGTATTACATACTTACTATTTCATTCTCTTACATAATTAATCTTAATTTCATTCTTACTTCAATTTATTATATTGGTAAAGGATTCATATTTATCTAAATTGATGATGATCCTCCTTAAAAATATAATAGATTTGATTATTTTTACAAAGATTACAAAATTTCTTACCATTATTAATAAACTTATAGAAAAATCTCTAATATTATTTTAACAACTTTAATATAATAATTTTTATCATCAACCAATCTTAATAATAAACTACTTTATAATAATAAAGGAATTCTATAAGGTGATAAGTTTGCTAATCTATATGCTTATTAAATTTCATCTTAATCATTGGCATCTAATTAAATTTCATCAAGATCATTCATTAATATTGTAGATTAATGATAACTTAATGTTTCAAATAATTATTTTATTATTTAAGGATCTTAATTTAATGAAACTACAATAATTGCACATTATTTCATTAAATTGATAATCTCAGGGTCTCTTTCAATTCTAAAATAGAAAATAAATTTAGGACAGAAATCTGTAAATGAAAGCACAAGTGAAATCTATGTTTTTAATTGAAATCTCAATATTTATAAATAAAATCTTCTATCTATTGTAATATATGGCACTTCAAATAATATACTTAGACTTGTTTCATAAAATTTATTAAATATTAATTTTAATTGAACTCTTTTTTCATTTAATTATTCAAATACATCCTAAGCATTTATTAAATTATCATTCTTATCAAAATAATTATCCTTAATATAATTAATATAATCACATCCATGAGCAATAGAATTGATATTATTAATTATTTAATAAATAATACTTGATTGTAGATTATTAGTTTTTTGAAGAATAACTATTAAGTTGATAGTAAATTTATAGTGAATTTAACATAATTCTAAACTAATTTATTAAATGCCTCCTGAATTTAATATACTTTTATCTTCAATTAACCAATATATTAAGTATATGATATATGTGATTTTATGATAAATCTCTATATATATTTTACATTATTGTTCTCTAACTGTCATATTAGATTCTTTGATCATAAGATCATAAACACTCTTCACTATTGTTATAAAAATTCTCATATTTGATAATAAAAAGTCGAGTATTCTTGTGCCTTTTCCTTTCTTATAATTAATACTTTTTTTATTCTAACCTTTATTGTTTCTCTTACAAGATCCCATTAAAAAATGAATATATTTTAAAATATGTTGTAAGTCTTCAGAATTCTATTAAATAGACTAACATAATAAAAAATTAATTTACATCTTAGATGAAAACTAAGAATCCATAACTGTGTTATTTGCTTTTGGATGAATTTTTAATAGCAATATCAATAATTTATGAATAAATTTATTAATCTTCTAGTAATTATAAGATTTTGATATCAAATTTTTTGTAATATTATTCATCTTTGATTTCTTGAGAATAAAATTTAATAAGTAAAGAATCAAATTCTTTTTTTTAATCTTCATTAAATTAATTATAATATTTGCATAAATATGTTATAAATTGTATAAGTTATTAAGTACTTAGATTATTGACATTTAGAAATTCCTTTAATCCATTTATATGAATGCAAAGGTATTAATCTATAATTTAAGTGTTGTTTATTTATAAAAGTTATTCTCCTATTAATTTATAATATATTAATTTAATATCATGATTTTAATTTTAGAAAATATCATCAAATATTTATAAATAACTTTTTAATTTTGGATTAGATAATATTTGATTAAATAAATAACCAACAACTCTATGATTCTTTTATTTTATTAAATTAATAATTTATTGATTTCTTGTTTATATAATTTCTGGTTGAAAATTGATAATATCAACAAATTCTGTTACTTAAATCAAATATATGAAAATCAAATAGTAATTGACATCATTAAACTCTTTAATCTATTCAACCCATTTAGATACATTTGATTATAAAAACTAAGTATATTATTATAATTGATAATTTTATTTTAAACATTATGAATAAACTTAGCAAAATGTTACCTCCTAAAATTATTCAATATCACTTAATTCTTATAATTACTTTGAGTTTTCTAAAAAACATTATTAAAATAACTAAAAAATGTCTATGAAATTCTAAAAATCAATCTCATTTATATAAGCAAAATATAGAGTATTTCCTAATAACATTTAATAAATAAAAGGCAGTATCTTTTGTTTTTCCTTGAAATTTAGATTTATATTCAATTTTAAGAGTTTTTATAAATTCATAAATGCCTTTATGTATTTTTAAGAATGAATCTACTCATCATTGTTTAACATCAAATTCTTTATAAAAATTGTGACATTTCCTCCAACCTAATAAAATACTTCAAATATGACTTATCTCACAATTGAATTGATCTCTGTTAATTTTTCATACTCATAAAGTAGATTATCCATACAGTCTATGATTGATTCAATAGTTATCTATTATTATGTTGAACTTGAGCTTTATAGACTTGGTGACAATTCACTTAACATGTTATCAGTTTATAAATAGTATTCTTTGATAACAGTACATATTAGTAAATAAGTTGAAAAGAATGGAGAGTCTCTCTCTTAAGCAAAAAAGCTTTCATATTCTTATGGATTTTCACTTTTCGATTTTGATAACGAAATGAACCTTGATTCTAAAACAGATTAATTTTATAGAGATTATTTTAGTTTATCTCTAACTGAATCTGAAATATCATCACTACATATTTATTCCCATTAGATGTGAAGTAATTTCAGAAATGAATTAAATGATTTCATTTATAATAAATTAATAATCAATCAAACTCAAAAGGACCGCTAATTCCAATAACACCACAAGCTAAACGAGCACCTGCATTACCAGTACTTTTGCTATCTGGATGATCACTTTTTCCAAGATCATCTTCATTTGCATGAACAACCATTGATCTTCCAATCACACTATATTAACCACTTAATTTCACTAAATCATCAGTTATCTTAAAATAAGCAACTCCATTCTCTGAATGAACATTTCCTAAATCACCAACATGTCTTTCTTAATCTTTTGGACCACCATGTAATTTACCATAAGGATTATAATGAGGTCCAGCAGATATACATCCTTTGATTAAATTTCCGAATTCATGAATATGAAATCCATGCAATCCATCTGATAGTCCTGTAATCTTAGCTTAAATTGTTGTAGTATATCCATCTGATATCATTTTGACTATTCCATTAACACCACTTCCATTATCAGGTTATAATATTGCTACTGCATATATTAGATTATTTATTTTGTATTCTTCTTTATGATTATGGTGCTCGTGTTAACATCCTTCATGAGCAACAATTTGGTTCAAGATCAACGCAAGTATTAAATACATAAATGAGAAAATTAATATTTAACATAAGAATAATGCAATAATTTCAAACAGTATGATCATAAATAAAACTCATTAAAATATTTTCAACATCATCAGAACTCCTAAAATAAAACAAATTAGAATTATAAATAAAAATTTTGATTTCTAATTTTAAATTTTAATCGTCTTGAGATCAATTGATTACCTTTTGGTCATCTCAATTTTTTAAGATGATTGAACTATATAAATATATATTGATTATTTACTTATAGAGATACGCTTTTTAATCAGAGATTCAGGATGATGAGTTTGACACATAGTGTTTTTCTTATATAAAATTATATCATCCTATTCTTAATCTTTTTTACTTTATTCAGTGTCATTTGTTGATTAATATAATTCCATTATGCTTTCTCTGTGTTTCATTAATTTTCTTAAAATTCTAGATTGAGAACTGAAAATTGATGATTTTATGCTTACTCTCCTATTAGAATTGTTCATATCTTGTAATTTTAAAATCAAAAAATAATTGTGAAATATCTTCTTGATTACCGAATTGAGAAGACAAATGCCATTTAATCTTTTTTCTAATAATTCAAATTCTCCAGCTCTAATTTTATTATTATTAATTGAGAAATCTTCCCCTTAAGAAACTTAACTGATTGTTGATTATGATTCTTTCGGTTTAATCAATTTAATAAAAAAGCTAATTTGATATTACAAAACTTTATTATTAAGGGCTTTTATAAATAATGTTGAGCTTGAAAATTTGATAGCCATTTTTTCTTATTTTTTTATTTATTTTTTGCAATAATAATAACTTAGGTTATCCAAAAGACTTTTTTCTTTTTTAGAGTATAAAAAAATATTTATTATACTTTAAAGCTTATTTTAATAAACTTAGTTGCCAATTCTATTAAATACTGTGTTAAGCTTCCTCTTTAATTAAAGTTTATAACTTAGATTAAGTAAAAATTTTTTTTTTATTTTAATAGTATATTTTGTTAATTTAGTAATACCTTATTATAATAATTATTATTGTCTATTGCATATAAATTCATAATGTTGTGCATTAGTAGGAATATCATATTTTGATAAATTTTGGAATAAAATTTTCCAATATTTTAAAATTTTTGTTGATCGAAGTTTGGATGTTAAGTTAAAGATTGAATAAATTGCTAAAACAATTTTAATATGTGAATATTTGACAGTGATTTGATGATTTTCATTAATTAATTACATAATCTTGTATGCCTCTGCCATGTCTGTCTTTCTATTCTAAAAGACTAAACTTAAAAATTACATTTGATATTACAGGATTATAGAAAGGAGTCATGACTTATGTTTGATTGGGCTCTGTCTTTACTCTATTTTGGTGATTCAGTGTTTAATGCATCATGTTAATTAAAATATAATATTCAAATAAAACTGTGATATTAGGCACTTTTTTTGCGCGAACCAATAGAGGAAGTTCTAAATATTGATTTAAATTGATACATTTTTCGACTATGAGATTTTCCAGTATGAATTCTAACAGGTTAAGTAAATTAAGAAAAAATTTCATCAGATTCAGTTTGTCTTGTAGGTATAGTGTTTCGACTGAACATACAACTCATAGTTTTGCGCATTCTAGCTTTTAATTATTTACTTAAAGGATTCCATGCTCTTTAAACAATAGGTATTGATGTAGTTGAAGATGTAGCAAAATTTGGTGATATTATGTTTGGTTCTGAAGAAGTAATTTAAAGTACAGTTTCAAGATTATCAAATCTTTTTAATTTCTTAGATTTAGTACTGGCTGCACTTTGAACTCTATTAATTAAAATTTGATTATCATCAAGTGATGTAGTTTTGATTCTTATTTTCTTTTCAGCATTAGTTTATATTTTTCTAGAAACTCTATCTCTGATTTGATCAATCATTTCTTTATCAAGCATTAAAAATTTAGTTTTTGGATCATTAGGCAATTTTTTAAGATGATAAATCATATTTTAATGAGCAATTTCTGATTATAATAAGACTCTTGGTTTTTAAGATCTAATATCATTTTTATCTGGTCTTTCATCTGGATTTTTGAAGATTTCTTGAATAGTTTTTCTTTCTGTAATTTATAATTGTTAAGATTATGAATTTTATGCTTTGTCATGTTATTATAAGATAGAAATAATTTTGGCTTATCTATTAGACATATATTCTTAAATTAGATTACTTTTATCTTTTAATAATTTAACAATATCTGGAAAGTTTTTTTTTAAATTATTGAATTCTGTTGCTTCCATATAATATGCAATAGTGTTATCTAATACTTGACATGAATATAATCTTTATGGCAAAGAATCAATTATTTCTTCTTAACCAACAAAAGCATTGTCTGACAATTAACTTAAAACAATTTTTTTTTTTTTTTTTGTATTTGATTATGTATTTGTATCTTCTTAAATATGTCTAAATAGTTCAACTCTTCCTTTTTGAATTAGAAAATAAAATTTAGGTTCTTCACCTTCTTTCCATAAAATAGTTTAAGATGCAAAATTAATTGTTCTTAAATTTTATATAAATTTAGAAACAGTAAATTTAGAAGCTCCATTAAATAATTTCATAAAGTATTCAATTTTAACATTTTATTCTTAAATCTATTTATCACAAACTAATTTATAATCATGTTTATTCATAGAAATTAAATGTGCTTCTTCAGATACCACAATAACACTAGCAGATCTAGGTTGATCATGTATTAATGCTTAATCACCAAAACATTAACCAGAATAATATTACCATACTTTCTTAAATAATGGGATATCACTATTAAAATATATTGGATTCTCTTTTAACATTCTAAGAGCCAAATCAAATCTATTAAATTAAGGAAGTTGAATAGTTTTCTTTTTCTTTAATAGATTACCACCTATATTTGTTTCACTACTTTATTGAGTAATGAAATCTAATTCTTGTTCGATATCTTCAACTGATCTTTTAATATAAACACCAACCTCACCATGTAACAGAATATAAAATCTATCTCCATATTCTCCTTAATTCATTATTGCTTAACCAAAATTGTAGTTTTCATATTTAAAAAACTAAGCAGCATACATAGCAAACTCTCTAACTTTCATATTCTTATCACATTGTTTTTACATAAATTCTATTGTAGAAAGAGAATCAGCCACTTATTCAGCTTAAGCTGCTGTATGTAATTAAGTATACATCTTATAAACTTGAATTGTAGGTTATAGTGTAATTTCATTCTGTCTTCTAATTGTATCATGATCTGGTTATTATTCTTATATTAATGATCTTTTATTTTTCATTTTAATTTCTTATTTATATAAATGTGAATAATTTTCATTCAATCCAAACTGTCTTAATATTAGCAAAGTTCTAAATTCCCCATTCACCACATTCTCTTCCATATCCAGATCCTTTAATTCCTCCAGATGGTAATCTTTAATCTGATTTGACTATTTCATTTACAAATACCATTCCTGCTTCTAGATGATTAACAAATTATTCAATCTCTTTCTTATCATTACTAATAACTACTGCACCTAATCCATAAGATGTATTATTTGCAATCCTTAAGATTTCATCATTACTATTAGCTTTTATTAAACTAAATAATGGACCAAATGTTTCTTCTTTTGCCAATACATTCTATTCATCTATTTCAATTACTGTTGGCATCATAAAATTCTCATTATCCTTTAATCTATTACCTCCATAAACTATTTTTGCACCTCCATCCACTCCCTTCTTTATCTAATTTTAAATATTTATAATTAAATCTTCTCTAGCCATAGGACCTAAATCTGTATTTTCTTGTAAAGGATCACCAATTTTCAATTTCTCCAAAGCATTCACTAATTTTTCTTTAAATATATCATAATATTGAAAATGAATTATGAATCTTTTTGCTGAAAAACATACTTATCCACAATTAGCTACTCTTGATTTAAGAGCTAATTGAACTGCCAAATCAACATTTGCATTTTATAATACACAAAATGGATCAGATCCTCCCAATTCCAAAACACTTCTCTTTAAATATTTACCAGCAGTAGCTCCTATTATTGAACCTGCAGCTGTAGAACCAGTAAATGATACACCTTATATTTAAGGATGTGCCATCACTTATTCTAATTATTAAGGAGTTGTAAATGCATTCTAAAATACATTTCCATCAAATCCTGCAGATGTAAACAGCTCCTAAAGAGCTAAACCACAGAGACCAGTAGAATCAGATGGTCTATGAATTACTGCATTACCAATTACTAGCATAGGTATAATTGGCTTAAAACCTAAATTTAACACTTTTTATTACATAACCAAAATGGAAAATTAAATGGAGATATTGAATAGATTGTACCTATTGGTGAATATTGTACATAACTATTCTTTGCCTCTGTTTTAACTCTTTAAGGCTATAAATATTTATTTATATTTTCAGCATAGTATTTACAATAATTTTATGATTTCTTTACTTCAGCCATTGATTATTATATTGGTTTCCCTATTTCATAAGATATCAATTTGGAATATTTTTCTTAATTCTAACCTAATAAATCTGCCAACTTCAATAATTTCTCTGATTTTATTTAAAATGAACTATTCTTGTTGATTTAAAATCCTTCTTTTGATTATTGTATTATGTGATTTAATTCTTGATCACTTAGAAACTTAAATTCTCCTAATACCTATTTTGTTGCTGGATTTTTTGATATAAATTATCTCATTAATTATTTGAATTATTTATAATAAATATATTTATGAGATGTAATCCAAATTTCTAATAATATATATATTTTAGGATCCAAACTATTTTAAACCATTCTCTATTCATCCATAGATACATTTTACTAGATTTATTTAAAAGTTCCTATACATAAAAATATTATGTGTATTATTATTATAAATATAATATAATTATGAAGAAATACTATCATCTTCAAAATAAAACTTTTACCTTATTTTAGAATGAAATTTAATATTAATTTAATTAAACTTATAAAACAGAATGAATATAAGTAAGGTACTACGATATTCAATAGAAGGATTAAAATGAATTGATAATAAATAATAAATATATTGATTAGTTGATTTATAAAAGATATTAAATGAAAATTTACATTAGTCTAGATAAACCTTATCACTATATTTAGTTAATTTTCAAGAGATTTAAAGTAAAATAAAAATAATATCTAGTATAACATAAATTCAAGGCATTTTTCATTCTTTCAATCTCAAATAAATTGAGATTTATTTACTATATTTTATTATAATACTACATAAACATTAATAATCATATTTTGTATTAAAGATTATATCAATAAAATATATTAATTTATAATTGATTTTATTACACTTCTATTTCTATTAATATTAGTATTAAAATAAAAATAATTATGAGTATTAAATTCGATGGATCATAAATTGGAATTGAAATCAATCCCATAAGTCACAATTATTCTATAACAGTGGCACAAATTTATCTATACACACAACAATACTTACAAAAAAACTAACTAGATATTTCAATGATTTACTTAACATTAGATGGATAAACAATTTTAAACCCATAAGATAATTCACCAATAAATTTTTAACCAGAATCAACTGTTTTTATATTATAAAGTTAACCAACATTTTAGATATTTTTTGAAAAAAATTAAATATTACAATCATAATTGTAAAATATGCCTATAGTTGATGTAATTTTCTAATACTATTGAATAGGTGTTAAACTATTTATTATAATAAGGATAGATAAAAGGGTAGAATTTCTAAGTTGATTTTTATGAATTAAATTACTAACCATTATATATAAACGTTGATATTAGCCAAAATTTGTATAATTACATAAATTGTAATTAATATGTGATTATAAATATTACAGCAATTTAATAAGAATCATAAAAAATAGACTCAAATTAAAAAGTAGCATCTTTAAAATAAAAGTAATTAATTATAATTAATAATTAGTGTTGGAGCCAATGAACTTCTCTAATCTTTGATTTTACTTAAAAATGTAAGTTTATTGATTGATCCAAATGGCTAATTTGTTGTTTATAAATTCCATTTCCCAACTTTGGTTTCTGGATACCTTCAAAAAAGTTAAGGAAAAGATCAATCAAATTTTTCACAATTTAGTAGCAATGATTGTGATTGGATTAAAAAAAATGATGTTGAATATTGCTCATTTGATGATTATGGATTTGCTGTTCGTTGGTAAGGTAGAACTATTAGTTCTGTGAAAATTAAATAATAATGAAAATGATTTAAATCAAAATAATATAAATTATTAATTTATTTCTATTTATTATTGGTAGTAGTAGTACTTGGGTCAAAATAAGGAGAACAATTAAATAAAATACAGTTTAATGTTAATTGTTTGATAATTCATAGTTCATAGAAAATTAATTATATCATGTAAAAATTATTAATCTTGTTAATAAGAGATTTATGTAAATATTAATTAATTACTATTAATCAATATTGATAATATATCATTTACAAAAAATTATCTATTAAATTTGTAATTAAAATATATAAGATATTTGTTTGGGTGAATATTTAGTATTTTTAATTTATGTTAATCAACCCTCACAGTTTTTCTATCATTTTTCTTGTAAATTTTTCATTAGAATAATTCAATTCAGACAAAGTCATTTTATTGTTTTTTTTTTAAATTTATTTGTTGTTTATTTTACTAATTATTTTGTTAAAATTAATATATCTCATATACCCATTATTTTGATAAAACAATTTGTGCAAGAGCTAAAACTCTTTATTAAAGAATTCTATTTGATTTTTTATATAATAACCCATTTTATAACATTAGTATTGATTTTTACTTAGAAGAGAATTTGCCATTCAATATTTTATTATGCAATTCATCACGAAAATGGAATTAATGATATAAATATATATATAATAACTAAATGAAAAATGTATTTAAAGGATCATTCAAAATAATTAGATTATTAAATACTTCTATTAATATTATCCTTAAAGTTCATATCCTCAGGTTCGATAAAATTTAATTTAATTTCATTTAAAGACTAATTCTCCTCTTTTTATAATATCTTTTTCAAAATATTAGAAATTATTACTTCTTTTAATTTATTTTGCTCATTTTACTTCTCTTATTGAGCTTGTTCTTACTTTTTTATATCTTCTTCTTTTAAATCAATAAGATAATTGTATATAATATCTAGATATTTTTCAAAAAAGTTCTCCTTTTTCAATTTTCTTTATGATTATTAAGGTCCATTAGATCCGTTGTTGATAGGTTTGTTAAAGAATTCTTTTAATTTAGCCACAATGACCACAAATGAATCTAATAAATAAATGATCAAATTGTAAAATATGATTACTGACAATATATAACCTTCGAAATTCATAGCAGTTTCCAAAATATATAAACTTTAAATAACAACAATATATTTACATAATTAATAGGAAAATGTTTAAACTTAAATATTGAGATAATTTTTTAATTTATTTCCTATACTCTTTAGGTTGTATTTTAATTCTCAATAAATGATACATTTCAGAATAAACAATTGTTATCAACATATTCAAAAAAATATAAAATGTCATAACTATTGATCTCCTATTAATTAATAAAATAATATACAAAAATTATTATTTAGTAAATGAAAGGTTTCTTAATAGAAAAACACCAATAAATACAATTATTCCAAAAATGGTGACATATTATTATACATTTGGATCTTCAGATATTATATTACTTCCATATGTAATAATTAGGTTCAAAATTACTATTCCTGAGCAATAGAGTTAAACTATTTAAGTAAAAGAAAATAAATTTTTATAATATTTATCAATTTTTTTTTCAGAAATGAGCTAAGTAGAAATTTTAAATATCTGTTCTGATTAAGCATTTTATTATAATAAAGAATCTTATTATTAATTATTTTCATTATTAAATTGTTATGAGCTATTACTATAAGTTGATGGCTTATTTTCTTTCTTTTTTTAGTGTTCATTTAATTCTTTTATTAAATTTTCAAATCTATAAACTTTTTCTTTCGTTTTAAGTTCGGAACTATACTCATATTTTGAAATATTGTCAATTCTTTTTAATTTTTATCCAAATTTAATTTATAATTCATCATTATTCAACATTAAGTACATTAATTTTTGTTTTTTTTTTACCATGGATACACCAATTGAATATTATAAAACTAATAATACAAACATTAATATTAGGAGGAAAAGAGTTAGTGGCCAAAAAATTGATAATAATACTTTTAAGTAAGCATTCGATGTAACATTGTATAATAATTGATAGGGAGAGAAAGTATACAAAAATAAAACTTCTGATAATGTAATTTTAGTTTAAAGATTTCTTAAGGTTAATATGAATTTGTATCTATTACCATGTAATTGTAAGGCTTAATCATTGCATATGTGAATGGATTTTATCTTGTTTGATAATTCTAAAAATATCTACACTTAATCATTTTCAAAAATTTTCTTTTCCCCTAAATTGCTACTTAATGAAAAAAATTCCTTCTTACTCGATTCATAGATTTTTTAAGGAAATAACGAATTTAAATGTAAATTGATATTTCCTTACTATTATTCTCTTTCTAAATCTTCAAAATAAGAATCAAAATATTTATAACACTCATTCCATTTATAATATGAGAAAAAGGGATTGTGAAACCTCTTTAATGATGCTAAAGAATCTATTTAAAACTAGTAATTCAAAAAATTCATATATCCAATAAATGAGTTATTAAGATTAATTAATGAGAAATCTCCTTTATCATGAAATAAATTATAATATCCAGTTGCTCCACAATAATTTTCTTTTGTCATCATTTGATCCATCAATTAAAATTTATTAACATCAACTTAAATGCTCAAAAAGCCAACATAACAATATTAGGATTGAAAATGTTTAAAGATTCCTCTATAAATCCAATTTAATAGCTTAATCAAGCTTTATTCTTCATCTATTACCAAAAATATACAATCTTTATATTCATATGTATAACAAATGTTACCTAATTATTAGTAGAATTATTACATTTATTTTCTTTTATATCTTCTTAAAATTTAACTTAATCATTAAATTTATGTTTTTCTTTTCCATTGATAACTATTACAATATTAGTTTATCTATTTTAACCAAAAATTTGTTTGTATTAATTTATTTATTGATCAATTTCTGATAATTCTTAATTTTCATAAATTAAACAAAATGTGACACTGTTATCATTTACCTTTTCAAATTCAAAAATCTATTAGTTAATTTACTATCTTAAAATAATTTCAGTCTCTGATGGATAATAATCAATCGATTTAAGCAGACTACTAGTTGTTTCATTCTAATTAAGTAATTCCTCAAATTCTTTGTCATAGTTGAATATGATTTCCTCTCCTTTTCCCTCTTTTTAATTCTTATCCAACTAGACTTTAGAAATTATTAAATTATAAAGCTTAATATGTTTTATTTAATAATCCTATCCTTATTCGCTTATTCTACTATAAATTAAGCCATCTTCAAAATTAATAGGCCTATAAATTTTTCTTTTTAGCTCAAATAATTCAAATCCCTAAGTCAATATAAATTTTTACAGATGGGTAATTTTAATTGAAATACAAGGTTTTGATATTTTATGAATCTACGCCTGAATTTTAGTAAGTATTTTAATTGTTCATTTGTTAAATAAATATCTTAATTTATTAAATATCTATTAAATAATTCTTTAAGATGCCTCATTTATAATGAAAAATATAAATCTTTATCAAATTTAATCAAAATATAATCTATTTCAAACTTGAGATTAATTGTTAATATAAATAATGTAGTATTCATTTTGAAGAGTAATTTTAAATCATTATCTAAAAACCTGATGTAGAATATTTTTTTTGATAAAATCAGAAAATTTTTTTGACTTTGTAAAATAGATTAAAATTATATAATTTGAACTATTATTTAGGTTTAATTATATTCTTCAAATTTATAGATTATATATAGAAAAAAAGAAAGTGAGGGAAGATCTTTTCTTGATCTGAAAAATTGAATACAAAATATAAATTTAATTTAAATTTTATATTATTATAGAGATTAGAAATGATAACTATTTTCTTTATGTTATAAATTCACTCATTATTTTTTAAACTTTAATGATCTCAAAATAAGCCAAATTGATTTGAATATAATTTTATTACATATATTTGTTATTTTCATTTTTGTATATATATAATAGTTGTCTATGCTAAATCAAATTTATTAGTAATTTTTGATTGTCTAAAACTCAAATAATTAAACTTATAAAGTATTTATTTGTTTTTATTGAGTATAATAAAAATCTTGTAATTTTAACAGCAAATATAATTTATATTGAAAAAGATAATTAAAATTGATGCTATAATTTTATTGATTAATATATATTAATATATTAAATAATGGGAAATACGGCTCCTAATTATGAAGAAATTTCAGATATTTTTTCAGAATAGGAATATTAACAAAAGAATTTATCATAAAATTATGAATATCCTGAAAGAAAAGTACTTAAAGCTGCAAAGAAAAGTAATGAATTTAATGGTATTATGAATCGACGATAATCATAAAATATTAAAAAATCATTGGAATATAAGACATAAGGAAACTTGTACATTTAATAAAAGTAATATAAAAAGGCTATAGAATCATATACATAAGCTATAGTAAAATTATATGTAATTAGAACTTATTTGATCGAGACTCAATTTATTTCTCAAATCGATCTGTTGCGAATAAACTTTTAAATAGATTCTAAGAAGCAAAATAAGATGCCTAATAAGCTTTGAAAATTGATTAAAAAAATTCCAGAGCTCATTTCATTTATGGAACAATCATTTTAATTGAAGTTCAAATGTTTCCTGATACAACAGAATCTCTCATTAATTAGGCTTAATAAGGGATAAAGGAACTAGAAAGTGGTAAATAATTTATAATATAATATATAGCTCAAGAATTAGTTAAAATAAGTAAGAAAGAATAAAAAAATAAATTAAGTGTGCTAATCAACCAAAATTTAGCAAAAGGTAAAAGGATGATTTATTTAATAAGATAAGAAATTGACAAAAAAAGTATGGTTTTATTGCAAATAAATTAGATATTTAAACTCTCAAATAAACTCTATTAGATATTTCTCATCGTTAATAATAAAAATTAGATTGGTATGCTATTGAATAAAACATATAAAAATAAAGAGATATATAGATGCCAGAGTATTTTGTATGTCCAATCTTATTTGAAATGATTGAAGAACCTATCCTTCTTAATTCAGGACTTACTTATGACAAATCTAGTATTTAATAACAATTTAAATAAAATGGCTATATAGATCCTATAACAAGGGAATTTATAGATCCTTTGGGGTTGATTGAAAATATTCAATTAGCAATAGGAATATCACATATTAAGAGAGAATATGGTTGGATTGGAATAGAAAATGAGAAGGATTATAAAGCAATAAGGTTTGAATGATATTTAGTAAAAATTGTAGTATTTGAATTCTCTATAATATATTTTATAAACTAAAATAAAATTAATTAATATAAATTCATTTTAAAAGAAAGGAACATTTTTCCATCTCATCTAATTATTATTAGATTTAAACTTTAATAGATTTAGTTCTACTTCTTTCAAGTTAAGTTATTTTTTGGTTTCTCTCAAATTACAATTGAGTTATTTGATTTATTCTTTTTTATTCAATTTCTTATAATTTTTTATTCATTTCTAATTTAATTAATTATTCTTAATCATTAAATTTATTAATCAACACCTCTTCTTAATGTGCATGTTTTTATTTGAGTACTCTTTATTGTGTTTCTTGAGTCTATCTTTATTCAGATTGAGTTCTCCTCATATGATCTTAACTTGCTTCTTTTAGATATACCTGATATTACTCTGCCTTTTTAAATTCTTTTTAATTTGACAAATATGTCATAATTTTTTATAAATTTTGATATTCAGCATTTTGTTATCTTTTATAAAAGACAGATTTTTATAATTTTATTTTTTATTGATGCCATAACTATTAAAGTGCTTGACTTTTCTAATAATTGAATTTTTCAAATAATTAATTAAAATATTAATTGACTTCATCTATTTATTACTTAGTTTATGATAAAATTCTTTCTTCTCCTAATTTGTATTATTCTTAAATTTCTTCTCTTTCAATAAGATCTCTAATAGTTTTCATTTAAAGTATTTTAGATTTTACTTCATCAGCTTCTTTAAAATCATAATTGAATTAACAATTAATCATATGCTATTCTGTCAGTTTGATTATTTCATCCATTTATGTTAAAGTCAACATTTATAAATATAATTTTATTAATAATTTGATTGATTATTACAATGATAATAATAATGATTATCAATCTGGATATTCAACATCACCAAATTCTGATGGTAATTGATAAGTACCTGGCCCAGGAACTAATATAATGAAATTTAATTCATATACAAACTTTATTTCGAATTTAAATAGTTTTTCTTTCAGATGCTCCAAAACTGAAACCTGAAGTACTTTTCAATCTGAAATCAGCAATATCTCCTGGAGGATCATATGTTCCTGGCCCAGGAGTTTTAATAATTCTGAAAGACTTATTATTTGAAGGAGAAAACAAAGGAGCTCGATTGCTAGAGTATTTGGAATTAAAATAATTTCCTGTTTTACTTATACCACCAACATTATATGCACAAGGAGATGGAGTTGTAGATTCCAAATAAATATCTAAAATGTAAATTATTAAATACGTTTGGCTTTGGTTCTTTCTCCAAATGAAAATTTGATGTTAGAGAAAGTATCTTTCAAAGTATAAGTATTAGGTGCTGGATTTTTACTTGGATTACCATAAATTCCTACAGCTTTTGTTTCTTCTCTGCCATACCCAAATTTTGTAACTGGCTTAGGTTTCGATTTTAAAGTATAAGCTGTAGGAGGAGGAATATACTTATCAGTTAATTTGGCAAAGTCAAATTTTATACCAAATCCGAAACTGCAAGTTCTTTTACCTAGAGATGTTCTTATCCTAAAATATAAAAAAGATAGAAATACTAAGAATCATAAAATTATTGTTGACAATAACTGGAACGAGGTTTCGAGAATCTTGTGGCCTTAGCAAATGAATATTGTTATTTAGATGGAGAATGATTAATCACATCATGAATAACCTTTTTATTAAATTGATCAGCTGTCCTCAAGAGTATCATAGATCCTGTATTTCTTGGTCGCCCATACAAGGTTTCTGCAGCACTAAATGTCCTTTCAGATGCTGTTCGTGCTCTTCCTTTCTTCTTACTACTCCCTTGAGGACTACTTAATTCAAAATTATTCCCTGATTATGTCTCCTACTCCTATAATTTATATTGACTATCCAATTATTTTTCAGACATCTTTATTTTATTATTAGAATAAATTTAATCAAATATTATATCAAAATTCTATATTAGATAAAGCCCCTGCCAATAACTCTACATAACTCTATAATTAACTTGTCAAATGTTCTTCAATTCCAAAGAGATTCTCACTAACTTCTAATAAGTGTTCCCTTTCCATGTCAATTGATAATTTGTTCTTTAAGCATGTCTAAATTTCAATAACAAATCATACTTCCACCACTCCAATCACCACATCCTGTTTATTTAATAAAGGTTAAATAAAAATGGGTAAAAGAGATGTCAAATCAACCTTTGGATTAAAATTAACTGATTTTTTTATATCATTCACAATGTATCTTTTTTTATTCCTTACTGCCATTCCTGCTAATCCATAATCCAATGAAAATGTCTATTCCTTTTGATTTTCAAAACTTATCAATTGTTCATTCATTACAAAATAAAACCTTATTATCTGAAATCCAAATATTCTCTTAAAACTTAATTTGATCCTTTCACTCGCAATCTATTTATTATTAGATCTTAAAATCTCTGTCAACTGATTATTCATTAAATTTCTATACTTTTAGGCTATTAACCAACTTTCCTTATCTACTAATCTTTAAATTATTATTCCTAAAAATCTACTTATTATTATTCCAAAGTATTCTTCATCAAACGAAAATTATTCTGATTCAGAATTCAAAATTATCAAACTACCTCTTATTATATTCTAACCTATACAAAATATTGGCAATATCAATGCACTCTTTCCATATTCTGGTTATTCACAATCATTTATTCTATATATTATTGCTTTCTTTGGTTTCTAACTTATGTTCTATGCTTAATACATTTTGAATGTATCTGCTACTAATCCTTTATCTTATAATGCCTTTATTTATTATCGAGTTTCTAAATAAGAATACAATAATCCATTTTTTGTATCTAGCAACCACAATTTTACTGTCTCGCATTTAAATACTTAAGGTAATTGTCTATTTACATAAAAAATCAGATCTTCTATTGTTTAAGAATTACTAAACTCTTCCATTTACAATAAAAGTTAATTCAATCTCTCAGAAAAATCCTTAAAAGACAGTAATTAATTGTAATAATAAGTGATTTATTATTTTTAAACTTCCTAAGATTATTACGAAATTTATTAAAGGGTATTTGCAACTCCTTTCTCGCATAAATCATTTAATAAATTTTGATGATCTAATTTCTAACAAACTATTCTAAAATCTAAATTTTATGGTATTTTAAAATTCATTAATAATTCAATATCATCTTTTTTAATAAATCCTCTAATTTCATCATCATCATTTTTTTTTCTTAAATTATCTATTGTTTTTTATAACCTACTTACTACTAATTGATATTAATTTAATTTCCCTTGAATTCTCTCAACCTCTTAATTTTTTCTTTCCAAATCTCTTTTCAATTATTCGTTTTCTTTCATTAGAATAGTTAAATTTGATCTCATTTCAAAAATGTTGATATCATTTGATACAATAAATTCAATTCTCTTTTCTAATGCAGCTATTTTCTTAATATTAATTTCGTTTAAATTTTTTTCTTATTTCAATTACTTTTATAATTTTTAATTTTCTTCTATCAATTTATTACTTCTGGTTGAATTGATATCCACTTCTTATTGCAATGATTTATTCCTATCAAATAATTCAGCTTCTTTCTTCAATACCTACTTATTGAACACTAAAAAATTATTAAATTAGAATACTTGAAGTTTTCTTTTGCTATCTATTTAAAAAACCTAATTATATTTCACTTTTGGTTGTATTTTAAATAGTATTTACAATAGAGATTAAGAGTTACTCAATTTTTTAGATGGTAGGTAGACTATTCAATTCATTTTTATGTGTTGTAATAACTTAAATAAGGAATTCTAACGTAGTACATCTAGATATCAATCTATTTTGCAAATCTTTTATTTTCTTATTACATTGAATTAGTTTACTTAGACATCTAAATCCTCATTACCTTCTGTTAATAATCTTTACTCTTTACTGTAGGCTGTACTTAATGTAGTCAATTTATGTGGTAATGTCAAAGTTTATTATGATTGTTAATTGGCTCTTGGAGTACTCATTTGAGTAACTCCTTAATAATCAATAGATTGAGGTTATTTGGACAGTAGGTGAACCAATTAAGAATGTTTCATTTTAATATATATTTATTTATATATATATATTCAATCTAATTATTGATTGTCTAATTTAACTTTCTTTTTATTCTTCTTCTTATTTGGAGGAACTTTGTTTTAAATCTATTCAATATCAAATACTTTAATTGTTTGATCTTCAGAAGCTAAAATAAATCATTAATTTTACTTGTAATAATCAAATTGTTAGTGAAATATACAAAATCTAACAAAAATCCACTGTGACCTGAAATAAAATAATAAATAAATCAATCAATTGTATCATTCTTTATAGAATTTCAATAACATTCCAAATTTATAATGATTAATGACATTTAGCTAATGCTGTAACTAATCCATTTCTTTATTAAACTTTTTGAATAGGAAATCTATGTTTCAAATAACCCAATAGAACAATTTCATCATGAATAACATTTATAGATAACGTTTGGTTATTACAACCAGTAAGTAAGTAGATATTGTTATTGTATAAACTGACATCAATGCAATTTATATCTACATTATGAATTAATTTTGTATCACAATTTTATTTTGAGTAATAGAACACATGTTATCCATTAAAAATAAAAAACAAATAACATTTATCATTATTAAATAAAAATATAATGCTGTTCATGTTTATTGTAACAATATCAAATGTTTTATTTTTAATTAGCTATTATATTTAAATCTTTTATTAAATCAAAAAATTGACTAAAACTTATCCAGTTGATAATTCAATTAATTAAATTCTGCCACTTAACATGATAATTAGGATATAATCTTAAATTGAATGTGGTTTATTAATTAATTCATTATCTTATTCTTTTTATTATTTAATATCAAATAAATCTAATAAATGTAATATTTATTTTTTATTAAGCCATTCAATTTTAGAAATTGGATCTTCACAAACATATTTATCTAATAATTCTTCTTTATAAATATCATATAATTCTATCTTTTATTCTTTTTGAATTATAGCAATACCTTCTTAAAATGGACATATATAGAAATTAGAAAAATCAGTTATTTTCCAAAATTCATTGATATATACAGGATATTTATTTTTTGTTAAATCAATAGATTTTAGTGTTTGATCATGATAATATATTAAATTCTTTTCTTTACCAATTTATAATTTGTTGACTTTGCCAGCCAAACAAACAAATTTATGATAATCAACAATTTAACCATCTTCAATACAAAATGAAAATATTCTTCTATCTAAACCTACTGTATAATATTTATTTTGATAGTTATTCATTAAATATATACCCTTGATGTGAATTTCTTATGGTAATTTGTAGAAATATTTATCAGAAATGACATTGGCATCCAATTTTAATTATTTGACTTAATTTGTTAACTAAATTAAAAAGATTTCTCCTTGTTTAGAAGTAATAAAAATTTGTTTATCATCCAAAAATTTAATGCTTAATGAAGCTTTCTTGAGATTTTCTGTTGGCAACTTCTCATTTACTATAAATCTTAATTCAATGAAAATATCATTATCATTAATGGTATTTGTTTATTTCCATTCATCTATTTAATCTAATTCAAATACATGTAGACTAATTGATTTATGCAATTTATTTAAAACTCCATATTTATTTTTAAATCTATCAACGCATAAAATATGATATGGATAATCATATTCAGATTTTTATTCATATCTATACATTCTTCCACTCAAATAAATGACTACATTCTCATCTCCCCATTTTGGAATACAATGAGGTTAAGTTATTAATTTCAATCCAAAATCAATCAATTCAAATTTATCATCCAATTTAAATCCAAGTGCTATACCTTTATTATCTAATAACAAATATTCATTATGGATTTCCTTTAAAATCATAGGAATTTCAATATTAAATTCAAGCTTACCCAAATATTTCTATTGTTAAAACATTGTTATAACACCACCCTCTTAGCCAACAAATATGTATTGATCTTTTAAATACAACATTGTTACTTTTTATTATCCTTGCAATGTATATTTGAAGTATTTGGTTTAACTATTATAAACAAAAACTTATTCATTGACCCCGTAACACAGTAAATCCCCGTTCATTTAAGCAATTTGTGGATAAAACCAATTTGGACTGAATGAAATGCATTTTTAAGGAATGTCCATAAATATATTGTAAGTTAAAAAAATTCATGATCTCAAAAATTTACTTATTTTATTATAATAAAATGCTATAGAGAAAGTATTAAATAATAAAAAAGAAAAATGAGGTATTTTTTTTTGGTTTAGATTAAGGCAAAAAATTTACTAACTAAAACTCTGCAATTCTAATAAATGTGGACTTTATTAAATAGGCAATAACTTATTATTTTCTTTGATTATTTATTTAACTTATAATATTTATCTTAATAGGAAAATTTCAGCAGAATAACAATTAATTAAAAAATTTTGATTTTATTTCTTAATGAAAAATTAATGGGGATGAAAATTTTAATCAAAACTGATGCAATATCTATTAATAATTATACTTATGAATAATATTTTTTATTTTTAAGCAATAACCAAACTAGTTATTAAGTATGCTATTAGTTAGTACAAATTAATAAGTATTTTAAACAGTTGAATTACTTATATTTTAATTTTTTCACAATATAACTTTTCAATTAATTATAATAAATATTAAAATATCTCCATAAAAATTCCAATTATAGTTACCTTATTTGCTTTAGTTTATTCACTCAATCAGTACAATATATTAAATATCATTATGAAATTGCATTTTAATTGGCATCTTAAGGACTAAATGGTTGATATTCATCCTAAAATATTTTTCCCACTTCTACTTGGTTTCCATCTATCGATGTTTATGAATTCCATAAAAATATATATCAGTTCAAAAAAACTAGAAATTCAAACACAAATGGGATTATAATTTATTTTTTTATTACTCAATTTTGGAATTGCTTAAGCATTAGCAATTAATAAACAGTTCTAATAATATTAGAAAATAAATTTGAAATTATTAATCACCTTGATACCTAAAACAATTAATTTATACTAAAAATTTTCAATTTAATATGATACCTTAGCAAGCTATAAAATTACAACATTCTAGACAATATAAATATTAAAAGTAATAAAGTTTAAAATAAAAAAATAGAATAAATGGTATAATTTAACAATATTCAGAATGTCAGAAATTGAGTAAGATAAAGTTTTATAGAAAATTTTTATTTTTATAATTAGGATTATGCAATTATTCAAACAAGGCTGAAGTCAATTTTAATTATTCAGTTGGTTAGAAGTAATTAAGTTTGTTTCTTTTGGATCCTTCTAATTGAAAACTACTAAGATTAGTATCAAATAAATTGATAATTTTTGATCATAAAACAGATCTAATTTAAATAATAATTACTACGTATAATAAAACAATAATAACTATTGATCATCATTGTAAATTATGTTTAATTTGAAAGGATTTCAAAGTATGATTTAGAAATAAGAAAAATAAATGAATTGAGTTAGATATTTTTGCTAATAGGAAATGTAAATTCAAAATTTATTCTAAAATTAACAAAAATAATTTACAAATGATTATTATATAATAATTATGATAAATTTATCATATGAAAGTGATCATAAAATAGGAGTCCAAAGAATATCGAGTTCATAAATGCCTAAATCTTTACAATCTCCTTCAGATCTTAAACCACCAACTATTAATTCATCTCTTTTGAGTAATATAAATCCATTTTCTGATCCTGTAAAATGATATTTCATTGTTAGAGCATTCATAGATAAAGTGATCCATAACGACCAAGTCATCTATTAAATGGAGACACTCCTGAAGTTAGACTTATAGATGAAACAGAAACTAAAAGAATGAAAAAAAGCAATTTTAATAGGTTTAAGAAGTTTGTATTTTCATAACCTAATATGGGTAAAGATATTTTAGATAAAAAATTCATTCATAAATTCATAAGTGTTCTCAAACAAAAAGCGTATATTTATAATGACTACTTTTTTAATTCATTATAAAAACAAATTTTAACTGAAAAATATATGACTTTGCCTAATAATACACTTATAAATAATAGAAATCTAATAATATTAGATTTTTTATTTTATTTTATTTGGGATTTGGTCACTTTATTATAAACTATCATTTTACTATTTTGGTTAATCTTTAAAATTGCATTTCAATCATCAAATCAATAATTAACACAAATTATATTCATTTTATTTATTGTACTCGATATATTTATTTGTTTAATTTCCCCATATATTTAAAAAGGATACATGATAATTAACAAATTAGATGTTAAACGACATTAAATTCCTTGTAATATACTTGTTAACTTAATATATTCAGTTTCTACTACGGTATTGCTATTATAAAATAATAACAATGAAATTTTACTCATTTTATATGCCTTATAATTTATTTCATCATTTGTCAAATTAAATTCAATCCTTAATAAATTATCAGATTTTACCTCCTTAAATTTTGAACTAATTATAAATATTGGATAATTATTGTATTTATTACATTTAAGTTCATGTTTATGGCATATTATCGGAATAAATGATGAAAAATCATGGATTTATCAATATAATTTAGATGAATCAGATAAAATGACTAGATACTGTCATTCATTCTATTATTCAATATCCTTATTATTTAATGTAGGTTCAAGTAATATCATCATTACTACAAATAATGAATTACTTTTTTCAAGTATTTTAATATTTCTTTCTATTTGGATTTGTAGTTTAATTCTATTATAATTATATTAACACTTAAGAAACTATTATAAATAATAACTTAATTTATTGTATTTTTTTTATTAATAATTTAGTAAGGAAATGGAAATTATAAATGCTTTTTTAAATAGAAGAAAAGTTCCTTTGTTAATGAAAGCTAAAGTTAGAAATTATATAAAATATATGTTTTACAATAAAAAGAATGATTATGAGGTATTTTATAACATGGTAAACTTAGATAAGATTTAAAATATTCTTTAATCATTAAGACCAGATCTAAAAGAAGAATTAATATTATAAATGAGATCGAAAGCCTTGTCTTCTTGTAAATTATTACAAAAATTCTCCAAAGATTCACTATAAGAATTAACCAAATATATGGAACATATTCATTATAAACCTAATGAAATTATTTCATAACAAGACTAATCATTATATTTGATTGACTCAGGAGAAATTGAAGTATAAGAATATGATTAGACTTTGTTAACTTTAAAATAAGGAGACTACTTCGGAGAAATTACTTTTTTTACTGATTTTTCAAATAAAACCATTTTTAAGACATCAGAATTCACTTAGCTATATAAAATTAATTAATCTAATTTCTTACAAATTATATCCTCAAATAAAGTGGATCATGAAAGATTTATCTACATCAAACATTCTCTTATATATGGATATTTTAAAGTTATCAATTTGAAATGTTATTCTTGCAATTCATAAAATCATTTAATTAATTCTTGTCCCTTTTTGAACTATAAACCAGATATTGAAAAAATCTTTAAAAAAGATAATTTTCATTAATAAAATAGAGCTACATTTGTTAGAGATAAAAATTTTGATTAGAGAGCCTAAAATAGAATTTTTAAAAGGATTTTTGTAAAAATATGATTAAATTTAGATTAATTTTGATGCTTTAAAAATGTTTAGATTGAAATATGATCTTATTGATCAAGATGAATATGATCCAAGAAGTAATGAAATAATTGAAACTGAAGATATAGAATCTGATTCAGATTCAGGTGAATCATATGAACAATATCAATCAGATCAAATACTCTCTGACAATAGATTTATTGATAAATAAGATGGGTAATTATTTATCTTATAATTAGAACAATTGTGAGTATTATTAAATAATAAGATTAATTGAGAGATAATTCTAAAATATTATTGGAGGTCGATGATAATGTTGAGGAAATGTTTATAATTAGGCCAAATAATTAAAAAACAACAGTAAATACTGCTTAATTCTAATTTGAATAGTAATAACAATACTAATAATAATAATAATAATAATAATAATAATAATAATAATAATAATAATAATAATAATAATAATAATAATAATAATAATAATAATAATAATAGTAGTAATAGTAATAATAATAGTAATAATAGTAATAATAATTATTATAATAATAATTGTAATAATAAGCAACTCAAGCATCATATAGATTTTCATTAATGCCAATAGATCCGAAGATTAGAAAATAATCATCTTCACAATTAGAATAAGTATCATCTTAAAATATAGCAACTGAAGGATAGATTCCGTCAGTAAAGGGATCAAAACATAATTCCCAAATTGCTTTTAAAGGTGAATATAGTGATAAATTAAAATTTGGATCTTAAAATAAAATATCAAGTTACATTAGTCTTGATAATAAGGTTAAAAAGAACTTGTCAAGAATAAGAGAGGAAGATTCTGATACTTTGAATTTATCAAATCGTTATAATTCAGAGGAATAACAAAGTTCATAAAACATGAAATACTTTTATAGATAAAGTCAAAATTCATTGCCTTCAAGAAACACCTATTTGAGGCCCTCAATGAAAAGAATTTCATCTAAAATATCATCGATCAATTTAATACCTGGAACAAGAACATATAATAAAACAAATAATCCATTTACAAGATCGTTTGTAAACTTTCCTACAACAGCAGGAATGGTGGATTTAAGTATGTACAAAAGGGAGGATTTAAAACCTGAAGATTTTGAGACGATGTTTGTTTATAAAATATATTTTCCTTTAGGAAATTATCCAAACATAATTTAGAGATTGAATTTTTATTTAAAATGGAAATTGTAAGAATTTGTTTAATCTAAATATACATTTTAATATAAAGTGAAATAGTTAACATAGAAACATAGTCTATTGTAGATGAATCCTGATTTGTTGAATATTAAAAGTTAATCGAAAACAATATTTGAATGATGATTAGGAAATAATTGTTTATAAAATAACACAAAATTACTTAGATATCATGGTTTTTATTTTTCTACTGATAATTCATTGTATAATTTATTAACTTCAATATATTTGTTCTTCCATTTGATTGCTTCTATTTTATTTTATGATGACTCTCTTTATAATTTTATGATGACTTTTTGTAATTCAATTATTTAATCTTTCAAATTATCTTCTTTATCATCAAGTCTTCTCTCAGAATCTAATGCTGTACTGATAGTGTTATTTTCTTAAGTTCTGCTCATTTGATTCATAATATCTAATTTATCACACTGATATAAGTTTGATTTTAACTTTCTAATTTCCTCCTTGTAACCTTAAGCTTCAGAAGCTAAATCTTCCTATCATAGTGTATTAGCGTACATATTCTTTTTCTAAATATGAAGCCTTTTGTTAACAATAACATAATTCCTCCTCTAATTGTTATATTTTTTTCATCCATTTTTTTTCATACTATTTTAAATCAACAACTTAAGCTTATTATGGGACTATAGAGATTGGAACTTAAGCATAATGCCTTGGAGATTGATTTAAAGTACAATTGTTGTGACTTACAAACTATCTTGGAGATAAAGGTAATTAATAGTAATTTTACATCTAAATTATATTATTATACATTGATAATCTAATACTTATTTCAAATATGGGATCTATATCTTAATATAAAAACTATGTTAATCCAATTCATTTAATTATTTTTGTTATTAGAGTTTTGTCATTCATGTAATTAAATACTTGGTATCAAATCATTGAAAAATATATTAAATTAATTTGTTAAAATTTCTAAATCTATCCAAAATGTCAGATATTATGATAAAGAATCGAGATGATGATACAGACAAATAACATATAATAACTGATGGACACGAATTTGATAATTCATCAGATCAAAGATTGCCAACTTTAATGAATCCTAATTCTTAACCTTCCCCAATTCTATTCTGTGAATTTACACCTACCAATACTGATTCATTTTTAAATACTCCAATTCCCAAAGGCAAAACTCTAGAATGTGATGTGAAAATTATAAAAGGATGGTTTGGTCGCCACTAACACTATAATTTCTATCATTCAAATACAAATAAACTTCTACTTTCAGTGAAAAAATAATAATGTCCAGGAAGCAACAAATTTTAATTGAGTAAATCAGAAATGGAACTAGATCTTGTTGGAACTTTAGAGTAATTTTTAAAATTCATATTTTAGATCTAATTTTATTGGTACAGAATTCATTTTATACTCAAATGGACTTTCCTATAAGAACTCAAATGATCTTAAAACTTTGAGAAGAGAATTAGCATTCATTCAATATGAATATCAAATATTAAAAACTCGAAGTAAGTTAAAATATCTATATTATAAGGAAATCTCTTTAAAGCTTACATTCCTTCTTTGATAGAGGGTAAACCTTAAAAAATTATTCCTAGAGATGAGAATACAGGTTTAAAAATAAAAGGGAAATTTTTAAATAAAAGAAATGATGAATATTTTGAATTTCAAACACAAGAACCTATTTGGAGTTCAAAATATTAATAATTTACACTCCCATTTAATTCAAGAGTAAACAGTGCTTCTGTCCATAACTTCTTGCTTAAATAATTGGCAGAAGATGGCAATTTAAGCAAAGATGTTGCAATTTAGTTTGGAAGATGCGATAACTAATTCTTAAACATCGATATTGCTTATCCATTCTCTCCATTATAAGCATTCTCGATTATAATTAGTTAATTGGATAATAAATTATTAGTGTGAACTCTTATTATAAATGTTTATTTTATATATAATTGATAAAATATTATGATTATCAGGATAAGATACTTGATTATTTTTGAATTTTAGAATGTATCTTAATAAACTAAAAATATTTTAGATATATATATTTCTATATATATAAATATATAGCAATTTTAGATTCCGAATTAATTACATTTTCATCATAAATGGATAATAAATACAAATAGTAAGAAATTCATTCATTTTTGGATCAACACAAAAAGAAAGGTGGCAAGAAGAATGATTAATATTGTTATGGATAATTAAAGTAATCAAATTGATTTATTTTAAGGTTTGGCGATGTACAAAATAAAATTAGAAAGATTTCATTAAAAACCTTTTTTGGCAATCCAGAATTTGAAATATTTTGTATTCGATTTGATTTTGAGGATCAACTTATAGCAGCAGGTATTAAAAATTGTTAAATTAAGGTTGTTCGGATGGGACAGTGAAAATATTTAATATAGCCACAGGTAAGGTTAGGATTAATATTTCTTAGGGAAATTAGCATTTAATCTACAAGGATCATCAGAAGGATCGACTCCAACAACAAGTATTAGATGGAGAAATGATTGTGCAAATAAAGTTAAAAGTGTAGTAATAAATGTGAATTCTGATGGATCAATTATGTTTTGGTAGGCTTAAACAGGGAAATAATTGCATAGACTTATAGAAAAGAATAATTAAATATTATGTATGGATTTAAGATAAGATGGAGAAGTATTTGCTACTTCAGGAAAAGATTGTAAAGTACTTAAATCTAAAATTATCTAGATTCGAATTTATGATGATGAAAAAAAAGAAATTATTCATACATTTGATTCAGCTGATTAGTAATAAATATCCTTAATACTTAGTAATTAAATTGGACATTTGAATAGAGTATTCGCTTTAAAATTCTTGGAGGAATTTCCAACCACTCTTCTTTCTTGTGGTTGGGATGGTAATCTAGTGATTTGGGACCTTAGAGACAAAAGAAGTGTTGGATCTATATAAGGACCTCATGTATCTGGAGACAGCATAGATTTTAGGTATATGCCTATGAATTAATTTATTTAAGGAATGGTTAAATTCTTACTGGTTCTTATAGAACAAATAATTAATTACAACTCTGGGATTTTGGTAAAAGATCATTGATTAAAAATATCCAATGGGATGATAAAGATTCTGATAACTCTTATATATACTCTTGTTAATTTAGTAAGATAAATGGAGATACAATATTGGCAGGCAGTTGTGGAAAGCAAGAAGTAAAATTGTTTGACATAAATGATAATTATGAAGTATGTGGATGGATAAGGGATTTATAAGAAGGTTGATCTACATCAATATAAATAGGAATATATTGTGTTGATTATGGGAATAAATCAAACAAATTTGCATTTGGAGGTGGAGAAGGAGTGGTCTACATTTGTTAATTGAATACATATAAATGAGTAAAAAACTTAATATTTTTGATATTAAAATATCTAAATTATGGACCCATAAGACCTGATTGATAATTTAAATGAAGTGCTTTTAGGAGATTATTTCTCCTATATTGATACTTTAGGCAAGGGAAGTTTTGGCATCGTTGTTGCTGCTTATAGTTCATCATTGGATAAAGTAGTAGCCATTAAAGTATACTATGAATTCATCTAGATAACTTAATACTTTGAACAGGAAAACGAGTCATCCTTATTACAAGAGTGTTCCCACCCAAATATAGTTAAATTATATAAAGTAGACTTTCCATATATTATAAAAGGTCTTAATTGCTAATAATCGAGTCTATTTGATTATGGAAAAACTGGTAGGAACTACATTGGATGTATTGATGAAAAGTTCAGTGCTTTCAGAAACCTTAACCAGAAACATTATGTTGTAAATATTGAATGCCCTTGTTTTTCTTCATAGAAAAGGAATTATTCATAGAGATCTCAAGCCAGGTAAGCATTAAACTATAATTAAGAAAATATATTTATTTGTGATAACAATTATGTAAAACTGATAGATCTGGGATTGGGCTACTAGATGTTTTCAAGAGGTTTCATTGGTTAATAAGTTGGTACTCCTTATTACATTGCTCCAGAAGTCATTAATTAATAAGAATAGTCCCAAGTATTAAATTAAATATATAATAGTTGGTTGATATCTTTTCTTTGGGAATTATATTTTATCAAATGATAAATAATTATTAACATCCATTATGGCAGAAAGGACAAACTAAGAAAGACTATTATAAGGCTATCTCATCTGAGTTTTCAATTTAATTTCCACCTTAAATGTCAGAGTAATGAGATCAAATAATATGTATAGGATGGCTAAAGATTTTGTGGAGAACACAGTTACATTCTAATCAATTAATAGGATGACAGCTTAATAGTGTCTGGAGCATCCATGGATCTTAGGTGTATAAATAAAATCTCATCCAATCACTAATAGAGAAATTAAATTAAGATATTAATTCACTAAAAATTTTAATACAGTAAAATTAATTATTAAAGAAATTAGATTGTTAAAGCTTTATGGATTCTTAAAATTTTTAAAGAGTAATGTTCTGAAGAAATCTACTATATGAAAACTTAAGCATCTGATGAAATTAATGAGCTTATAGATGAGGGTGAATTACAAGAACCATTATCAAGTAGAGTTCATACTGAATAATTAATTCCAAATTGGAATGGCAGATAATATCGTCTGCATCGAAATACCACTAAGATTGAAAGGAAACCTTCAATTAATTTAATTAAAACTTCATCACATTAAGATCTAACACAACTAAAAAATAAATTTTAAACATCCAAAAAAGCATTTAGTATTAATTCAAATATATTTATATTAGATTATGGTCAACTTGGGAATAGGTTGAGTGATAACTTTTTAATACCAAAGACTAATAGTTCAAAGAAAATTTCGTCCCCAAATTTACTGCCTATCATATCTCCTAGTAAACATAAAACATCAAGTTTTAATTTTAGGCAATTATGATTTTAATTAATATTTATATTTATTAATTTATAAACATTTCTTCATGACAAATAATTTCAAAATTCCGGATATGCTACTAGGAAATGACATTAACTAGTATAAAAAGTACACAAAATTTATTATTGATACTGATGCTGGAGGAGATGATGCTCATGCAATTATGATGGCATCCTACATACTTAAATATATAAGAAAAGATGCTGAATTATTAGGGATTACTTGTGTTTCCGGAAATGCCAGTTTGTACAATGTAATAAAAAATGTATACATAACATCCCGTTATTGTCACTTTGATGAATTCCCAAAAATTTATAAAGGATGTGAATTTGATAGCATGAGAAAATTTCATAGAGACTTCTTCTTTAAAGAGGATGGATTTGGAGGAGTACAAAATCAATATTTAAAAGAACTGAATGTTAATGAAAATTAATAATTGTATGAAAATTAACATGCTGTTGATTTTCTAAAAGAAAGCATTGAAAAATATTAAGAGGAGTTATGTATAATTTGTATAGGTCCTCTTACAAATATATATATAACATTACTTTAACATCCTTAAATTATAAATCAATTAGGATGTTTATTTTGTATGTGCGGAACATATATGGGAATTGGGAATCAATTGAATGGAATAGCTGAATTTAATATTGCTACTGATGTATTGGCAACCAAAATGGTTTTGTAGGCAGATTTTAAGAATAAAATAATATTACCATTTGACACTGTATTATCATATTCTTTGAATAAAGATGTAGGAAGTAAAATATTTAATGTTCAATACAATAAAATAGCTAAATTAATTCATGATATCTATGAAAATGTAGTATTTGAAACTTGTTATTATTTATGTGATGGTAATGATTATTTGCATATCATAGAATTGGCTATAGTAATGGCTATGATGCCAGAAACCATTACTCAAGCATTATTAAGAGGCATACACATAGTTGAAGATGGTTTCGCCAGAGGGGGAATGATAGTGGATTGGATAAAAAAGATGAAAAAGGAAGATACATCTTAAGTGGCAATAGTCACATAATTTAATTGGGATTAAATGGTTGGATTAGCTTTAAAAACAAATTAAGAATGATTTAGTTTATTCATTTTATTGAATGTAATCTATATCATAATTTCTCATTTAAAAACATTAGGATCTTCAAGAATGTATCATATCCAGTATTGACACTATCTGCTAATGCATGATCAGCATTTGGGTAAACATAGGTTTACACTTCTGTGCCAACTTCTAATGCTTGAGCTCTCAATGCTAATGATTATTGAAAAGGACATCTTCTATCTTTGGAACCTATTAATAATAATGAAGGAACTCTTAGGGGTTATAACATTGGAGATCTTTCAATTAAGGTTTTATAATCTTCAACACTAAGATTCCATGTATGTTTTCTGTTCAATGCACAAGATGAACCCCATTCTGGAATATCTGTTATATTAATCATGAATGGTAAATTAACAACAGGATTCAATATCACAGCAGCATTAAATCTATCATGATATCTGGACCCCATCAAAGCACTTAGATAGCCACCATAAGAACCTCCCATAATAAATGTCTTGCCTGTATTATATTTCTGTTAAACTTAACTAATCATATCCAATATTTCTTTTGCATCTTATTCTCCAATTTTTCCACTCAAAGCTTCAATGAAATTCTATCCATAACCGCATGACCCACTAAAATTTGGAGCTAATAAAATAAACCCTTATTATAACAAAATATGTCTTAATTAAGTATATTAACTTTATATTGTTCCATGTGGTCCCCCATGTGCTAAAACGATTAATGGTCTTTGTTTAAAGAATTTTGGTAATTCAAATTTTTCTTCCTCTTCTTTTACCTACCAAACAAATCCTTCTGCCTCTTCACTAAAAACAAATTCTTCAATAAATTTATTTGAAACTTTTAAATTAAAATGTTCTAAATTTTGTATATATTTTCTTTGTTTATCCATGGCATTAATTATTGCAGTTAAAATTGGGGATTAATTAATATTCTCATCAGTATAATATAAGATATCATTTTCTTGATCATAATTAATAATTTCGCAATTGTGTGTTACATCTTATTCTACTTTATGACTTAAAATCTCTATTTATTTTGTATTTACATCTATACAAAATATTTTTTATTGTCCCAAAACTATAGAAGAATAGACAAAATGAGTTGAATCCTTATTCCAAAAGTTTAATGATAAATCATCATAAAAACCACAAATTCCCCCAATAATTTTATCCCTTTTCTCCTTTTTCTCTCTCACTTCTTTTAAATCATTTTCATTTCTTACTCCAATTAATTCTTCGACTGACTTATTATCCAAATTTATCATATTCAAACTTAAATAACATAAATGTTAGTGTTTATAATCTGATCCTAAATATAAAAGCTTTTTATAATCTGGACTAATAAGTGGTTTAACAGATATATCATGCTTTGATAATAATTGTAATTATTATTCATCCAAATTCTCTCCTTTCTCAGGTAATTCTAATAATTTTGGATGCTCTATAAGATATATTCCACTTTCTCTGTTAAAACAATGAACTATTCCATATTTAAATTCTTTATGGATTTAATAACCACCCAATATTATTTCATCATTTTCTGTAAACTATGGATAAGTTAAAAATAAATTGCCTGGAGTCTATACCTTAAAAAGTTTTTGTTATTCAATATCGATCATAAATAGATAGAATATCTCCACATTATCCATCCTTTCACCCCAACTTTATTCATATTTCCTGTAATTCCACGCTTGTTATATTTCCTCCTCCTTTTCTACCTAAAAGAATGTCTTTGTTTCTTTGCTTTTTCCTTTTGCTAAATACAAAACTTTATTATTTTTTTTGTTCCATTTAAATGGCTCTCCAACCATCTCATTATTCAATATCTCCTCATGATATTTTTAAGTGTTTATACTGAATAATAGTTTACCTGATTCATGTATTTCAATAACTTATCTTGGCTTCTCAGATTCATCTGTTATTTACTATTATTTAATAAATCTCTCCTTATCATTGCTATAAGATGTCAATAAGTTTTATTAGACTACACTACCTCTTTAAAGTAAATGAAATCCATCCTCCTTTAATTAATACAAATTTTAGTAATCAAGAGAAGAATTTTCTGCGATATTTTTCTTAGATATTATCATTGAAACTAGATAATCATTATTTTGAAGCTTAGAAACTGTATTTACTTTTTTTATTGTCTATATTTATGATGCAATGCTTTTTGTGATATTTATATATCCTTTCACTTAATTCATTAAATATTCTAATGAATAAATTAATTTAATTAAATATCGAAGAAGCTCAAATATATCTACCTAAAACTATTTACAATTATGAAGATATTGCATCACCCTCTAAAAATATCAAAATCATGATTATCACTTATTCATTAGACAAAGTAGAATTATAAAAAGATTAATATCATAATTTAATAATTATACATCTTCATTTAATATATACCAAACACATATAAAAATACATTTTTGACTAATTATTTTTTTAATATCCAAAACACTACCTACAAATCAAAATTTTTATCAACTTATAGATTACAAATTTTTCCTTCAACATTTAATATTTGACCATATAAATCATTTTCTTATAATGAATTGATCTAAATTTTTTAATAATTATAATTGAAACACATTAAAATCAATATATTCCAAATATCATTTTTACATAACAAATTTAAGAAACTACATCAAACTATTTCTTTATTTTTTTTAAATATTTACAAAAGGATTGGATCTGAACATTTTTTTTACCTAAAACTATTTTTTTTCCATAAAACAAGTTTATATACAATTAACTATTTGAAAATTCCCAACAAAAAATGTCGAAATTTCAGAATATTCTTTATTTGACTAATCAATAAAGAAAGAAATATTCTCACTATATAGTAAAAAATTTAATTTAACACTTTGTTGGTTTTTTATAGTGCATTATTTTGTATTTATTCTTAAGTAAGGGGACAAATTACAGAAATATTTTTGCTAAATACTGTTTCAATAATCATAAGTTAATATTTAATATTAACAATTTGTTTTTGTTCAATTATGTTTAAAAAACTATCAAAATAAGACATCATGAACTTTAACTTTCCTCTTGCAATTCAAAATTTTACATAAATCTCTACTAAGTTTTGTTTTAATTTAAACTTAGGCTCTGATATGATTAAATTTCAACTAATTCTTTTTTCAATTTCTCCAGTTTTCCAATTCTATCAGTTTCTTTTTTCATTTCTTCTTCTTACTATGTCTTTAGTTTAATAATTTTTTATTTAATTTAGTTGGTTTTTCTTTATTGTTTCTATTCAGGTTAAGTTTTGAAGAATCGTAATCTTTTTGATCTCAACATAGAAGTATTTAGTTCCTTTATTTTTCTAAAGAATTATTCAAAATTGATTACTAGAGATCAAGACTAACTTAAACCCTTAAATAAATTTGATTTGAGTTGTTGAAAATAAGTATTTTTTGGTGATACATAAAAGAGAGTATTAATTAGCCATTATCTATCTGGCAACCTCTGTGAAGTGAACCCTATTTCAATCTCTTACCCTATTATTTAATGAAGCTCTCTATATAAATCAAGCTTCGTAGCTCTTTTAACAAGGTAAGCAAATTTAATATCGATTACCTTTGCCACAAATACTTTATTTAAAGTAACTCCAAGTAAATATTCACTAGTGATACAGGCTGATTCGAATTTGGGAAGATAATATCCTTTTAGAATTAGTCCCATATCCCATATATAGAGATTTCATTNCCAAACACATATAAAAATACATTTTTGACTAATTATTTTTTTAATATCCAAAACACTACCTACAAATCAAAATTTTTATCAACTTATAGATTACAAATTTTTCCTTCAACATTTAATATTTGACCATATAAATCATTTTCTTATAATGAATTGATCTAAATTTTTTAATAATTATAATTGAAACACATTAAAATCAATATATTCCAAATATCATTTTTACATAACAAATTTAAGAAACTACATCAAACTATTTCTTTATTTTTTTTAAATATTTACAAAAGGATTGGATCTGAACATTTTTTTTACCTAAAACTATTTTTTTTCCATAAAACAAGTTTATATACAATTAACTATTTGAAAATTCCCAACAAAAAATGTCGAAATTTCAGAATATTCTTTATTTGACTAATCAATAAAGAAAGAAATATTCTCACTATATAGTAAAAAATTTAATTTAACACTTTGTTGGTTTTTTATAGTGCATTATTTTGTATTTATTCTTAAGTAAGGGGACAAATTACAGAAATATTTTTGCTAAATACTGTTTCAATAATCATAAGTTAATATTTAATATTAACAATTTGTTTTTGTTCAATTATGTTTAAAAAACTATCAAAATAAGACATCATGAACTTTAACTTTCCTCTTGCAATTCAAAATTTTACATAAATCTCTACTAAGTTTTGTTTTAATTTAAACTTAGGCTCTGATATGATTAAATTTCAACTAATTCTTTTTTCAATTTCTCCAGTTTTCCAATTCTATCAGTTTCTTTTTTCATTTCTTCTTCTTACTATGTCTTTAGTTTAATAATTTTTTATTTAATTTAGTTGGTTTTTCTTTATTGTTTCTATTCAGGTTAAGTTTTGAAGAATCGTAATCTTTTTGATCTCAACATAGAAGTATTTAGTTCCTTTATTTTTCTAAAGAATTATTCAAAATTGATTACTAGAGATCAAGACTAACTTAAACCCTTAAATAAATTTGATTTGAGTTGTTGAAAATAAGTATTTTTTGGTGATACATAAAAGAGAGTATTAATTAGCCATTATCTATCTGGCAACCTCTGTGAAGTGAACCCTATTTCAATCTCTTACCCTATTATTTAATGAAGCTCTCTATATAAATCAAGCTTCGTAGCTCTTTTAACAAGGTAAGCAAATTTAATATCGATTACCTTTGCCACAAATACTTTATTTAAAGTAACTCCAAGTAAATATTCACTAGTGATACAGGCTGATTCGAATTTGGGAAGATAATATCCTTTTAGAATTAGTCCCATATCCCATATATAGAGATTTCATTGAACCCACTAATTGGTTAGCTTATTCGATTGTAATCATCGAAAATAATAATCAAGAAAGAATATAATTTTAATGGAATAATAAAATGTAGAGTATATCGAATTCTTGATGATTTACCTAATTCTCATCCATATTTTTTTTGTTTATTTGCAAATATTTTTTGTATTTTAAGAACAAAATATGAATTGTTATTTTAAAAATAAATAAGCGTCATTAATCAATTACATCAGTTGATTCATTACATTTTTTATATTTCGAAACCAATAAATAAATATTGAAATGAATAATTTGTTTATCAAAGTAAAGCATTAGAATCAAATAAATAATTTTTATAAATACAAAAACATCTCCGACTTAAATTCAATGTTGTCAGATCAAAATGTTTAAAATTCTTCGGATTAGGAAGAAATAGAAAGAATAATATAAACTTCTCTTTTTAGATGAAACAACATTCACTCATCATACATTAAATCCAAAATGCTGGTAGATAATGGAAGAAAAAAAATATAGAAAATTTACTTAATTGAAGAAGTCTTTACATGTTCTTGGTTTTATTGGATAAAAGGGATTTGGATGTTTTCAAATTTGTGTTGGAAATGTAAATTAATATGTATTTGCTTACTATTATTTAAAGCTAATTGAAGAAGCCATTAAGTTCTATTAGAATCAATAATTATTAATAATTATGGACAACTGTCCTATTCATCATAGCAATTATAGAAAAAGTAAAATTTTTAGTCAATTTAATGTTCTGTTTTTGCCATCATATTCACCATAATTAAATCCTATGGAGGGGAGTTTGGAATATCTTAAAATAAACAATATATAAATATTAGCCAGAAAGTTAACACAACAATGAGCTTGGGATTCCTCAAGTAAAGCAAAAATCAATTTAAAAAAATTTCGAAATTCATAATTGTACATTGTAAAAAGTAAATCAATGCCTTAATAATCATAGTTTGATTTCTTATATAATTA